CCCTTTGTCTTGATCTCATTTCCATTGAAGCCTTGTTGAAATTATTGCAACTGATTATTTCTTGAGAAGTAGTCTTACAAATTTTCTCTGCAGGTCATCTTGGACGTAGTTTATAACCATACCAATGAAGCAGATGACAAATACCCTTATACCACTTCATTTCGTGGCATAGACAATAAGGCGAGTCATAATAGCAGTGATCCTCATTATCCTCATTTCAGTTTATTTTGTTATCTTATTTTGGAACTATAAACAATGTGTGAAATCTGTCTGCAGATTTATTACATGCTTGATCCAAACAACCAACTGCTTAACTTTTCCGGCTGTGGTAATTTAATTTGAAGCTTATTATTTTCCAGGCTTTTGGTTTCCAACTAGCTGTAATATATACTCAACGTCTCTTTCGCTTTATGTTTGCAGGGAATACATTGAACTGTAACCATCCTGTTGTTATGGAACTAATACTAGATAGCTTAAGGCACTGGTATGGACAAATCTATGTTATCCACTGTTAATATCTTGAAGTGTATACTGCAATTTACAGTGAACTGAAATCATCGTTCTCTTCGCATATGTAATCATTCTCTTTACCTAACCGCAGGGTCACTGAATATCACGTGGATGGTTTCCGATTTGATCTCGCTAGTGTGCTTTGCCGAGAAACAGATGGATCTCCACTCAATGCTCCTCCACTCATAAGGGTAAGTTGATAAGGCATTGTGTGAACCATATATAGCTGTAGCCGTGGACTTGATTCATTTTGAAAGTTCTTATTAAATCAGGCAATTGCCAAGGATTCTGTTCTGTCAAGATGTAAAATCATCGCCGAGCCTTGGGATTGTGGTGGACTATATCTAGTCGGGAAGTTTCCAAATTGGGATAGGTAACAGTTTTGAGCTTCATAAACTAGCTTCACTATGTCCCAAATTTCAGTGATTATCATGTTTATTTGATCTGATATGACTACGGATGTTTCCAAGTCAGGTGGGCTGAGTGGAACGGGATGTACCGGGATGATGTTAGAAAGTTTATCAAGGTATACAATTGTTTAACATGGTCTTTAAGAAAGTAGACTAATGGCAGAAACACTCTAAATGTTTCGCTCATTTTTCAGGGTGACAGTGGTATGAAAGGAAGCTTTGCTACTCGGGTTTCAGGATCTTCCGATCTTTACCAGGTAAGATTCATCTAAGTTTCATTTTCTGTATCAGTAGAATCCAAGTGGGTTAACATGATATTATCACGTCTATGTGTATTAGGTTAACCAGCGGAAGCCTTACCACAGTGTAAATTTCATAATTGCTCATGATGGATTCACATTGAGAGATCTTGTAACATACAACTTTAAGGTACTTTTGATCTCCCAATGTATTGATGTTGCATCCTAATACTGTAGTAATACATATAGACAGATAAAGTCTGTGCTTGATTTACGTATTTCTTCTGTAATTTATTAGCACAATGAAGCTAATGGAGAAGGAGGAAACGATGGATGTAACGACAATTATAGCTGGAATTGTGGTTTTGAAGGTACAATTAGAAATTTTAGAAACCTCACTTTCACAAACATCAAAGTTTCCTTATTTCAGTATTCAAGTTTATTATACTCTGTTTCTCGGCAGGTGAAACTGGTGATGCTCACATCAAGTCTTTACGCGCTCGACAAATGAAGAATTTTCATTTAGCTTTGATGATTTCTCAGGTATATATATAAGTAGTATTGCCAAATGATGTTTAAAAGTCCGAAAAATCCTTATGAGACTTGACTCTGATTAAATGATCAGGGAACACCAATGATGCTAATGGGAGACGAATATGGACATACACGGCACGGTAACAACAATAGCTACGGACATGATAACGGTCTCAACAATTTCCAGTGGAAAGAGGCAAAGTCTTTTACATCTCGCACCGTTTTTTTTTTTTTTACTACGAGATTTTCCTCCTTGAGAAACTGAGATCATTTTCTTTACTATTTTTCAAATCCAGCTCGAGTCAAAGAAGCAGAACCATTTCAGGTTTTTCTCGGAGGTGATCAAGTTCCGACATTCACACCATGTACTCAAGCACGAAAATTTCCTCAGCAAAGTAAATAACTAAACCTTCTTGTTGTTTTTACATTTTGTTCCCTTTGATTTGAGTGTTACTCTAATGTGAAATGTTTGTTTAAAGGGTGAGATTACTTGGCATGAAGACAATTGGGATAACCCTGAGAGCAAGTTCCTAGCTTTCACGTAAGACACCATAATCCCAAAGTTTTTTTCTTCCTTATTGTGTAATACTGTCCAAAAAGAACACAAATTGTTCTGTGAAAACACATGTTAACCCGTAAATGAATTACAAACAAAATTAAAACGTTAAATTTTGGTTGCTTAGGGTTTAGGTTTTCTCCATTAACAAAGTGTTATGACTTATGAGTCATTTTGATATCGAATATGTGCTATTATTGACAAATGAACTTATACTGGTGTATTGGGAACAAAAACATAAAATTGTGCTATTTTGGACGATTGCATTTAAATTGCATCACCTCTAACTGGTATTGAGACGAATTTTCAGATTAATAAGTGATTCTTCTTGCAGGCTCCATGACGGAGTAAGTGGCCGCGACATCTATGTGGCTTTCAACGCACACGACTACTTTGTCAAGGCTCTGATTCCATTGCCACCGCCGGGAAAACAATGGTTCCGTGTGGTCAGACTTTCTTTTCTTTCAATCATTCTTTGGTTCCTCTTGATTCAGTGACCGACTCGAATTGTCGTGTTTCCTCAGGCTGACACAAACCTCGAGTCACCGAATGATTTTGTGAAAGAAGGTGTGGCTGGAGTGGCTGAGACATACAATGTGGCTCCATTCTCTGCGATCCTTCTCGAGTCCAAGTAAACCCAAAAGCACGTCCTTGGTCCGTCCTCTACACTCACAGAGAGGAGCTTCAAGCAATCAACACAATAATGTATGATAGTAGGAAAAATAAGGTGTTTGAGTTCTGTGGAAAAGATCTGTGACAGTGTCTTGTAAAATTTAATTACATGTAAAATTCTAAAATAGACACTTTTTTCAATTAACAGTACCAAATATATATTTTTCAAGCCATGGTATAGACTCTTTTTCCCTCTTATGGAACAATTCTGTGTTTTATTTCATGTTACCCCTCTTGTATATTGTTGTTAGGGGAGCTTTGTAGATTAAATTCTCTTTTGGTCAGTAAGCTACCATATTATTAAACTGGATATTTAACCCCAAAATATATAAAACTAATCGAAGATTAGATAAAAGCTCTATTAAATTAACAAATCCTTATAAGCTCTATTAAATTTTAAGATTTTTGAAACAATTTACTAAAAAACATATTAAACAAAATATGATTACAGTAGAACTCTATAAAACAATACTCGATAAAACAATAAACACTATAAGACAATAATTTTCTCCGGTCCCAACTCGGGCCAATGTAAAAAATAGCATAATGCGATAAGATGATAAGACAATAATATTTTTGAAACTCCTATGTAAAAATATAGTCCCAACAATAACCTAAGATAATAATTATAAAACTAAGGCATATATATCTAAGACAATTTAGTAAAATATGACTCCAATGTAGTTTGTCTTTTCTGAAAGTTGGATTCCCGTTGGAGCTCATCTCGAATTTTTCTTATTGGATCTACAATTTCTGTTGATGTATTCTCAACTTGCAGTCCAAAAGTTGTGAAGAGTTCTCGAAGCCACAATTGCTTAACTACTTGCACATGTCTTTCCTCATCATCTTCAACTTCATCTTCACCATTAAGAACATTAGACATAATTTCTTCTAGATTTTGAACTTCTGAGCATGAAATATGTAAATAACAAAGTATAAGGAAAATTTGAATAAAAAAGTGAAAAAATATATGTCTATAAAGTTTCTTGTTTTTGATAGAATATTTCTATAAAATAATAATTATTGTTTTATCGATAAAATAATAACTCTATAAGATAATAAAATTTCAAAGTCCCAACATTATTGTTTTATAGAGGTTTTACTGTATTACTAAAATAAAACTGAGAATCTTATTAGAAATCTTTGAATATAATAAGATCTTACTTTGACAGTACAATTATGACACTACAATGAAAAGTATACTCATGTAATAATTTTGTAATAAACATATAATAATAACAAAAGTATATATAAATAATAAACATAACATATGTCATCTTATTTTCTTTAGGATTTATAGTTTTTTACTTTCAAAAAACATATATTATAGTCTAATACAATAATAATTTTGATTTAGAGTCAAAACTTTTGAAGATATGATTTTCTTTTTCTAAATTAGAGAACTGGAAAAAAGATAAAAACACAAAATTAAATTTTGAAGATTATAATTTATTATATTGGGTTTGATAAGATATAAAATATAATAAATACTTGTATGTATTTTTTTCTTTTTCATTATAGTATGAAACTTTTTCGTGATAGTTTTAGTTAGAATATGGTATGTTAAAAATTTATTGTTTATATTTCTATTAAAATATAGATTTTATTTGCTAAAATAGAAATAATCGTATTTTTTATTTAATATCTTTTAAATTAGATTATTTTCCTTTTTTTCTAAGATACATATCAAAACTTTAATATGAAGAAAATTAAAAAATTACGTATATCATAATCAAAATTGTAAAAATTATAGGTGTCACAAAGATGGAACTTTGTGGTTCATTACAAAATCATAGCGCATTCAACTTTAAATAAGATGGAACTTTGTGGTTCATTACAAAATCTAATCTATGTACATATATTATAATAATAAGACACTTTTGGACTAGTTCATAAATTAAAATAAATATTTGCGCGTCTTGAATGTAATTTCGAAGAAATCAAGAATTAACACATCTCTCTCTCTCTCACGTAACTCTCCATTATATAAAGCCGCTTCATCTCCTCTCTACACGAAACGAAACAGATCCTTTAGTTCTCTCTCTTTCTTTTTTGTCCTAATCTCAAAGTGCGAAAGCTATGGCCTCACAATCCGTCGTCGTTTTCCTCCTCCTCACTCTCATAGTCTCCTCCGCCATAGCTCAGGCTCCGGGACCATCTCCGACAAGATCTCCTCTTCCAACAACTCCTTCAATTTCTCAGCCTCCAATAACCGCCGCCCCAGCTCCTTCACGCACCACCACTCCTCCGCCTTCCGTCACTCCCACGGCAGCTCCTACTTCTCCTCCAGCTGGCTCACCAACCTCCACCGCCGCTGCTTCACCGCCGGCTCCTCCCACATCTCTTTCCCCCGAAGGAGCTCCTGACGCAAATGCTCCCTCTGGCCCGACCGGATCTACTCCTGCCAATGACAACAACAACGCTGCTACACTCTCCGCCGGATCTTTTGCCGGAATCGTACTCGCCGCCGTCTTGTTACTGTAATTTGGTTGTAATTTCATCTATTGGGATAGTTTCCATTTTTCTCGGTTCGTTTTCTACTTTTTTTTCTTAATTTACTTAATTTTGGTTTCGTGTGTATTAAGAATTTGAGAGTTTTAGCAGTAGAGATATTCGATTTGGTGTTTTAATAATCGTTTTAGAATTTATTTATCTGTGCTTTTTAGTTTGTTATCATTACTTATGGTTTATTATCTTCTTAACCCATCATGTGTCTGGATTTGAATTAGTGATAGTGTGATTAGTGATACACAAGCCCTTTAACAACAAAAAAGCGATGATTAGTGATACACTTTATGGAAGAAACAAAAATGTGATTAGTGATGAGGTCCAGCAACGTGTGCGTGTGTAAAGACACGTGTCGTCGTGTCTAAAAACGGTGAATCTGTCGTTTTTCGGTAGTGGCAAAAATAAAAATAACAGCTGGTTTTATCTCTGTCCGATTCTCCCTAATTTTTTTCCGTTGAATATAAATTTTACAAAGTTGAAAAGTCATGTTTGATTTAGCGAGATTAATATAATTGCGTCTTAATTTGGAAATATGGATTAAAAAGTCTTGAGTTTGGTCATAAAGAAACAACAAGTCTTGAGTAGGTGTCGCATGGAGACAGCTGTAAGAGACGAAGAATAATTTGGTAAAAAGTCTGTTAAAGCTTTTCTTCTTGCAGGATTCTATTGGCTCAGCCATGTGGCTTTCCACATCTCATAGACTTATAGGGGGAAAATTATCATAACAAAAGTCATTTAAGAAAAGTCTAAAAGAGACTAGAGGTAGAATGAAACGCGTTTCCTATAGAAGATGGATTCATGGATATATTATGAGACCATCATTTTTTTTTGAGTTGAAATCTGATATTTAGTAGATCAACAAAAGAAATAAGTATTTACATCTTCGTATCCGTTTCTCCACAAAGATGCTCATTTTTTATCGACAGATTTTGCAGATAAAAAACGAAAAAAAGTACACTCTTCTTTTTAGGGCTTCGGTATTTTTTCTCGTCCTTTTGAAGAACAAACATAAGAAAAGTTGATGAAATTGTTCCTTTTAAAAGTAAAAGCTCGAGAGCATTGCATCCAATAGCTGTGAATGAGTGAATCCGATTCGAATTTGATGATTCATTCCCTTCCCAATATTCTAAATCAGCCAAAATTAAAAGTAGATCCCTCAAAAGTAGTACTTCCTAGCCTTTTAACAAAAAAAGAAAAAAGAAACAAATAAAACTTGTTGTTTCTTAAATGGGCTTATTTTTAGGAGAAGTAGAGGCCCATTTAATTTGATTCAAGAGCTGAAGCCCATATATACACACGTCCCTAATGCCACGTGTCTAAGCGTAAAAAGGATAATTAAAACTAGCCGTTAACACGACAAAGATTAAAACGCGTTTTCAGAAAAGGAAATTCACACTAAGATTTCCATTTTTTTTCCTTTTTTTTGGATGAAGATTTCCTTTTTCTGTTTTTGGATAAAGATTTCCTTTTTTCGTTACTCATACTCCAAATCTCAAACCTCTATATGTACAGGTAATGATCAAATGCATTCATTTACCCGCTCGTCGTTTTCTCTCTCGATCAAATTAGGGTTTCTGTTCTGTTTTTTCCGATTTCAAAGGCTCTCTGTTGCCGTCGAAATTTCTCGTCGAGAGATAAACGAAAGCTATGGCGTCTAAAAAGCGAAGCTTTCGTCACTTCATTGCAAACCAGGAGAAACCGAAGCTTCACCTAGTTCTTGACTTGGATCACACGCTCATCCACACGGTTTATGTTTCACAGCTCTCCGAGAAAGAAAAGTACCTAATCGAACAAGTCGATTCAAGCGTAGATCTATGGAGGGTCAACGAAGACGAAGACCCTACAAACGATTACATCATAAAGCTACGACCTTTCGTTCGTGAGTTTCAACAAGAAGCCAACAAGCTTTTCACCATGTACGTTTACACGATGGGCAATTCCAGTTACGCTCAGACAGTGTTGGATTTGATTGATCCGGACAGAGTCTACTTTGAAGATCGAGTCATAACGTACGAAAAGAGTCCTACAAAGAAGACACTTGCTCATCTTGCGGTTGATAAACGTACGGTGGTGATTGTGGATGATACGAGAGAGGTTTGGGCGTCTGGTGACAAGAAAAACTTGTTGGAGATCGCCAAGTACTTTTATTTCAGAGATGGGGCCAACTCTAAATCTTACGCAGAGAAGAAGAGAGACGAGAGTCGAAGCAAGGGGTCATTGGCTCAGGTTCTGAAAATCCTCAAAGATGCTCACAGTTTATTCGGAAAGAAGTTTGGTTCTAAAGACTTGAGGATTTTGATAGATCATTGCAGACGAAAAAGACAATGCTGCTTTCTTGACTTACTTAAAATGCTTTGTATTTTCTGAATATTACATGTAAGCACTAATAAAAACAGAACATACGAAAATTTGTATATAATCTAGCTTAAGAGGTTTATAGATTAGTAAAGATTTAAGGGTTTCTTTAGAAAACAAAACAAATACACACAAAAGCAATAACATTTGGAAACATAAACCAATCGAAACCAAATGTAACAAACAAAAAGAGCAATGTGTAGGTTTTGTTTCTTGAGATCTGATCTGGTCTGGAAACTGATCCTTGGCTACCAGTTTTCAGTTCCGTCTTGTACTTTCTTGTAATGTATATCCGCTCCTCTTGTTGGTCGAACAATCTAAGAAAACAAACCCTAAAAGCTCAAAGCTTTTCTTTCAATCCCAACACTAAATCCTGCAACACAGACTAATGTGTATATACAATGATCCGATCAATTCAGAGCTTAGAGTTTGATGGTACAACAAATAAAGCCAAATAAGTTTTCTAAAATTTTACCTTTCTCAGTTTTCTGCAGCTGGAGTTTCGTCTTCTTGGGCCATCATCGTCTCATCTTGAGATGGTTCCTCTTCTTCAGGTGGCTGCAACCCTTCTTTTGCTTGCAACTTCACAAACTGTTTGCTACGAGCTAATCGTATCGGTCTTCCCATGAAATCCTGCGTAATGTTAACATTACACACATTTCAATTCTACAAACTATATCAACTCATAACTCTAAAAGCAGTTTCTGTTCTACAACTACAATTTTGGGATTATGGTCCATATTCTCTTATAAGTATCCTTTCACAAAGAGTCTAAAGACTAGAAACAATTTCGGTTTAGAGGTCTATTTATGGGTCTCTAAGCTCATATGATTTAGATGATTATCATTCCGAGTATTTTTTGGTATTTTTACCTTTCCTTGGAAGTCAACGAGCGCTGCATCAGCCATTTTCTTGGTTTTGAAAGAGACAAAGCCGTAGCCACTAGACCTCCTCGGATTCTCATGGAAGATCACTTCAGTGGAGACGACGTTTCCAGTGTCTGCGTCAAAGAACTCCTTGAGATGCTTGGCCCTTGCTTCAAATGCCAAGTTCGCTACAAACAAATTGAACATAGGCACCGGCGTTTGCTTCTCACGCGGCGCGTAGGTTTTCTTCTTCTTGGTCTTGGCGTAGTTTACCTTCAAACGACGACCCTCGTATTCCTATAAACACACAATTCGATTCACAACAGAAACACAAACCTGAAAGAGCCTAATTACACAATGTACAACTTCTGTTAAACTAAAGTCAGATAAAATGAGACCAGCAAAACCAAATCTTTTGATTTCTTACCAACCTCTTAAGAGAAATATATGCATCCTCAACAAGGCACAATATAATGGAAAAATGAAGATCAAAGAAAGAAAAAAAAAGGGACAAAGAAACACAAAAACAAGAACCAGAAAGAGCCTAATAACACAATGTACAACTTGTGACAAACACAACCAAATATTTTGATTTCTTATTACCTTTTTAAATTTTTTATCTAACTGATGAGCCTAACACAATGTTAAAGTAAAGTCAGATAAAATGAGACAAACACAGGAAAATTCTTTTGATTTCTTACAAATCTCTTGAGAGAAATAAATCAATGATTCTTGCATTCCTTAACAAGACACAGTTTAATGGGAAAAAGAAGATCAAAGGGACCAAGAAACACAAAAACAAGAACCAGAAAGAGTCTAATAACATAATGTGTAAGAGTAGAGTCAGAGAAAATGAGACAAATACAAACTTAAACGAAAGAACTAATCTGTCCCAATTGAAGAAGAGAATGGAAAATTGTGGGTTATCACTTACAAACGATTCGAGAGATTGAAGAGCAGTTGCAGCATCTTCAGGGGAGCCCATTTCAATGAAAGCCAAACCTCTGTTCCTTTCCTTCTTATGCATTGACATCTACAAAAAAAATCCAAAATCCAAAATCGATTCAATGATTCAAGGAAGCGAGAGACAGAGAGAGACAGAGAGAGAGGGAGGGAGAAGAAAGAAAACCTCAACGTCGACGACATTCCCGTAATTCTCGAAGAGCGACCTTATGTCTTCCGGTGTAGCCGTCCATGGAACGTTCTGAGCAATCAATCTGGTTTTGGAAATCTCTTCCTCGTGTTGTTTATCAGCGGAGATATCATCCGAAGAAGAAGAAGATTCGAGGATTGGGTTTTGGGTGGTGGCGGAGAAGTAAGAGGTAAGACGATTTCTGGATTTTGCTGGAGCTGAGTCTAGAAACGTCCCGTGAAGATGAAGCCGAGATTGTGAAGCAGTAGAGCAAGAGAGTGAGAAGTTTCTGAGCGAAGCTCTCTGATTTGGGCATTTTTGGTCAGATTTGTGACCTAGAATTTGGAGGGAAATTGGAGGAAGACGAAGAAGAGCCATTGGAGGCAGCGAGAGAGAAAGTGAGAGAGAGAGTGTTTGGATAAGAAAGAGAAAACGTCAAGCGACGACGTCGTTTTAAAGTGACTCACTCTCGCACTAAACGACTGCGTTTTTCGAGAGCAATTTCAAATTCTTTGCTAGGGAGGGGCATAGAAACCGGAATAAACCGATCTCATCTGTTTTATCAATTTCAAAATGTAGTACCTTATCATTTGTATAATGAACTTGAAGCTATGATTAACAATTTCATCATATATAGCAAGAAGAAGATAGATTTTCACAATTTTCTTGTTAGAAACATAATCTTCTGCCTTGAGAGAAGCGAACAATGTAATCCAAATCTGGTTTATCTTTCCTACAAAGACACACAAATGATAATACACAGACATGTCTCATTTCTCATAATTTCTTTAGAATCTGGTGAGTTTATTGGACACAGGTGAGAGAGGCTTCCTGCAAACTTCAGGACTGCTGCTAAGCTCAAGCCTCTTCTCGATCGGGCTGCTCATCATCTTCGGACTCTTCCTCTTGTTTGACTGTTAACATTAAACCATCTCTAAGTTAACATGCAAATAGAAATCGACTGATTTCATTTTTGTGGCCTTTTTACCTTTGCAGAACCAAGAGGGCTTTGTTGTTGCCTCAACAGCTTCCGATTCTCTTTATCCAGCTCTCGGTTTTGCTTGCTCACAAGCTCCACCTGGTTTCATTATTCAAGTGGACTGTTTTGATCAACAACAAGAACAAGAGATGATTATTGTATATGCATTATACTAATAGTTTTTGTGTTACCTCTTGCTCTGCTTTAGCGAGATTCAAGATGATGCATTCTTTTTCCTTCTCAAACTTCTTCGCCTTTGAGACTAAAGACAGAACCTTTTGCGTTGAAGGCTTTAACCGATCCCAATTGCTCAACAAAGCTTGGCACGACTTGTCTCCAATGTTTGCCTCTAAGAACACACGACCCACCATTGCTTCTTCTTTGCTTATCACTGATCCCAAAACCGCATCAAGCAAATCTTCTTCTAATGGTTTGCTCTCTTCATCAACAACCTTTCAATTGCAAAAATCGAGCAATCAATATCTCTATCGAGTGTATCAAATTCATCAATCTTCCTAAGCAATAACCAATTAAAGAGAGATTTTTTTTTTGGGATAATATGAAGAATTTTATTTTTTCTTACTTGTGCGGATCCGATTTGGCGTTTACAGTTTTGCAATTCGCCAGAGATTCTTGCTAATTCGTCTTCCAATTGACGAACCCTAGTTTCGGCTTCTCTCGCTCTCTCGTCAGATTCGTTCCCGAATTCCATCAGCGCGTCGCGATCTTGGTGATATAGCAAGCATTCTCTTTCCAGTTTCTTACATTGATTCAACAAATTCCCACACTCGTTAGCCAATTTCTGGTTCTCGTCGACGAATTTCTTCAACGCCTGCGCGTTCATACTCGATTCCGACTAGAAAATTTGGGCGAAAAAAAACAAAAATTAGGGTTTTCGATAAAATCAAAATTGGGGGAAACAAATCGAGATCTCGCAAAGCCCAGAAAATTGCGAGTTTTCACTTACCCTAACTCGGTCGATTACATGGTCTTTCTCCTTTAATCGGGAAACGAGAGACAGATACTGATCTCGGAGACGGCGCTGGGATTCTTCAGCCGTGTAGAGCTTTTTCTGGAGCGATTCCATGGAGATCGGGAGACCTAGCGAGTGATCAATCGTGTCTTTGATAAAGTCTTCGACTTCTCGCGAGAGATGATTCGTTTCTCGGGAAGAAAGTGCCGATTCGTCGTTTCTTTCGCTCGGCATCGTCAAATCTCAAAATCAGAGAGAGAATTTTCGGGAGTTAGAAAAAAAAAAGCAATTACAGAGAAGAAGGGTTTCGAGTGGTGAAGAAGAGGAAAGAGAATAAAAGAGGGGGAGGATTCAAAATGATATCAGAGGCTAGCCGTTACAACTTTTTTTTTTCATTTTAACAAAAGTTTTATCTATCGAGACAACAACCTACGTGGCACGCTTTAATTGCTCCGAGATTTGGCTCCTATTGCAATTATTATATTTCTTTATATTATTAGAGAAAGTTACCTAACATACACCAAATGTTGAATTCGAAAGGTAGAAAATCTATAAGTCATTCCTCTGATACAATTTTTTATTATATAAAGCATTGTCATTTTCACTTGGTTGTATCATCTTTAGAAAATGACACATTTATTTGCTTATGTTATGTAATTTTTTGTTTCTTAGAAATTTCTGCATATTGATGACTTTGTAATCTCAATATAATATCAATGAAATTCTCTTTGCTGAAAAATAACTATTACAAAAGAAACCAAAACGTTTGTTCCTTGATACCATAATTTTATTATGATATAAACCAACATAATATATCAAAATCATGATCATGTTATATTATATCACATGTGATTATGGATATCAAGTTTACACATCATTTTTTGTTCCTTTTCGTTACATCGGTTTTACTATTACCATAACTCAAAAGTCAAAACTAACAGTCTCATTTAGATTCCGTTGAAAACTAGCTTAGTTTGGTCCGACTAAATTATTAGCAACTGGGGAAGTGCAAGAGTCATTGCACTTATTCAAATTAGCCAAACACGAGACGCGTATCAAACGTGAAGTACGTGGAAATTACCTAGAATCTACCAAGAAAACGTGAACGCCACTTCTTTCTCAGTGAAAATATTTATAAATACGACCTCGCCTCTCAGATCGAGTCTCTTCTTCTCTCTCTTTATTATCCATTATCATTCTAAATCGAGAAGATGTTAAGATTCCCATCATGTCATACTTCAGAAGAAACGAAGGAACAATCGTGTTTGCGTTTGCGAGTTTCGCGTTCATAGCGTTTTACTGCGTCAATTACTTTATCCGACGATGCAGAGGCCGAACCGCCGGTTCCGCTTCTGGGGACACGATGGAGGTTGAGCTGAGTCCGAGGATGTCACCACGAGGGCTTGACGCTAAAGCCATTGAGTCGTTTCCTTCATTCGTTTACACGGAGGCTAATGGTATTCAGCCAGGAAAAGGAGAGCTCAAATGCGTCGTGTGTTTAAACGATTACGAAGACGATGAAATGCTACGTTTGGTATCGCCTTGTGGACATGTGTTTCATGCTGACTGTGTTGACATTTGGCTCTCTTATCGCTCCACGTGTCCCATTTGTCGTGCTGATGTTGTTTCTTAAATCTTAATATTGAGTCTTACTTTGCGCCTTGAGTTGATTTGTGATTAGAATTTTTTATTGTGTGAATATGTAAGTAATTTTTCAAGCTCTACGAAAGGAAAACACTCTGAAAAATTGAATGAGATGCAGATTAAAATTTTAAACTCGTCTTATAACTCTAGTTTCGAGGTAAAAATGATTGTAGACTAAATTTTTCACTTAATTAGAACAGCAACTACCAAGCTTTTGTTTGGTCGTTTGGGGGTCAAGTAACTAAATAAGTCAAAGAATGTATAATGGCCTAACGGTTCAAAAGCATTACTAATTACTAGTCATATGATTTATCTAGTAGAAGCACATAATATTATTAGTACGTCAAATTCCACTGAGAACGTAAACATCACATGGATAAGAGACACAAACCCATCTCTTTTGTTTTTAGTCCTCCGATATAAATTGTCCACAAGTATGATTAGGTCAAAACTGTCGGAAAAGTCTTTGTTGCGTAGTCAACAAGTTAATAGAGGAATGGAGTTGTACTTGTTCTACATCTACGGTGAACATAATGACTTCTTCAAAAGTCAAAACGTTAGAGGAAATATCCAAACCAATCCAACCCAGTAATCATCTATATTGATCTACGAATCAGATTTTGCATAGTATAACTTCTTCTTCTTCCTTTATCTCTCGCTCTAAACGGAGACATAGATAATAGAACTCAACTGACCTAATTTATCCACTAGGTCAATCTGGTTGGTTCTTTGCGATCCGGCTACAATATAGGAAAAGAGCCGTTTCACATGATGGCCATATTCACGAGAGATCTCATCCATCAGATGGTAACTTGTGTTTTATTGCCGCTCTTCTTTTTCCAGTTCTTGCCTTTCGTAACCTGCCAGGAACAGTCAGAACCCGCAGACCCCAAGATGTTAGTTGGGACAATATTGATTGGGATGTTCCTTTCAACTATGATATTTTTCTGCTTGTTCTATGTAATCCATAGAGCAGTGAATGCAGCGGAAGGCCGTGCAGTATTGCACACTATAGCTAGGAGTGGGCTCGACAAGGACACCATTGAGTCGTTTCCCTTTTTCCTTTACTCAGAGGTTAAGGAGCTCAAGATAGGCAACGGCGGAGTGGAATGTGCCATCTGTCTAAACGAGTTTGAGGATGACGAAAAGCTACGTTGGATGCCTCCTTGTAGCCACACTTTCCATGCTAGTTGCATCGACGTCTGGCTCTCTTCTCGGTCCACGTGTCCGGTCTGCCGTGCGAATCTGTCACTGGCACCCGAACCCCAACCCGGTGAGAGCTATATATATCCGATCACGGATCTTGAAACGGGACATGCACAAAGTGGCATTCAAGAATCACCCGACATAAGCTTGACTGGTAATAGTGTGGCATGGAACAACAATGCAAATATCACAATACCTCGATCGAGATCTGTTGGGTTATTGTCTGAAATATTCGTCCCTAGGTTTCATTCGACAGGACATTCATCGGTTCAACTAGGCGAGAACCTAGAGCGGTTCACAATGCAGTTACCGGAGGAGGTGCAAAGAAAACTTGTTAACTTGAATCTGATAAGTAGAAACCACATGGCCTTACCTCGAGCAAGAAGTTCAAGACAAGGATACAGGAGCGGTAGCGTTGGGAATGAGAGAATCGTATCTATTTCTCTCTCTTTCTCTTTTGAAGATGCTTCTGCTCGGCCCACAGTTGGGAGTGACGTCCGACAGAAGGACGAAGATTATGGTGAAGGGTTATTTCCACGCCTCATGCCAGAGAAGTAGTTTCTTCTTCTTCTTCTTCTGTTGACGATCATAAGTCAGACAAGAAGATCGAGTTATATGATTATGGTTGCGGTCAGTCATGTGTGCCACAGTTTGGTTTAACCATAAGCTGGTTCCACTTTTCATTCGATGTTTTAAGAGGAAATGAGAACGTATACTCATACCAAAAGTTCCATCTACAACCAGCGGTTTCAATTAGCGTTTTTGAATATCTTGTACAGTTTTTCAGTGGAAGCTACCAGAAAAAAAGATTTAAAAGAATGTAATTATGTCTTTGTGAGATTTGATTTCCAATCCAGACAAAAAGTTTTCTATTAAATTAGAGCGAGTGAACAAAACGTATGCTTTACCAGATATATGTTATCAATCTTTGGATTTTTGTAACAAAGTCTATAGAAATATTAAATAAAAAACTTTGAATAAACATTGAGAAATCTCACTATATAAAACTCTTTCAGACATGAGGCTGGGTTCCTAATGCCTCAATATGATGGCTTAATTATTAATCAGAAATTCATAATAGAAAAACATCAAACCCAACCGAATGAAACAAAATGACCCGGTCTGAACAAAATCGTCTTAGCGACTCAAAACTCAAAGCATAATATTTGCAAATAAATTAATCAGGAAAGCATTCGGCCTGGTCACAACCAAATCAAGAAACCTGAATTCATACCACGTCCTAACTGCTAGGATTGTAGATTTGACCAGAGAACAAAACGGTTCCTGTTTTGTCTTCTCTAATCAAGAAAATAAATGGATGATCAGCCACAAAATCTACTTTCTTCGGAGGAGGGGGCTTCAAAATGCGACATCCTGCCATTCTCACACAAGTGACAGCAGCAGCTTCAGCGCCTTCTTCATCGATCTCGACACAAGCTTGATGGTACATTGTCGCTAAAACATCTCCCTCCAAAACCCTTGAAGCCTCAAACTTGAAAGAGAACTTAAACTTTGGGATTCTGAAATCCCCAACTAACACTTTGTCCTTCGGAGTATGACTATCCAAGAATCCAGGAGTTGATGTCATTTCCTCAAGAAGATTGTCCAATCCATCTTTCTTGTCTGGAAGATAGAAATACATTGAGAATTTCCGGTTGGTACCACCATCACGGCCTTGCCGGTATGGTAGTGCAAGGACCTTGAAACCGTCGTAAACCTCAATGTATTGTCTTTCGTAGCTTCTCATGAAAGGAACACGTACTGGTTTGCCGTTGAGAAGGTGAAACTCATCTACTTTCGTCAGAGACTTTTCGAATTGGTCTTTCCAGGCTCCTTTGAAGTACAATGCGTTTCCATAAACCTGTTGGGTTTGAGAATCAACGGATCCAGGAGGAAGAATATCTTTGATGAGACCATTGGTGTGATCTGAAGCCCATTTATTCAGCTCTATACGCAATTCCTCAGCCTTCAAAACAGTACAAGATATCAGTAAATTTCACTTAATTGCATATACATATTTCAGATAGGGTGGTTTTCTAGAAACATGAATGAATGAATCTATATAAGTTGATATTAGTTTAAGTCTTCTAAATAATATTATAAGTTAAACAGCAAGAGCAAACTATTTTTTTAAGATTTTTGTTTTCGTTGCAATTTCTAATGAATTCTTTAAACCCTAAAAACGTCTTCCAACATTATAAATAAGAATACTAACTATACAGAACTTTGAACCAAAAAAAAAAAAAAACTATACAGAACAAGCTTTATTATATGATCATCATGTAAACTTTCATATATTAGCTCGTTAAATTAGAAAAGTGAGAATTTTTTTACCTTGTATATGAAATCAACTTGAGCGAAAGTAGCCTTGAAGACATTCTCAAAGAGATCCTTCAACGACTGATCAACCGGGAATGATTGCTCCACCCAAACGCCGTTAACCACCGAGATTTTGGGGCCACCGCTGGCACTTCCGTCAGCGAAGGCGACTGTAGCGATCTCGCTGTAGACGGCGTTAAGCTCTTCGGAACCAGAGCCGTTACCAGCAGCCATCATCGCGAGTGCGGCGCTGATTGACGCCGGAGAGAAGACAAAGTTGGAGTGACGTGCTTCGGAAGCAATTACTTTACGGGTAAGGTCCAAAGCTGCGTCGTTTTGCTTCTTCATCGCTTCTCGCAACTCCTCCTCCTTTGAGGGAGAGGGACTTGCGATTACTTCACACGTAAGGTCTAAAGCGGCGTTGTCGTTTTGCGATTCCTCCTCTGAAGGAGAGGGACTTGCGATTACTTGCGATTTGCTGAGCTTTTGCTTTTTCTTGTTTCTTCGATCCATCTTTGAGAGAGAGGGAACTGATGTGTCTGAAGCTCTGCTAAGCTTTTGTTTTGTGTTTGTTGAATCCATCTTTTAAGTGTTCACGATTTTTGTGTTTCTTTTTCTTTGTGAGCACATATGACATATCCCTAATCTATACTATATAAAAGTTGAGGCTATAAGCCTCTAAGAGCGTCCACATAGGATTTAAAAACAAGATTTGATTGGTCCACATAGACATCTTCAAGATTAAGAAATTTTCTAAATTTTAAACAACCAATAGTATTACTCCAAATCATCATATAAAATTTGGTAATTTCCTTTATATTTCCCAAGAAAGTTTCATAATCTAAATATTATAAATGTTTTGCATTAAAGATTTTATAATTTTTTTTTAATACCAACAAAAAAAGAAACTAACTTAACATGTATAAGTTTTTTTTTATTAAATCTAATATATATGACAGCAATCAAAATCTAACAAGATTTAAATTAAAAACATCACAAATCCTAAAGTTGAGGCTATAAGCCTCTAATAACGTCCTCTGATAATGTAAGCGTTTTTCAATATTAAGAAACTTTCCAAATTTTAAATAATCAATAGTATCAACTTTTTAAAATTGATAACGTCCTCTAATAATGTAAGCGTTTTTCAATATTAAGAAATTTTCCAAATTTTAAATAACCAATAGTATCAACTTTTTAAAATTAAAAAGTTATATTTTTAAAAATAACTTCCAAATTTTAAATAACCAATAGTATCAACTTTTAAAAATATTCCACATGAAATAAGTTATATTTTTAAAATTTAATTTAATCAACTTTTTATATCTCAAGAAAGTTTCTTAATTGAAAAAGAACCAATAATATCATTACACATCATCATATAAAATTTAATATTTTAATTTGATAGGTCTACAATTCTACATAAACATTTACATGACTAAAATAATTTACAATTTTTAAATATGTAAGAAATAAGGAAATTAAATATATATGATTTTAAACAGCCAATAATATCATTCCAGATAATCACTAAAATTAAGTTATTATTTTCCTTTTTATAGAAACCTTCATCATGTAATCACAGTCTCTTTTCAAGTAATTTAAATACTTTTAAAAAATTTTAAAATATTTTCTATTTACAACAAAAAACACTTTGTCATATAAATTAGTTATATTGCTAAGACAAGAACCAAATATATGAAATAAAAAAAAATCACATAGGAGGAAGAAAAAAAGTATAAGCGAAGATGAGTGAAAATGAATAAAACTAAATAAGAATAAAGAATAAATCAATTTAAAGTAAGAGAAATTAAAGAAGAATAAGTAATAAAATACTAAAAAAACATAGTAATGAGAGTGAAGAAGGAAATGAAACCAAACAAGAACACAAAGAAAGAGTAAAGAAGAGTGAAGACGAAGAAGAGCAGAAGCCAAACAAGAACAAGAGGGAGGAATAAAGAAAAACAAAGATGAAGAAGAGCAATATGAGTGAAGATAAATATGAAACCAAATAAGAACAAAAAAAAATCAAATTAGAAAAAGTTGAAGAGAATCAATAAATAAAATTAAAAAACATAGAAACAAGAATGAGTGAAGAAGGAAATGAAGAACAACGATGTGCGTCCGTTAGCTTCTTTTCAAATAAATTTTATACTCCTAGAAATCCAACATAAATTAGCTTATCTACAATAATATTAGCTCCTCCAGATTAAATTTGTTAGGCGTACATTTTATTTTTAGTGAAAATTTGTTTCTATCTAAGATTAAAGAGGTCAATACTAAACATATTTAAAAAAGTATTGTCGTGGAGAATTTTAAGCTATAGAAGAAGAGGAAGTTGGAATAAACAAACTATAGGGAAACCTAGCATTTTCGATGGAAAAAATAAACCATAAAAGAAATATAAGAATAAGAACCATAAGAAAAGCAAAAAAACAAAACAAAAAGATTAATAAATGCGAAGACGAAGATAGCAAGAACAAAAATATAAATAAAAAAATCCAACATAATATAAGACTAAACCAAGAAACTAAATAAAAAGATGATACCAAATAATATGAAATTGATCAATATATGTGTGAATATATATATTTGTATATCTCTAACTTTATTTTATTTCTATGAATCATGTACATTTTTAAGTTTGATTAAGTGTATCAAATAGTGAAAATTTTATTTTACATAAAATTAAATTAAATTAAAGAGGATTACGAAAAAAGAATATTTCTAAAAGGGATACAATTGTGAAAAAATTCCAGCAAAGAATAATCTAGAAAAGAAAAAAAAAGCAAAACTCTAGCAACTTCGACCGTCTGAACTAATCATAGAAGAAACAGAAGAATAAGAAGGAATATAAAAAAAAATATCAAAGAACGAAAACAAAAAGTAAACAATAGATGAACAAAGATGAAAAAGCAGACCAAATAAATAAGAAATTGCGAGGACGAAGAAATATAAAAGGAGAGTAAAGATGAAGAAGAAACCAAAGAAAAAAAAAGAAACCAAACAAATGAGAATAGATCGAAGAGTTATCATGAACATGCTACTAACGACAAAAGTTTATAAATAAAAAATATTTAATCAAACTAAAAAACAGACCTGCGCTTGCGCGGGTGAAAAACCTAGTATATTAAAAGAGAAAACACTATAAAATAAACCTTTGTCTCATGTGTTATTAACAGAAATGCCATGCTGATGTGTCAACACCAGGTTCACTTTCAAGGTTAGTTTTAATTAAGACAAACATTACTAGACTAATTACATGTTATGCCATTCATATTTGGTTAGAGAATGAAATATATATGATTAATTTAGTCAGAAAAATAATTATTAATGAAAATTATTTTCTTTCAGTTTCCTTATTTGGTAATGACGAAAATTTATTTATTAGTCAATCAATCAGTAAAATATGGAAAGTTTTATTCAATTGTATTATATTAATTGTTTAAAAATTAATTTATTCATCTATCATTTTTGTTTAGCTTTACTTTCAAGAATAAATTATATCATCACATCAAAATATTTAAAAAAAGAAAATTAGTTTTTTTCTACATATGCTATGGTTTGAATTTTTAAAAATGAAGCAAATCTCTAAAAATGTTAAATGTCCCACATGATTATATTTTGGGATAATAGTTCAAAAACCTATTATAAAATAGGATCCAAATAATGATCAACCATAATCACAAATAGGAAAGAAAAATTTACCATGTTTGGAAATCTTTAAAATTTCTTTTATTCGATTTAATTTGATTCTTTAATTGAATTAAATAATTAAATCGTATTTTTTAATATTTTGGTTTGATCAAAATTTTAAACGTAATAAATTCTAATAACTTATCATATAAGTTAAATTATTTTAGTTATTTAAAATTGATAAAAACATAAAATATATATGCCATTTTATATTTATCAAAATATAAAATTATTTTAAATGTATTAAAATTTAATATATATGTGGGTTCGGAAAGGGAGAAACTGTTGTTAAAGCAAATGTTAGATTACCACACTGTAAACGATGACAAAAATCAAACCAGGCTAAAAAAATATGCATCACTCAAAATTTCGTCTAATGTAAATTGACATTTTTTTAATTGTCTAACACTTATGTTCCTAAAATTGTATGTAAATAGACATCTTTTAATAAAATCAAATTGAGAAAATATCACCCCGTGCAAGGCGCGGGTCAAACTCTAGTATATATATATATATATATATATATATATATACACATACACAGAAGAAATCAAAATAGAACTAGGTTTGGGATCTTTTGTCGTATAGTCGGTTTTAAGATTAATCATGATAATTTAATTACAGAGTTTGTAAATTTAACTTAATGTCAGTAATATTTACTTTTTTTTATATAGTTGGTCGCTTACTTAATTAGTTTAAAAGTTAAAAGATTGTTTACAATATTACATATTTAGTTTTGCTTTTACCAAATCTATATTAGTTATTTAGTTTCCTGCTTGCTTGCTGCACAAGTTTGATATTTTGGCTCTGTAGTATTTTCTTTTTTGGGAAATTCCTGATATGTAGTCTTAAGAAGAGAGATATTTGCTTATATGTTCTTTAATAAAACAGATTTAATCATATAATCTAGATACTCGATAGATGAACAACTAAAGACTGAAACAATCACACCCAACCGAATGAAGCAGGATGATCCGGTCTGAACCAAATTTTTTTAGATGTCAATTCAATGAACAATTTTCTTAACCAGAACAACATTAAATCCAAAACCACCTAGACTCAAACCAACGCTCGACGTTTTTAACTCAAAGACGTTAAAACTACATCATGTATCAGTTTCAAAATAGAAACTCATAATCACTCGACCTCGCTACCACTTCACCAAACCGGGAATCCGGTTAAAACCTGATCTTATCCCCAATACCACCTACATGTGATGCTAGGATCATAGATTTGACCAGCGAACAAAACGGTTCCGGTTATGTCTTCTCTAATCAAGAAAAGAAATGGATGATCAGCCACAAAGTTTATCATCTTCGGAACTCCACCAATACTTAAACAAGTGGCAGCCGCAGCTTCAGTGCCTTGTTCATCAATCTCGACACAAGCTTTATGGTACATCAACACTTTATCCTGTCCCTCGAAAGCCCTTGAAGTCTCAAATCCGAAAGAGAACTTAAACTTTGGGATTCTGAAATCCCCAACAAACACTTTTTTCTTGGGAATATGACTATCCAAGAATCCAGGAGTTGATGTCATTTCCTCAAGAAGATTGTCCAACCCATCTTTCTTGTCCGGAAGATAGAAATACATTGAGAATTTCCTGTCCGTACCACCATCACGGCCTTGTCGGTATGGTAGTCCGAGGACCTTGAAACCCTTGTAAGCTGTAATGTATTGTCTTTCATAGCTTCTGTCCATGAAAGGAGCACGTACTTGTTTGCCGTTGAGAAGGTGAAACTTCTTTACTTTTGTCAAAGACTTTTCGAATTGGTCTTTCCAGGCTCCTTTGAAGTACAATGCGTTTCCATAAACCTGTTGGGTTTGAGAATCAACGGATCCAGGAGGAAGAATATCTTTGATGAGACCATTGGTGTGCTCTGAAGCCCATTTATTCACCTCTATACGCACTTCCTCAGCCTTCAAAACAACGAAAGATGTCACTAAATTTCTATAAGTTAATTACATAGATTTCAGAATGGAGCTTCTCGAAACATGGATTAACATAGATTCACAGAGTTTCTTCTAACAATGATCCGTAAACTAGTTTAACAGATTTTTTTGTCTTTGATAATAAGATTCTGAAAACCCTAATAAGTCTTACAACATTTAAAATAAGTGCACTAACTAAGTTTAACAAGATGTATTAACTATATTCATGTTCATTATATGATCATGTATACTTTCATAAATATTGATTATCAAGTTATCTTTGGGGAGTGATTTACCTTGGATATGAAATCAACTTGAGTGAAAGTAGCCTTGAAGACATTCTCAAATTGATCCTTCAACGACTGATCAACCGGGAGTGATTGCTCCACCCAAACGCCGTTTACCATCGAGATTTTGGGGCTCCCGCTGGCACTTCCGTCAGCAAAAACGACGGTAGCGATCTCGCTGTAGACGGCGTTAAGCTTGTCGGAGCCGGAGCCGTTACCGGCAGCCATCATTGTGAGCGCAGCGCTGATTGACGTCGGAGAGAAGACGAAGTTAGAGTGACGTGCTTCGGTAATGATTACTTTACGCGTAAGGTCCAAAGCGGCGGCGTTTTGCTTCTTCATCGCTTTTTGCAACTCCTTCTTTGAGAGAGAGGGACTTGCGATTACTTGTGATTTGCTGAGTTTTTGCTTTTTCTTATTCCTTCGATCCATCTTTGAGAGAGAGGCATCTGCTGTGTCTGAAGCTCTGCTAAGCTTTTGTTTTCTCTCCTCTGAATCCATCTTTCTCACGTTTTTGTTTATTTCTTTGTGAGCACATATGAGACATGTATATATAAAAGATCAAAATGCAACCAGGGTTTTGGGATCTTTTAGCGTATAGTCGGTTTAGAACAAATGGGAGAATTGGCAATTTACCCCAAATTGAAACTTCATTTGTCCCACTACACCTTGTCATTTCCACTTTGTCCTAATACCTTTTTTTTTAACACTTTTCTCAGTTTTGCCCTTCTTTTTCGTTTTGTTACCATTTTCGTTTTAAAAAAAATATATATATTAAATAAAAATTAAAATGAACAAAACCAAACTGATTAAAAAATAAACCGAAAAAAACAAAACTTAATCTCTCCTTCTCTCCTTCTCTCACGACGGCGCCAGAGGCGATCGAAAACCTAATCCCCGTTTTTGTTGTTTTCTCCTTCTCCACTATCTCTGCTCTCCGCCGAAGTCCAGATTTGGGATAGTTGGAGGAAGAAAAGGAAAAAAAGATTTGAAAAATATTTAGTTGCAATATTTTCTCGATTTTCGCAGAAGATGAATTCTACAAAACCGTAGACGACACTAGTTTTGCTAGATTGTGTACTAGAAACACGATCGTAGAGAACATGGTTTAAGTAGAACACTACTTCTGCGGGATGTAGATTAGACAAAAAACGTAGAATACGAATACTATTTCTTCTAGACAGCAGTGTTTCGCGTAGAACATAAAATCTACAAGTAGTAGAAGATACTTGATTGAGTAGAATACATTTGGTGCGAATTCTACAAAATGGCAGAGCCTATAAGAGTAGGTAGATATCAACTTCTACATCATGCAGAGATATGAATAAGTTGTAGACATTATGTTCTACGGAGGTTAGACCTCTGAATATCTTGCAGTCAATGTATTCTACTTTGTTATTTTAGTTTTGTAGAATGAAACTTGAAATATTGTTTTAAATATCATAAACATTTTCAAAAGTGTTCAAATATTTTACACAGTGATGAAATCATTTTTAGGAATTATGGCATTTTTTTTACTTCAAAAAACATTTAGTATGAGTTTATAAATAAATTGAAGGACAAACATGACCAAAAAAGATCAAAGTCAAAAAAGGTGTACTGGGACAATAATAGTTTCAATTTGGGGTAAATTGCCAATTCTTCCCTTTTTTTTTGAATGAATGTTAAATTTATTCTAAAGCAAATAATCTTTTAAGTGAGCAAATTTTTTTTTATCATAATTAAATATAAATTTTACAGAGATTAAGCTAAATTTATACTTTCTGTAATTCAAATGTATATTTCTCTTAGCCCATTAGGCCATTACTAATCCTTTTGGGAGAATTGGTAATTTACCCCAAATTGAAACTATTATTGTCCCAGTACACCTTTTTTGACTTTAATCTTTTTTGGTCATGTTTGCCCTTCAATTTATTTATAAACTCATACTAAATGTTTTTTGAAGTAAAAAAAAATGCCATAATTCCTAAAAATGATTTCATCACTGTGTAAAATATTTGAACATTTTTGAAAATGTTTATGATATTTAAAAAAATATTTCAAATTTCATTCTACAAAACTAAAATAACAAAGTAGAATACGTTGACTGCAAGATATTCAGAGGTCTAACCTCCGTAGAACATAATGTCTACAACTTATTCATACCTCTGCATGATGTAGAAGTTGATATCTACCTACTCTTATAGGCTCTGCCATTTTGTAGAATTCGCACCAAATGTATTCTACTCAATCAAGTATCTTCTACTACTTGTAGATTTTATGTTCTACGCGAAACACTGCTGTCTAGAAGAAATAGTATTCGTATTCTATGTTTTTTGTCTAATCTACATCCCGCAGAAGTAGTGTTCTACTTAAACCATGTTTCTACGATCGTGTTTCTAGTACACAATCTAGCAAAACTAGTGTCGTCTACGGTTTTGTAGAATTCATCTTCTGCGAAAATCGAGAAAATATTACAACTAAATATTTTTCAAATCTTTTTTTCCTTTTCTTCCTCCAACTATCCCAAATCTGGACTTTGGCGGAGAGCGGAGATGGTGGAGAAGGAGAAAACAACAAAAACGGGGATTAGGTTTTCGATCGCCTCTGGCGCCGTCGTGAGAGAAGGAGAGAAGGAGAGATTAAGTTTTGTTTTTTTCGGTTTATTTTCTAATCAGTTTGGTTTTGTTCATTTTAATTTTTATTTAATATATATATTTTTTTTAAACGAAAATGGTAACAAAACGAAAAAGAAGGGCAAAACTGAGAAAAGTGTTAAAAAAAAAAGGTATTAGGACAAAGTGGAAATGTGAAGGTGTAGTAGGACAAATGAAGTTTCAATTTGGGGTAAATTGCCAATTCTCCCAAAAAAAAGGAAGAGCAGCAAGTGAAGATTTATGTCTTTAAACATAAGAAACATGCATGAGATCCAGCATCAAAGGTAATTATGTCTTTGTGAGATTTGATTTTCAATCCAGACAGAAATTTGTCTACTTTATGTAACATGTAAAGCTCAAGTTGGTAATTAGAGAGTGAACAAAACGTATGCTTTACCAGATTTTTATCAATCTTTGGATTTTGTAAGCAAGTCTATAGAAATATTAAATAAAAAAACTTTGGATAATCAATGAGAAATTTCACCATATAAAAATCTTTAAGACATGAAGCAGAAAACATATTAAACTTGGAAGATGATGAATGGCTGGTCTAAATGTGAAACTTTCACTTGTGTGAGTTGGGAACGATGCGAGCGCAATTGTCCTTGAGGAGAGGTGGAAAGAATGGGTTCAGTGGAAACATTTGAGGCCAACAATTTGCATCTAAGGTCGAGAACACCTTGCAACATGCGGCTTCAACATTTTCAAACTTGCCGGAGAAAATTGATTTGGAGATTTCGAGCACACATCCTTCAACGTTAAAAAGAGACGACCAACATTTAACTAAATCTATAGGTGAACCAGGCAGGACAAACCCAGGAGTTGTTAGTGGTGGTTGCACTTGAGCTACTCCTTGAGTGAACAATATGGTAGCACAAAGGGAAGCAACTAAGATCATGGAGACAAAAGCTTTGCTTCCCATTTTTCTAATTATTCCTTTTACCTTTTTTCCTTTTGTTGTTGTTGTTTGCTTGGATGGTTTTGGATGCTGGAAGAAACTTATGATTTATAGGGGTAGAAAACAGTAATTTGTTAAATAACAGATCAATATTAAATTTAGTTAAAAAATGTAACTCAAGTTTAGGTTTAACGTATCAAATGTTTCCTACATTTTAAGCTGAAATAAATGACCAATCGAAGTTGTATTTTGACCCATTTAATTATTTTTCTTGTTAATTAACTTTCCGTTTGGTTTCTTTGCGATTTACTGATTAATTAACTTGACAAACTTTTTTCCAGTTTACATTTAATCCAATAGATTTAGAAAATAAGACCTTACTAGACTTTGACCCGCGCCTTGCACGGGGTGATATTTTCTCAATTTGATTTTATTAAAAGATGTCTATTTACATACAATTTTAGGAACATAGAAGTGTTAGACAATTAAAAAAATGTCAATTTACATTAGACGAAATTTTGAGTGATGCATATTTTTTTAGCCTGGTTTGATTTTTGTCATCGTTTACAGTGTGGTAATCTAACATTTGCTTTAACAACAGTTTCTCCCTTTCCGAACCCATATATATATTAAATTTAATACATTTAAAATAATTTTATATTTTGATAAATATAAAATGGCATATATATTTTATGTTTTTATCAATTTTAAATAACTAAAATAATTTAACTTATATGATAAGTTATTAGAATTTATTACGTTTAAAATTTTGATCAAACCAAAATATTAAAAAATACGATTTAATTATTTAATTCAATTAAAGAATCAAATTAAATCGAATAAAAGAAATTTTAAAGATTTCCAAACATGGTAAATTTTTCTTTCCTATTTGTGATTATGGTTGATCATTATTTGGATCCTATTTTATAATAGGTTTTTGAACTATTATCCCAAAATATAATCATGTGGGACATTTAACATTTTTAGAGATTTGCTTCATTTTTAAAAATTCAAACCATAGCATATGTAGAAAAAAACTAATTTTCTTTTTTTAAATATTTTGATGTGATGATATAATTTATTCTTGAAAGTAAAGCTAAACAAAAATGATAGATGAATAAATTAATTTTTAAACAATTAATATAATACAATTGAATAAAACTTTCCATATTTTACTGATTGATTGACTAATAAATAAATTTTCGTCATTACCAAATAAGGAAACTGAAAGAAAATAATTTTCATTAATAATTATTTTTCTGACTAAATTAATCATATATATTTCATTCTCTAACCAAATATGAATGGCATAACATGTAATTAGTCTAGTAATGTTTGTCTTAATTAAAACTAACCTTGAAAGTGAACCTGGTGTTGACACATCAGCATGACATTTCTGTTAATAACACATGAGACAAAGGTTTATTTTATAGTGTTTTCTCTTTTAATATATTAGGGATTATTAGTTAAATGTTTTTCTACAATTTTTCATTAGGACTTACACAATTACAAAACAAAACTGTATCTAAAGTTGTAATGGTTGACTTTAGAATTGACATTGAGTTATGGCATTCCAAAGCATTTCTCTCAAGATCTTGATCTCTTCATTTGTCCAAAACTCCGATCCATGAAGGAGAACTCTAAATCAAAATCCACGTTTTTTCGGGTTTTGACTAAAATTTGGATCTTTAAAAGCGGCTTACAAAATGCGATCCTCGGGTCGAATGCTAAAGTCTACTCTTGTTGTAAATTTAAGCTGCACAAAGAGAGGGTTGATACTTGATAGGTCATAGGTGTAAAAACCAGGTCTCCGAACTATTTTGGATTTTTGGATCAGTATTTCATGATACTCATAAAACTAAACCAAATTATAATTGTTAAATAATTAAATAGGTCCATAATTGGTTTCGATCATAACGTAACGTTTTGATGATAAGAACTGGTAGACCTTGTTGACCCATCTATTTTTAATCTGATGTAAGTTTGCATTTTGCATGCTGTCTTGTCGATCAATTATTAAGGTCTAGTGACAAATATTTAATTTATTTCATACATGTCTTCAGTTCATGATCATATAATGATCATTTTATTTTCGATTTAATGTTCAACTATACAATTTGACATTTTCTTGTCAAGAAAAAAAAGAAAACTTAACTAGATAGCCATGAATTCTTCGAGCCAAGTCACTGGAGGAAACTTAACAATCTCTGATTGCATCATACAATTTGAGAACCCCCAAAATTCCCCCAAGCGATTGAAGAAATCAGCAGGTGGTCTATCTTGTTGCATCTTCAGAATCCCACACACTTTCGTCCAAGCCAATGAAACAGCCTACAAACCGAAGATCGTCTCGATCGGTCCTTACCACCATTGGGATGGTGAAGATGATAAAAGTAATCTTCACATGATCCAGGAGCACAAACAAAGATATCTTGATACCTTCTTGTCCAAGGCAAAGGAAAAACTGGTCTATTTGACCCATTTTCGCGAAGCCATCTCAAGGATGGAGCTGAGCATTCGAGATTCCTACTCCGAGGATCTAAAGTTTGATCGTGAGAAGCTGACTGATATGATGATTCTTGACGGTTGCTTCATCCTCACGTTGTTTCTTGTAGTTTCAAAGAAGAGTTGGCGTAAGAATTATATTGATGACCCGATTTTCACGTTGAGGTGGATTTTACCAACTCTTCGAAGTGATCTTCTCCTACTTGAGAACCAGGTTCCACTCTTCGTTCTACAACATCTCCTTGACACGTCAAAACTATTTCCTTCTGCTAGCCTAAACGAAATGATCTTTGCATTCTTTAGCTATTCCATAAGAAAGCCAAAAGATTTTTGGGAAAAAAGAAGAAATCTTGATGCAACCCATCTTCTTGATCTCATCCGTAAAACTTACATACCTATTAGTCCGCATAAAACAGAAGAACACAGTAGCACCAATATATGTTTCAATATACTGAGTCATAGGAAAAATAAAACTCAAGCGGATACACCAACACCGCCTCTTCGTCCGTTTCTCGGTCTGATTGTCTCAGCCAAAAAACTTAAACTCCGTGGAATAGAATTCAAGCAAAAAGAGGAATTTGATACACCGCTGGACATTACTCTCAAGAGGGGTGTGCTTGAAATACCAAAACTAACATTTGATGACTTTTTCAGCTCTCTTTTGATCAACTGTGTCGCTTTTGAGCAGTTTAATATGAAATGCTCCACGGAAATGACAAGCTATGTTACTTTGATGGGCTGCCTCATAAACAGTGAAGAGGATGCAACATTCTTGACCGAGAAAGGGATCATAGAGAACTACTTTGGGACTGGAGAACAAATATCTTTGTTCTTCAAGGACACTGGCAAGAACATAGCGTTTTCAATATCAAAGAGTTTCTTGTCAGATGTGTTCGAGGGAGTGAACAAGTACACTTCACAAGGATACCATGTACAATGGGCAGGATTCAAGTACACACATTTCAACAGTCCGTGGGCATTTCTATCATCTTGTGCCGCTTTGATACTTCTTCTGGTTACCATTTTCCAAGCTTTCTTCGCAGCCTATCCTTACTTTCGCTCTCCCAGTTAAAGCCAGTGAGTTGGTTGCGGCTATGGCTTTATATTGGCGTGGCTCTGACGAATGTTTCACCTTTGGGTTTGTCTCCAACCTGACCATGAAGTCATGAACGAAGCTTTATCATCACGTCTTTACATTGTTATTCTTGCTATTTTCTATTACGAACTATGAGCATTTGTATTTGACTTCAAGGTTGGCAATATCGTTTCTTGGTTTTGATCTAAAAACTTCAAGGTTTGTACTTGACTTCATGTCCCATTTCAATTTTTATATGTTTACCAATAACTCGAGCTTTAAAATTTGAAAATATTGATATGGCTATTTACTTGTAGATTTCATATCGCAAATGCGTCAAATACACCAAATTTTATTAATCTTTGGATATTTGTGCTAGAGAGGTCCATAAAATTGCTAAATAAACAGAAACATTGAATGAAAATCGAAAAGTTTTACTATATAACTCTAAAATATGAAGGAAAGACATATTAGACTTGGAAAATGATGAATGACTGGTCTAAAGATGTTGACTTTCACTTGTGTGCTGGTGAGTTGGGAACGATGCGAGCGCAATTATCCTTGAGGAGAGGTGGGAAGAATGGGTTCAGTGGAAACATTTGAGGCCAACAATTTGCGTCTAAGGTTGAGAACACCTTGCAACATGCAGCTTCAACATTTTCAAACTTACCAGAGAAAATGGATTTGGAGATTTCAAGCACACATCCTTCAACGTCAAAAAGAGACGACCAACATTTAGCCAAATCTATAGGTGAACCAGGCAGGACAAACCCAGGAATTGTTGGGGGTGGTTGCACTTGAGCTACTCCTTGAGTGACAAAAATGGTAGCACAAAGGGATACAACTAAGATAATTGAGACAAAAGCTTTGCTTCCCATTTTTCTTATTATTCCTTTTACTTGTTTTTTGGGGTTTGGTTTACACTTTTAGATGCTTGAATGGTTTTTGGATGTTGGAAGAAACTTATGATTTATAGATTTAGACAATAGACTGTATTAAATAAATCGAAGAGTTACATATTAATATTGAATTGTTTTCGAGATGTAACTGTAACAAATGACCAATTCCACGTGCTTCTTGTTAACGGATAATTAATTATGTAAAAGTTACAAGTAACTTTTGACCCATTTAATGGCTTTGATTGGTAACCAATTTATATAGCATTACAACTTGTAATGTTAACTATGTAACCAATCACATAGACTTTACAAAACTGATGGTACAACAATGGATATTACAAAATGCTGCATTACAAATTGTAATGAATTTGTAATGCTGCATTACAATTTGTAATGCTCCTTTTCATAGTGGTACACAAATTAAATGAATTGTACACATTTTTTTGTTATTTTGTTTTTAATTATAATTTGTTTTTCTTCTCCTCTCAGCCTTGATCGAACTCAAGTGGTGGAGGCCCACAAACCAAATGAGCTTTAATCATAATTCTTTGTTATGTTTTTTTTGTTCAAAAAAATATATCAATGTATTAATATTACTTGTTAGTAAATATCAGTTAAAAATATATATTCAGGGTAAATAGTTTATGTAATGGCATATATGTAATATAATAGTTCATCAAATTGTAATTTATTTTTCTTTATCATCATAGTCTTTTTGTGGAAATTTTAGACAGCATTTTGTTTCATATATTTCAGTTATGAATTTTGAATTTAGTCAATTAATTTATATTGTATTTTATATATTTTTATCTGTATTGCATTTAACTTTGAATAAATATCTATTTTGTTATATATGGATTTGTTTTGATGATTTCCAAATAAAGTGGATTATCAAACTTTTTTGACATAAAAAATATTGGTTCTTTAAAATTTTGTAAACCTGTATATACTTTTATTTTAGTAAGTAAATGTGGTGATCCTTTTTAAAAATAAAAAATAAAAAAATATGTTTAGTGTTATATTTGAGAAACTTTTTTAATTTTTAAAATTTAAGTTTTTTTCCAACTAATTTAATTTTTTTAAATTGATTCTAATTTTTATTATAAAATATACTATTTGTAATGTTACAATGTTACCAATCGGGATTAAGTTAGGTACTATTAGTTTTTACTATCTTCATTTGTACTGTTATGTTTTGTACCACTGTTTTTTGTACTGCTATATTTGGTACCACTATTTTTCTTGTAACACACTACTATTCACTATGTCACCAATCGGAGCCAAAATATGTTCTTGATAACTTTCAGTTCGGTTCCTTTTTTTTTTGCCAACCAGTTAGCTAGGTTTCTTTGTGATAGATTCATTAACTTCACATAACTGCAAATTATTAATATTATCAAACTAACCTATCAAAGGCTAACTTCTTGTATTAGGCTTCTACAAGTAGGATTAGGTCCAAAACTGTGGGGAAAAAGTCTTGTTTGCGTAGTCAACAAGTTAATATATAAGACATGAGTGAAGTTGTACTTTGTTCTACATCTACGGTGCAGTGATCCCAAAGACTTCTTCAAAGTCAAAACGTTGGACCAAAACAAATCTAACATAGCATAGTAGTAATACAATATTTGTTGTCGTGATGGGCAGATCTTATCGATCTATGAATCAGAATCTGTACAGCATAACGACTTCTTCTTCATCATCTTCTTCTTCTTCTTCTTTCTCTGGCCCTAAACGGAGACATGGAACTCAAGTGATCCGCAAAAAGAGCCGTTCTAATCATGACTATCTTCACGAGAGATCTCAGCCGTCGGATCGTATTATATGTTCTATTGCCGCTCTTCTTTCTCCAACTCTTGCCTTACGTTACCTGCCAGCAAGAGTCTGAACCCAAAGTCCAGGCGGAATCGGTAATTGGAATCGTTTTGCTTTCCATGTTCCTCTTAAGTATAGTCGGTAGCTGCTTGTACCACATATTTCTCAGCGCAGAGATTGAGCCGGAAGGCCATGAAGTGTTGCATTCTGGAACGAGGCGTGGGCTCGACAAAGATGTCATCGAGTCGTTTCCGTGTTTCCTCTACTCAGAGGTTAAAGGACTCAAGATAGGCAAAGGCGGAGTCGAATGTGCCATCTGTATAAGCGAGTTTGAGGATGAAGAAAAGCTACGTTGGATGCCTCCTTGTCGCCACACGTTCCATGCTAGTTGCATCGACGTCTGGCTCTCTTCTCGCTCCACGTGTCCGGTCTGCCGTGCGAGTCTGTCTCTTAAACCCGGAGAGAGTTTCCCACATCCAAGAACCGATCTTGAAACGGGGAATGGTCAAAGTTATGTTCAAGAACCCAACGATGACATAAGCTTGAGAGGGAATAGTGGAGATTACACAACACCTCGATCGAGATCTACAGGGTTATTGTCAAGCTGGCGTATGGCTGAGATTTTCCTTCCAAGATCTCATTCGAGCGGAGATTCATTGGTTCAACTAGATGAGAATCTAGACCGATACACATTGCAGCTACCGGAGGAGGTGCAGAGACAGTTGGTAAGCTTGAATCTCACAAGGAGAAGCCACATGGACTTACCTCAAGCAAGGAGTTCGAGAGAGGGATACAGGAGCGGCAGCGTTGGGAGCGAGAGAAGCGGTTTCTCACAAGGACGACAAACGCTTCGGCGGGCTATTTCTACGTCCCTCTCTTTCTCTTTTCAAGCTGCTTCTGTTCTGTCCACGCATGGCAAGAACGTCCGAGAAACTTCCCAAGCTAAGGACATTGAATCTGGTGAACGGTCGTTTGCACGCCTCATGCCAGAGAAGGTCTGATCTATGTAATTTGTTTGGAGGATAAGTCACAGAAAAGAAGGTCGAGTTTGATGATTATGCTTGCGGTCATTCATGTGAGACATAGTTTGGTTAAAACCATAAACTGGTTTCAAAGTCTGTAAACAAAAGTTAGAGCAAATGGGAGCCTACACTACACATCAAAAACTTCCATCTGCGATCAGCGGTTTCAGCTAGCATCGTTCGAATATCTTGTACAGCTTTTCAAGAGATGCAACCTGCAAAAGAGCAAAAAGATTGTAATTAATGCCTTTGTGAGATTTGATGTTCCAGAGAATAAGTTTTCGACTTCTTTTATGTTAACTTCTACTGATAATTAGAGAATTTGGTAAACCTTTACAAAAGTTCCATTTGAAGCCATGGAGGCTGGTGGCTTTAAGAACAATCTCATAGACGGAAACAGCACGTGTTGGATTGACCATTCGCGCTGCGCCCATGCGTTTTCAGCATCTGAGAAAAGTTCTTGGTCAAGAGCTAACTCCATCTCGACGTTACCTCCTGCAACAGTTCATCAGATGTTCACCAGAAAACCAAAACCGAAAAGCATTAGACACAAGCAGAGGTAAATTACCTAAATCTTGCTTCTCCTGAGAGCTCTCGCTTCTCTTGGTGTAGAATCGAATACCGTCACCCGCTGGGTTTGGCAAAAGAGGAGGATGCATGGCATAAAAGTTCCCAATAGCCGCAGAGACTCCTTGAAAGCAAGTCTTCTCATCTTCCCACTCAACCTAAATAGTACATTAGGGTGACATTAGAACCCACTGTTCCTCGGATCATTAACATTTCAGCAGGAGCATAATGGAGAGATAATAGTATATGAACTCACATCATTTCCCAAACATAGTAAAAATTCTGGAACACGGTCCATGTCAGGTGTATACTGGTCGAGTATGACAGGAAGCCGTGACAAATTCCCATCGGAGTCGATGTAAACGCTGAAATACTCTTCTAACAATTCCGTTTTCTCCTTGAGGAGTTCTGTATTCATCTATATATTAAAACGGAGCAAGTTAACCAAATCCTTGCTATTGTTGGGAATACAAGGGATACATGATAAAGAACTCATAGAAATGCAGAAAGCAAAAAACTTACTTCAGCGATTCGTTCTTTCATATGATCCTTTCCATCAATTTCAGGATCTAGATCCTCCTCTTTGAGAGCCAACAATATCAACTCGGACAGAGGGGCTGGATCACTAAGCTGTATAGCATTAAAATGAGCAAAACGACGAAGAGTCTGCTGATACATGAGCTCTTTGCTGCCAAATGAGTAAGATGATAATCATGATAGGTGGTATGAGCTTTTTTGTGCATACAGCTAAAAATCCATCAAAACATTAAATCTCAAGAATAATACCTGAGGTTCACCACATTGGCTAGATATAGATGAGTTTCATACTGAACTAAAGCAAAAACATCATCTGCCATTCCAACATATGTGCAATTCCTTACAGTCTCCAGCAGACCTAACAGAGAATAATTTCGAGAAAGCTGTTGAGGACTGGTTTAAAGACGCTTATGTTCAGAAGAATAGCCAAAGCAGAGCAAGGTACCTGGATGGCAGCAGCTGTCAACTCCAGCAATAAGTTCCTGAACACTAGAAAGATCAGCAGTTTCCTTCGGGTTTCGTCTTTGTCTTATAGAAGACCTGCCAGTTCAGTAATCATTATCAAGTGGAATATAATGAAGAGTAACAAACCTAAGCCAAAGAAACATGTTTCAAGAAAACCAAAGAAAATGAGATTTTTGAAAAGAATGATGACACGGGATCCTACTTTGCTTATATGGAACTATATATGTTTTAATCAGTTTAGGTCTTACCTTACAGCACTCAAAGTTGATATCTTTTCAGGGAGATTATCTGGCTTGGGTTGCAAAAAGGCATGTAACCTTCCAGCTGGATCTGATGAATCTGTTCTCACCATTTTATTCACAGGAACTTTCGGTGTTTTTTGTCCTAGTTAATGAGAAGAGCATAGGCTCTGTTATGAAGTGAAAAAGGACGAAAGAGCATGCAATGGGAAGGATTTAGGCTATAAAAGGTATTTGACCGAGTTAAATGGTACAATACCAGAAGGCAGGGGAGAAACTTGAGGATCTTTTCTTGAGGGGGTTAACGTAGTTTGAATGTATTCCACTTTCTGTAGCAAGAAGGAACACTTATAATTTACTAAAAAAATGTTCTTAACCTCCAGAGAAAAATATTGCTTTAGGTTCTTTTGCGTTTCATGCATACCTGTTCTTGAAACGTCCTAGTATCATTTGCGTTTCTAAGTTTTAATTCGACTTCTGACTGTATCATCTCGATCACGATTTCCTGGTTTAAAAGGCTTACCTGCAAGCTAGACCAAAACATTTAATTTACTTGACTCTATAACATAAGGAATTCATTTTTCAAGCAAAGTTAAACAAATAACACAATCTTATTATAGAAAGCAATCACCTCTTTCTTTGTCGGATGAATATTGATATCAACATGTTCGCGTGGCAAATTGATTGACATGTAGACAAAAGGCTTCGATGCTTTTGGTAACGTAGCAGCATAAACAATCTCAATGGCTCTTTTCAATGCAGAACATTCAACCAATCTATCTGTTATAATCAATAAATCAAACATCACATAGTGATAAAATCAAATACAACTTTTATTTTCTATTAAGGAAAAAAAAAGTCCTCACCATTAATGAAAAGCACCAATATAGTCTTCTTAGCAACATAGTTCGAATTGGATATAAAACCCTCCATATCAAAAGTACAACCGGAGGTGTCACAGGAAGAGACTTCTACTTTGATCAAGTTCTTAGCAACTGATACACCGTAAACAGATCTGATCGAATCAAGCCTTGAAGACGACACGACCGAGTGAACATCAGCCTTGACAGCTCCATGCTGGCGAGACAACATCATACACAAGAATCAGTTTTTTTTTCATTCACTTCACAATTCCAAGAATTGGTAATCCAAGACTAGGTTAGTGAGTAAGTATTACTAACCTTTCGACACGAAAAGCTGACGTTATTGTGATGAATAGCCATCCTGCTCAGCAAGTCTACTATTTTCCCATAATCATCGGCAGAGTTTTGAAGTGTCTTCCTTCTAGCAATCATATTATAGAACAAATTCTCCACCTAAACACACACAAAACTCAAACACATAAACACACAATCACTTTCTCCTTTCTCAATCAATTTGATAACTTTACCATTATCTGCGTTCCTTTTACAGCCGCACACGCCTTTGGTTCATTCTCCATCACACCATCTCTATAAGACACTCTGAAACAGTGACACTAACTTGTAACTACCTTTAACAAATTGAGTAGAAGAAAAAAAAAAGCAGAGCTTTAAGCGCATCATCGTACCTGTAACCATGAATCTGGCCTTTAGTGATGGTGGTTACTGTAACATGAGCAACATAGGTCATACTAGCTAATGCCTCCCCTCTAAAACCCATGGAACTTAGAGAGAACAAATCTTCATACTTAGTCAGCTTCGATGTCGTATGTCTCTCGCATAGTATCGGCAAGTCTTCACGCTAATTTACGAAACAAAAATTAACACAAAATTGATTTGACCCAAACGAAAACGAAAACTTTTCCAAGTTTTTGAAACTAAAAATGAGAGAGAGTGTAGAGAGAGGCATTACTCTAATGCCGTGACCGTCGTCGGAGACTTGAATGAGTTTCAAGCCGCCGTCCTTAACAACGACGCTTATGGAACTTGAATCGGCGTCGAGGCTGTTCTCAACGAGCTCCTTCACCGCCGAAACTGGACGCTGGATTACTTCACCCGCTGCTATACGGTTGACCACTGATTCCTCTAGTCGTTGAATCCTCGGTGGGTCTCTCGGTTCTACCGCCGCCGCCGGAGACTCTTCCACCTCCATCGCCACCGCAATTGGCGAACCGTCGATCATCATCATCTCTCCTCCGCAGAGAAAACCTCGCGCCAGATACAAATTGGGAATGTCGACACTACAATTTGGGCCTGTAGCCCAATTTAAAAGCCCATGATTCAAACGAGGCCGTTTCGATGGCCCCACAAACTAAAGATGAGATTGTTCTGGTTCAAAGAATGGATAATTTAGGAAATTTCCAGAAATTACGGGTCCGATTTGACAAAACGCTTATCGTCTTCTTCAAAACGAACAATTCGAAAAAAAACACAACCTAACGCGAAATCACTTCATCGCTCTGGAGAAATAAAGTTACCACTTTTCTTCAATTATAATCACTTTTGTACTTTGAATAAAGAGATTTGTGATCTGCAATTGTAGTCGATATTCGTTTGAGAAAAATCAATGACGGAACCGGAAAGATTAGGAGGAATCTCCCTGAGTTTTCCGGCGAACGAAGAAGATATTAACGTGACGACATCATCGCCCAAGACTCTTCCACGGAGGCTCCGTCGTCGTCTTCTCGAATCGAAAAGCCCCGTCTCCGCCGAAGAGATCGATTCCAAACTCAAAGAAGCTGATCTCCGTCGTCAGGTAAAGATTTTCAATTTTGAATTACGTTCGGAAAAATATCACCGGATTTATTGAAATTCCCATTAATTTTGTTGTTTTTGTTTTGCAGCAATACTATGAGTCATTATCGAGCAAGGCACGACCTAAAATGAGAAGCCCGAGATCAGCAACAATGGAGGAGCTTAGTCAGAGACTTGAATCAAAGCTTAACGCTGCTGAACAAAAGAGGTAAAGAGTCAGTCTTTACGTAATTTAAAACAGAAATGCGAGTTTTCAATTTCAAAACTTTATTGATGATGATGATGTAATGCTTCAGGTTAAGTCTTTTGGAGAAGGAGTTAGCTCGTTTAGCGAAGCTAGACGAAGCAAGACAAGCTGCAAAGAACGGACTTGAGCAAAGGGTTGTGAAGGAGCGCGACGAGTTAGAGACTAAAGTTGAAGAGAGGGTACAAAAGGCAGAGACGAATAGGATGCTTCTGTTCAAAGCTATGGCGCAACGAAGAGCGGCAAAGAGACAGCGAGCCGCGCAGAGCTTGATGCAGAAGGCGATTCAGGAGAATAGGTATAAGGAGAGCGTGCGTGCAGCGATTTATCAGAAGAGAGCAGCTGCTGAGAGTAAACGGATGGGGATTCTGGAAGCTGAACGGAGAAGAGCGAACACGAGGCTGACACGGGTTTTTGGAGCTGCTAGCTCTGTGCAGAGTCAAAAGGAAGCTGAAAGGAGGAAGATGAAGGACCGTTTAGAAGAGCGGCTTCAAAGGGTATGCTTGAAAAGTTTCAAACTTTAGTCATCATTTGTGTGATTTGGCAATGATTTATCATTATTGTTTTGGTGTTTGTTAGGCTAAGAGACTGAAAGCACAATATATGAGACGAAGGAGAGGTATGTATAGCTCTGCACAAAGATCAGAAAAAATGCGGAAGAATCAAGAACATCTTGTGAGGATGTTAGAAAGGTAGGCATTGCTCTTTAAAAGTGTAAGATGTTTCATACGTCGTTGGTCTGATTGTGGTTTTCAATCTTCAGATGCTGGAGGAGATTTACAGAGAGCAAGAAATCTACATTTGTCTTGGCTAGAGCCTATCACGGGCTGGGGATTGATGAAAAGTCCATTGAGTCAGTGCCGTTTGAGCAGCTTGCCATTCAAATGAACTCGGTTGCTGTAATCCGAACTGTGAAAGAATTGCTTGATCGCTTGGAGATACGACTCACTTTGTCTCAGGGATCCACTGTGAAGAACATCAGTCATCTTCTTAAGCACATCTTTCCCCCAGCTCGAAGAGGAAACTCACCGAGTTCCGTCGTGAGTAAAGGCGAGCAAAAGTCACCCAATTCCAAGAAGATGGGACCTCAGAGACTCAAAAAGATTGCGAGATACCCTGCTAGAATCTTTCTTTGTGCCTACATGATCAAGCAACATCCAGATGCAATTTTCAGAGGAAGAGGTGAGTATGAGATCGCGCTAGTGGAATCTGCAATCCATCTCATTCGAGAGTTTGAATTGTTGATGAGGATTATACTGGAAGGACCAGAGACTCCAGGTCCAATAAAGTTCAGAGCTCAACTAGAAGCATTTGATAAAGCTTGGTGCTCTTACCTCCAGGGATTTGTGGTTTGGAAAAATAACGATGCTAAGCTTTTAGAAACTGATTTAGCCTCAACTCAAGAGCCAGAGCTGTCTGAGGCGTCGATAGACAGTTCTTCTCCCAAAGCACCTAATTTGGTTCCTCAATCTTCATCTTCTCCGGGATCTTCAAGTTCTTCTCCGAAGTTTGGTAATATTATCAATCTGGACAACCTTTTAAAAGCTAACAGATTGTACAGCAAGTCTTCAATCTTACATGAGTTTTCTGTAGCAGGAAGCGAGGACATTTCTACTCCGAACGTGACAGGTCATAGCTTGGACGCAGCATTGGCTACTGAAAACGAAGTAATTGTAAACGAAATTGTCCATGACAATAGCAGTACTTTTGCTGATAGCTTCGACGCTAACAATGGGGATACAAACAACTTTCAGGTGCATAGATATTAGTCCATATCGCTGTGATATATGCTGGCTTCACTATTCTGATTCGTTCAGTTGCACTATATTATTTTTGGTTTGACTCGTATTTCTTCGCTTTCGTGACATCCCAGGTGCAGGTTAAGGAGACAATGGAAAAGGCTTTCTGGGATGGCGTCATGGAATCCATGAAACAGTCGGAGCCAGACTTCAGCTGGGTTATTAAACTCATGAACGAAGTCAGGGACGAACTCTGCGAGATATCTCCCAACGAATGGAAGCAAGAGATTGTTCAAACTATCGATACAGATGTGCTGTCTCAGGTACTTATTAGTTAACACTACAACCTTGCCTTTAATTGTTGGTACAACAGATATGTAATAATGTGTTCTTGATTTCTACTTTTCTTGGCATGATTCAGTTACTGGCTTCGGGGAATGTCGACATGGGTTATCTTGGAAACATTCTAGAGTTTTCCCTTGGCATTTTGCTGAAACTTTCTGCTCCTGCCAGTGAAGAGGAGATCAGAAGTACTCACCAAAAGTTAATGACAGAACTTGGAGAGATAGTTCCAACTGAAGGCGAGTCCAAATCGTCATACGCAATCTTAATGGTTAAAGGGCTACGCTTTGTTTTGCAGCAGATTCAGGTATGCACAATAATTCTTCATTCTACTGATATAGAAACTGATTGTTTCGTTGCTTTCTTTGTAATAAGAACTCGCATATGAGTATAATATTTTTTTGACACATGGTTTGTAAATTAGCTACCAACTCTCACTCTTTGACACTGGTAACACGTTTTCACATAATGTGGCCTCTTCTTGTAGATTCTGAAGAAAGAAATCAGCAAATCTCGTTTGAAAATGTTGGAGCCACTTCTCAAGGGACCTGCAGGTCTGGAATATCTGAAGAAGGCATTTTCGAGCAGGCATAGTTCCCCAGACCAAGCGTCTTCCTCTCTACCATTGACAAAGGGTTGGCTTTTCAGTGTCCGAGTAGAGGCAGAGAAAGAGTGGAAAGAACATAGAGATGCTCTTTCTGCTGTCACAAATAACCACCCCGGATCATCAGGCCTTCCTTCGACCACCATGCGAACTGGTGGCAATGTCTCCTCTGTTTCAAAAGTCAATACCTCTTCCTCTCCATTCCCAGGTTTGGCATCAAACTATCTACTCGAGTCATCTTTATGGGTTTCTTTTTTTTTTTTGTAAGGAGAAACCAAACCAACTGGTAGATTTTACTAGTAGAAACTGTAGAAACAATACATGTCCCCACCTTTTTGTAACTACCATACACTGGCACTAGCATAAAGTAGAGCTTAGCTTGGTTAGTAGTTAGGCTCCCAGATTTAGCTATTGAAGGATCATAAACTATGCTATGCGTGCATGACATTTTGGTGAATCCGGCTGAGTTCATTTGTTTGATTTATGTGCATGGTGATGACTTACTGTTGCAGGAATGGAACTATCAGAGTGCAAGGGAGAAACTGTGGATCTTCTTGTTCGTCTTGGCCTGTTGAAAATGGTGAGCGAAATTGGCGGTCTTACTCTAGAAACTGTCCCTGAAACGTTTCAACTTAACCTCTCTAGGCTGAGAGCTATTCAATCCCAAATCCAGAAAGTCATTCTAGTCTCCATCAGGTCAGTTACTGACAAAACTTACCTCTTGAAATCTCACTCAGTCACAGTGATGTTTATATAATTTTTTCTGTTTCTTTCTTTCAGTGTGTTGATCCTTCAGCAAACACTTGTAAGCGAGAACTCATCCCCGGTTGATATAGAGACAATTACATGGACTTGTGTAAACCGGCTCTACGAGATGTTAGATGCGAAACCTGACGCTGGTCTATCGGAAATCATGGAGACACTCTCCGAGCTTCTTGATTCCGACGATGAAGCAGAGACAAAGAAGCGTGTGATCTCAAACATGCTTGTGAAAAGCTTACAAGCAGGAGACGCAGTGTTCACACGCGTGTCGCAGACCATATACCTAGCCACGAGAGCCGCTGTTTTGGCCGGGAACAACACGAAGAGGAAACAGCTGGTGGAGACGATGCTGAGAAGAATCGGAGCAGCTTCTCTCTCTGACAAGGTCATTGAGGTTTCAGACATTTTGGTTCTTGTGGCGAACGTTTCGCGTAGTGTTCATGGATCGTGGTACGAAGAATTGCTGAAGGAACTGAACTGAAATCGAATGGTTTGTTTGTGAACCGGCTGTGGTTTGTTTATTGTTTGATCAAGATTTTAAGTATTTGTAGATTGTATTCAAAAACACGATACCACGTTTGTATTTATTTATACTGTAAGCTGTGGAACTTACATTATATATAGCATGCACGTTACTGTTTTGGTTTATTTTCTGGTTATGGATTCCAATTAAAACAGGGTCAAAAAATTTCAATTTGAACACCGGTTCGATCATTCGTTCCAACACCATTTAAATTTGGTTACGATGACAATACGAACAAAGTGATGTTGGGGTAATGTCCCCACCGACAAATTCTGACGAGAGACTAAAGAGGTAAAGCTACTTAAAGTGCGCGGTTTAATATATTTGATTATATGAAAATTTTGAATGAATCATATATATAAACTATTGAGTATAAACAAAAGAAGAGAGTTCAGCTTTGTAATCTTTTCGGTATCAAACAAATACGTCCTTTTAAAAGTTGTAATTATATTATCTCCTTTGGGTTTACTTGGTTGGTTGTATTTAGAGATTTTTGTTAGCACCAAAGCATTTTGAAACTTCTCACAATTTATTTTGTTATTGGATTTCAAAACTTTTACTAGTTTAGTGTAAAAACATGTATCAGTTCATTATTTTGTTGGTTACAGACTTACAGTAAACACCGTATTTTTACTTTTGAGTAGAACTGTACTGGTCACATTATATTTTATTTCTTAAAAAAGGAAAAAGACATCTTTTACTTTATTTGGACAGCTTTTTGAGTTGTAAATTTTAAGCCCACATTGGATGCCTTCTTTGACCATTGTCTACCTGAAAAACCCGCTAACATTAATCATATTCATCTCTCTGTCCCTTTCTTAATCTTTTCTCAATAAAATTAAAAACAAAAATGCCTCAAGATTCTGCAACTACTACTTCTCCGCCGCAACCTCTAACCGCCGCCGCTTCAATGCCTTCCTCTCCTCTTACGCAGCAAGAAGAAGAGCCAAAGGAGGTAACTTTAGAGCCAGAGGTATCGGAGCTACCGGAGCCAAATCCCAAGCTGAGCTCTGAGTCCGACCCACCGTTACCTTTAACTTCGGAGCAAGAGAGTCCAAACCACGCGGCGGAGGATTTAGAGCAACCGAATGGAATGACGCCGGAGAGAGTAACTTTGGAGCCAGAAGGTCTCAACCATGCGGCGGAGCATTCAGAGCAACCACACAGAGCGACTCAGGAGACAGTGTCATACCCGCCGTTGCCTTTAGTTTCGGCGCCAGAGGAACCGAACCACTCTGCGGCGGAGGAACCAGAGAAGCCACATCAAGCGACGCCGGAGAAAGAGCAGACTGATACAGAGAACGCACATAAACTGATGCTGGAGCAGAGGAAGAAGTACACTGAAGTAGCTGACTGGACAGAGCCAGAACCACCAGACGCGGCGCTTTTAGAAGCTGCTGCGGCGTCGGAGCCGCCTGAGCCAAACCAACCGGCGGCGACACCGGCACCAGCTGCTGCAGCTTCATCCGTGGAGTCAAGATCGTTAGCGGAAATGATGAACAGAGAAGAAGCTGAAGACAAACCAAAGATTCAGATTCCTCGCAACCTCGGCTCGTTCAAAGAAGAAACAAACAAAATCTCCGATCTCTCCGAAACCGAGCTAAACGCTCTTCACAACCTCCGTCACCTCCTGCAAGAATCAACCACCATCGATTCCGTCAAAACCTCCATATGGGGCGTGCCACTTCTCAAAGACGACAGAAGCGACGTCGTTCTACTCAAATTCCTGCGAGCGAGAGACTTCAAACCACAAGAAGCTTACTCAATGCTCAGCAAAACACTCCAATGGAGAATCGAGTTCAACATCGAGGAGCTTCTCGACGAGAACCTCCTCGGCGACGATCTAGAGAAAGTCGTCTTCATGCAAGGACACGACAGAGAGAATCACCCCGTCTGTTACAATGTCTACGGCGAGTTTCAAAGCAAAGATCTTTATCAGAAAACCTTCTCCGACGAGGAGAAGAGAGAACGGTTCTTGAGATGGAGGATTCAGTTTCTTGAGAAGAGCATAAGAAAGCTCGATTTTTTACCCGGTGGTGGTGGTGTTTCCACGATCTGTCAAGTAAACGATCTGAAGAACTCTCCGGGACCTGGAAAAACAGAGCTCAGGCTTGCAACTAAACAAGCTCTTCTTCTTCTTCAAGACAATTACCCTGAGTTTGTCTCTAAACAGGTAAGAACAATAATGCTTTTTTATTTAAGTGAATGTTTATTAGATCTGATAAATGTTGAAACTTTATGATTTAGATATTCATCAACGTTCCATGGTGGTACCTTGCGTTCTACAAGATTATTAGCCCTTTCATGACTCAGAGGTCAAAGAGCAAACTCGTTTTCGCAAGTCCTTCAAGATCTGCTGAAACCCTTTTCAAGTAATTACTCAAATCTTTTTCTTTCGGATTGTTTCGATATGTATAAAGTCATTCTCTTTGTCTTTTGGTTTGTTATAGGTACATATCACCAGAACATGTCCCGGTTCAGTACGGTGGTTTAAGTGTTGACAACTGCGATTGCAACTCGGATTTCACACACGATGATACCGCCACTGAGATAACCATTAAACCAGCTACAAAACAAACCGTCGAGATTGTTATTTATGAGGTTAGTGTATGGACACTTGAAGATGCTAGAGGTTATGGTTCCATTATAACGTGCAAGTATGAACGAATTTAGAGTGTGGTTTCTTACTATTATTGGCTCAAAAAACATTGTTGTTTGCAGAAATGCACGATTGTGTGGGAGATGAGAGTAGTGGGATGGGAGGTTTTGTATGGAGCAGAGTTTGTGCCGGAGAAGAAAGAAGGATACACAGTGATCATTCAGAAACCGAGGAAGATGGCTGCGAAAGATGAACCGGTAGTGTCACAGAGCTTCAAAGTTGGGGAAGTTGGCAAGATTTTACTAACCGTGGATAATCCGAACTCGGCTAAGAAGATGCTTATTTACAGGTTCAAGGTTAAACCTTTTGCCGTGTGAGTTGTTAAAGTTGCATTTGAATGTTTCTTAGTTTAGAACTTCATCATTTGATTGTTGGTTGTGTTTTTTCTTGATTGTTTTCTATGTAGCTGACTTATGTTGGTTGTGTCATGTGTGTTCTGCTTGTTAAATTTTTTATTTATTTTAGATTTCTTTGTTGCTCTCATATCTCTTAATCTTTGCTTCCAAATTCACCAAGCATTAGGCTTCAAGTAGTAGATAAAAATTTGTGAAAATCATAATCGAAGTGAAAATACAACAAGCAACAAGCACAAAACGAATACGAGCATACAAGCACAAAACGAATACGAGCATAAAATGTTTGAATTTAATAACACCACCTTTGTGTAGTTTTTGTCGGATTCAAGTGGTTTTTATACCACTTTACTTCAAGTTTACGTTTGTAGTGAATCAATACAATCAATAGTGATTATGTATAACTCACACCATACATTTTTATCTTTTTAATCATTTTCTACTTATGTTTCTCTGTTCTTGCCATTGTAAAGCAATCCCAATCTTTAATACTAAAAACTATTTACCTCGTTTTTGTTAAATCATTTTAATTTGTTCTTAGGAATCCATTCTTAAAAATCTATTCATATTTTTTTATTACTGTAAAAAGTAATAGCCTTTTCAAGCTGTTCTTGTTATTATTAGTCGTAGTGTCGTACAACAATCATCAGTCGTATTTTCGTTATCAAGCAATTGGACTTTTAGTTGTTTTCGGCAAAAACGGGTTTAGACTTTATACAGAAAACGAACAAATTTGATAAAAAAAAAAAATCCAGTACCAACTGCGACTAATATCAATGATCATATGATATGGATATGAATATATGATGATGGTGATTATTAAAACTGTAATCACCAATTGTCACCAAAATTTGGATGGGGAAAAATCGAATTTTTACAAAAATGAGTCTGATCGAAAATTACATTCCTTTATCTACAATTAAAGTTCTCAGGAAAAAAAAAAAGGAAAGAAAATTCTACAACAAAAGAGGAACCCTAATTGGATCATGGTCGTGATCGCCGTCAACTTCGCCGCAATCGTAAATGGATCTAGCTAAAACCAGTTGATCCTCTAAGTATCTATGAAGCAAACTGCTTCCTCCAATCTCATCTACTTCAATTACGAACTCGCCGCATCCTTCCTCACATCGCCGGAGCCCCAAATCATCTTCATCGACGGAGAGGACTTCCGTTACGGCGGAGGAAGGTAGGTGTTTCAAGATTCGACAGCGGAGGCGGCTGAAGATCTCGACGGCGCAGAGGAGAGGGATCGAGAGGCAGAGAAGAGGTAAGAGGATAGGCGAACAGAGGAGAAAGAAGAGGAAGCGACTCCACCGCGTAGGGAGGAAGGATGCGACGGTTAGCATGACGTCAGCGGAAGGAGACGGCGGCGTTGTTCATGGAGTTCGTGTTTTGAGGGTCCCACAGGCAAGCTTTGACACATGACTTGCTTTACTTTCTTTTCTTCATCCAAGACCGAGAGTCTTTTTTATTTTTAATTTTAATTTTTATACATATGGCTCTAACCGACTTCATGTGACCTTTTTTTTGGGTAATTAAAATTTAACATTCGGTTTTGAAGAAAAAGTAAACACATTAGGTGAAAAATGGATGAATTTTCATTCTTTTTTCACCGTCATATTTTACTCTACTACTTACATCAGAGTTGTTATTTTCAAACATACATATACAATGAGTACATTATCAACATTTATGAAAAATAATAATATAATTGAATCTTTTCAATAACAAACTTTATAATATTCTTTGTATTTTAGTACAAGTTTCTTTTAAAGTTGTTGCACACAAAGTAATAAAACATACTATTTTTTTTGAAATATCCATAATCAATATACATTATTATTTAAATACACTAAATAAATAATGTAAAAACTGAAAAGGTGATTTGAATTATGTATTTGAAAATGTAAAAGTAAAACTACACTTATTTTGAAAAAAAAATTAAGGATAAAACAACATTTAAGCTAAACAGATGGAGTAAAAATTATTGAAAAACTTTTTTTTGTTTGGCTATCAAATTTCAAATATATCCCAATTTTTCCCCAACTATAAAGTTGTCAACGTTTTTAACAATTTTAAAGTTTTTACAGGTAATATTTTACCAATGAAGTTTTTATGACTTGTTAATTTTTAAAGTGTTAAAAGTCTCTTTTTTAATTTTCCTTCCATGTTTCATTTTCAGACAGTAAACAAGATCCGCAAACACATAAGAGATTTTGGGTTGATTTTGAAATTTGTGGGTGATTGTTACTCAAAATCACACTCAGAAGGTGGAATCCACGCGCTTCCCTCTTGAGTGGGTTAAATACTTGAGTGGTTAAACCATATGCATATCTATTACGAAAAAGAGTCATTTACATTTAAAGGTACTTTTGAGTTATTTTTTACACTCAAAGGCACTTTGTGCTATTAAGGGACTTTTGAATATTAGAATGACAAAGAAGCCCTTTCTTCTCTTCTTTTATTACAATTTTGTTTACTTTTCTTGTTTTACTTTATCTTTTATTTCAACTGTTTCACCGTTTCATCTTCTTCGTCGGAGGAAGAAAACAATACAAAGGTTAAGAAGAACAGATGTTGGATCTGGGAGATTTGTCTTTAAGAAAACTACTTTTGTCCTATGTCGGAGGAAGAAGACCGTTGCGAAGCTAAGAAGAAGAGTTGATGGATCTGAAAAAAATTATGTTGTTATTAGATGAATCTGGGTTAATTCGCGATCTGGAAAATTTTATGATGTTGTTAGAAGAAAAGCTATTGGATCTGGAAAACTTGCAGTTTCGTTAAAATTTGAAGAAGATGAATCTGGGTTAACTCGCGATCATGTCCACAACTACATGTCCATGCAGTCGTGTACACGTAGTGAGGCGCCCATCTGGACGTCTTTGTTTGGATAATTATTTTGGAATATGAATGGATATGACATGACTCAAACCTCACCAATTCATGTTTAGCAAGTTTCGAGAGTCTTATACGATCAATGTCCATACGATCATTGCATGGGAGGCGTACAAGATGCAATGTCGGCGGTAGGTAGTGTCGTATCTGGTAGCTGTGACACGAATATGGTCATTGGTGTACCGATTGATGTGGATGGGAACCGTGACTCGGATGGACAGCAGTCCATGGACGGTGAACTCCACTGCCTAAGGGTGATATCGTTGGACTAAATCTTCTTTCATCAACATATATGATTTATTGTATACAAAAATCCAGATTAATCAAGATTTTTTCATGACTATACTATTGTATTTAAAAGTTATTGTGTTGGTAGTTTTAGCTTTGGCGTTTTACACCATTTCTCAACTTCATGTCTACTTTAACCTCAACCTGTCAATACATTATGTTTTGACTTTTGGGTGAGGCACCCCTCATTTTCACTTTTGTTTACAGTTTTAACTGTTTGGAATATAAACAATTTGTTTATAAGAAACAATTACTTGGAGTAAAGTGATCTCTTATGCTAGTGCAATAGTTAAAGATAAAATGTTTAAATTTTTGTATCTTGATTGAGATGTATGCGTGTACATGACTGTGTGGACATGAAGTCATGGATCTTTTCGTGATCTTAATAGTTTTAATGGATCTCATAGGCCTATTGCATTAAGATTAGTTAATTGTTTTCTATATCCAAATGGATCTGTCCATATGGCTATGTCCAGTTGTTGTGTATGTACATGCATCCATTTTTAGGTCATCTTGGATGTCTAATATCCACTCACTCATATACAACAATCAATCCCATTATTATGTATTAGCCATGAACATTGCGCATTCCTCTATGAAGGGGTAAAAATATAGGCGTGTTTAAGCTGTATCTATGTTGAGCAGTCCACGAAGTTGAATCCAGATGTGACCAATACATCATTTATCTGTGGATTGTGACTTGTGGACGCATCACGACGTGTACACGACTGCGTGGACATGTAGCTGTGGACATGATCGCGAGTTAACCCAGACTCATCTTCTCCAAACTTCGATGAGATTGAAATTAATAATATCCATATGGATGCCGTTGCGTGGACACAACTAGCATAAACAAATACATTTATGAAGGAATTAGTTGATGGAACCAAGATAGCAAACTAGCAAACAAATACTAATTGTTAGATAAATAAACATGCACAAACAATAGTTTGTATCCAAGAACATTGTAGATATAAGATGTGAAAAAAGCTCTTAAAAACGAGTTAGTTGAAAGTACATAATATAAGGGGATTTGTTGTTTTTGATCTCTGTTGTTAAACATAATGCATTTGTGCATTCAATCAAACGTATATGTTGATGAAAGAAAATTATGTCAACGATTTGTTGTTCTTGATTGTATCCATGGTTTTATGTTCATATGAGGCCTAAGAAATTCGTTAGAAAGACCAAGATAATGAGAGAGCTAAATATGTATATGTTATCTTGTCCACGAATTCATATCCACGACGTCATGTGGGTATTGGTTACTTATGTAAAAATTGTATGTTGAGTTTTGGATAGTTTGAAAATCAATTTAAGAACCATGTTTACAGATTGATATAAACATAGGTGTTATATCCATATGGATACGAAGCATGGACACAAGTATATGGATACGGTTCTATGAAACAATCTAGACGATAAACAAAAGCTCAACAACAAACATTCATTCAATTGTTAATTATCTTTGTGCTCACAAAATCATGTACACGGAAAGTCGGAAACATGTCCACACATATATCTCATTCAAACTCCAAAAAAATAATTATCTAAACAAAGACGTCCAGATGGGCGCATCACGACGTGTACACGATTGCGTGGACATGTAGATGTGGACAAGATCGTGACTCAACCTAGATTCATCTTCTCCGAACTTTGACGAGACTCAAAATTTTCCAGATCCAATTCGACGAATTCGACAACGAAATCTTCCAAATCGATTATCGATACAGAATTCGACGACGAAATCTCATTGTGTACTTGCCTTCAGTTATAAAGAGAAATCTCTCTCATATCCACAATCGTTCTTCGGTTGCTCCGGCGAGTTCGTCGGCTGCAATACAACACAAAGTTACTGTAGTGCTGACATGGTAAAAAAAAGTCTTGAAACATAAACGGAGGGAGGAAGCAAAATTAAAGTAAAGGTAGATTTGGATTTTTGCTATTACTTTTATTGTAGAAAATCCCTTGGTAATTGTAAGTGCTTTGGAGTGTAATTAGAAAGTGTAAAAGTGCCTTTGGTTGTAATTATCTCTTACGAAACGAACAATGACGTTAAAGCCATGTTTCACTGTTACGCGCTGACGCATCTCTAACTTTTTTTGGTTCTGTACCAATCTTTAGTCAAGTGTTAGGAAAGTCTCTTAATCCAACGGTTAGGGTTGTTTGTTGATTAGTAGCCGCAAATATTTTATTGCCAAACAAAATTGTTTTTATTTTTAAATAAAAAAACAAAACAATCGAAGAACAATCTGGTGTCTGCTGTTGAACTAATTAAAAATATAAAAATAAAAATAAAAAGTTTGTGTCGATTGAAACCAGAGAAAAGCCAAAGGGAATTTTAGTGAGTGAGCTAGTCGCAGATGCAATCAACATCCGTCGGTAGTAGCAGCGGCGGAAGCGGCGGCGGCGGAGGAGGGCAGGTGAGTCGAAGTGGACTATCTCGGATCCGTTCAGCTCCAGCGACTTGGCTTGAAGCTTTACTTGAAGAAGATGAAGAAGAGTCTCTGAAACCTACTAATCTCGGTCTCACCGATTTACTCACCGGAAACTCAGCCGATTTACCGACGACTCGTGGCTCTTTCGAGTTTCCGATTCCGGTTGAGCAGGGTTTATACAACCAACAAAGTGGGTTTCACCGACAGAACAGTACTCCGGCGGATTTTCTCAGTGGTTCCGATGGATTCATCCAAAGCTTTGGGATTCCGGCGAATTACGACTACTTATCATCGCCGAATATCGATGTTTCTCCGGGGAGTAAACGGTCTAGAGAAATGGAAGCGCTCTTCTCTTCTCCTGAGTTTACTTCTCAGATGGTAAAGAATAATCATTTGGGTCGACCAAAATTATGATTCTTTTTTTTCTTTATTTTACCAGAAAAGGAAACGAACATAACTGACTTTGGACTTCTTTTTAGCTTTTGTCAAGTTGTTTGAAATTGTAGTTAAAATGCTGAGAGTAGAGACATGTAAAGATTGTGAAAGGACCAGTCTTGTCTTTAAATTGGACAACTTGCAGTTTTTTCTGAACCAAACTCAGCAAGTTGCGGTTTTTATTTCCCTTTATTGTCTTTGTGGCTTTGGTGTGTGATGTGAACATTAAAAGAATGCTCATATGGTTTGTCAATATAGTATTGTGTGGATTATGGAAGGTAGGGATTGAGCTAGTATGTCCATTGTGTAACATATGCATTGTGTGATGTTGATTAAGGTTTCATGCTTAGTGTTAAATTGGCTCTTTGTTTCTGTAAGTAGAAAGGAGAGCAAAGCAGCGGTCAAGTTCCTGCTGGGGTATCAGGGATGGTGGATATGAACATGGACAATCTCATGGAGGACTCTGTTGCTTTTAGGGTTCGTGCTAAACGTGGTTGTGCAACTCATCCTCGTAGCATTGCTGAGAGGGTATATTAAATTTGATCTCTTTACTTTCAGTTTGAGGAAGTTCAGTGATGAAGTTTCTGTTTTTACTTTTATATTATGGAAGTTGAGTAATAAGAAGATTTTACCATTGCTTTCAGTACATGGAAGTTCAATGATTTACTGTATGCTTAAGTGAACAGAGCATTGTTCTGTTCTCGTCCTTACATATATTCGAATAAACGTTTTGTTTATTCCTACCTTTCGTTTTGTAGGTACGAAGAACGCGAATAAGCGATCGTATAAGGAAGCTACAAGAGCTTGTCCCCAACATGGATAAGGTACTGTTCTTTACAGCGTAGCTAGATTCATATGATTTTGGATGTCTTCTTATACAATTATATAAGATTACAAATAAGTCAAAGATTGTATATGTTAAACGTAAGCACCAAGGTAGCAGTTAGCGGTTAATAGGTTAGCTTTCAGAGATACAATCAAGTATGACTGTTGGAATTTTGATTGTTGGGAAGCAACTTCATAGTCACAGTTCTCAGCTCTGTTATAGTAAGCATTTCCTAAACTGTGGTATAATATAATGAAACCGTAAGCAAGCAATCCCTAAACCTAAGATTTTACACAGTGTGCGAAGTATGAATTGGTTTCCACTCTATAGATCATGAAGAGAATAATGGACATTTTCTAGTTCTGGTCTTGAATATATAGCGGAAATAAAGTTCTTGAATATAGGCTATGAGGAAAATTTTGGGTTAACTACGTCTTTTCTTTGTTGCAGCAAACAAACACTGCAGACATGTTAGAAGAAGCTGTAGAATACGTGAAGGTTCTTCAAAGGCAGATCCAGGTAAATATTTGAATATAGCCAATGGATTAGTTTGAATTCATATGTTTGAATATCCATTTTTTTAGTTTGTGTTATTTTGGTTGGGGTAATTTTAGGAGTTGACAGAAGAACAGAAGAGGTGCACATGCATACCTAAGGAAGAACAATGAGGCTTGCTCCTGAATTGTTTTATATTTGCTAAATGGTAATGATCTGATCGAAATAATTCGAAAGATGATCTTTAGCCTGATAAATGTAGGTGTAAAATATTTTTTTTGTACAATAAATAAGAGTTGATGAAAAACATATATTCTTTATAAAGTTAGAGAAATGACTGTGGATTTGTTCGTATAAATTTGGATTAGTTTCATATACTCACTGAAACTTTCATGTTGTTTGATGATGCCAAAAAATATCTAGTGATGTTGATTTTTAAAAACTCGATAAAATGAAGATGTATATCACTTTCTTGGTCATACAAGTTGTGACAAGCTACTACTTATCGCAAGTGTAACAGCTTTTGGTGTACAAACTGATAAACATTTCAAGCTCTCCTTTCAAACCCATGAAATGAGTCAGCCATTTCAATTTGAAGCTCTCCTTTCAAACTGATAAAGGCCGAAATTGTTGCATTTCCTTGCTCTATCTTGGCCATCAACTTGAACTCTAATTATACAGTATGTTGTTTTTAGTGTGTTTTTTCAGAAAAAAAAAAATCTAGAAAATCAAGATGGCAAGTGTGAGAGAGCGTAGTATACAGCCTATGTTTATGAATATTTCATCGAGAAAGACTTTTTGAGTTATATAGTTTACACTTTGATTGACTTTCACAAAGTGTAATTACAATGTACTCCTTGTTTTCACTTACCTCTGTAATTCCCTATTTTTCACATTTAACCAACAAATATTACATTCACCTCTTTCCCGTCAAACACAGAAACGCCGGTGGGATATTCTTTCGCCGGTGACCTATTTTCCGCCCCCGAAGCGTCGTTGCGTTTTCTCACTTCCACTTCCATTTACCTTTTCTCCCGCCGTGACAAACAAGCTGATTTCGTTGTTCATTCTCGCTTCCAGTCTTAGAAAAAGCTACTTTCGTTGCTGTTTTTAATTCAGATCTCGATCTCGATTTTCTCTTCACCATGGAAGGTACGTCACTCGTAAATCACCAATTACACTCGCTGCGACGGCGGCGTCAGCGTCGGAATCGGCGACAGCAGGCGTCGGAGTCGGAGTCGGCGACGGCTGCGACGGAAACTAATTCTGATTCTAATTCAGCTCCAAAGCAACAGACAAATGCAGCTTACAGTGTTCTTCAATCCTGGAAATCCACCATTATAGAGGATCCATCTGATGTTCTTAAGACATCATTGGTGAAGATGTTTGTTCTTACAAATGAGTTTTCTGTTCTGGTTCCTCTATATTCGCCATATGAAACAATACTTTATAAAATCACGACTTACAAAATCAACATTTTATGAAATTGAACCAAATGTTCAAATGATTACAAAATCTATCCACATATTGTAGCATCCAAATCAAATTTCGTCCAAAACAATTCAGCCAAGAAGAGATACACTTTTCCCCTAAATCATACAATTTCGAAGATTGGATGGGAATTAAACATGGACAAACAGATCATGTCCAAAAAAAAAATACAAAACGTGGACGGCGTTTTGTGAAAATATCACTGGCCTACACTGCTTTTATAAAACTGAGATGTACTTAGTGTCAAAGTGCACATGTCTGTTGTACAAATTGTTATGGTTTTAACACATGAATTATACTATTGCGTTTGTAATATCTGTTCACACCAAACATTTGTTTTAGTATTCATGCATTTTTAGTTTTTCCATTGGGTTATGTGAAAACATCCAATTGTACAATTATATTTGTCCAAACATATATTGTGGATTTGCTATATGAAACCGTCCAACACGTAACCGTACACAAATATCAAATTGTCCAAGCGGAGGTTTCAGATCCATGTCATCTCTCCCAAATGAAAGAACCAAACTTGTCCAGCTTTTCCTAAATATAAAATTGTCTTCACATGAGTCAAGTTAATGCGTTACACTTTTATCCCAGATCCTCCACTTTCGACATATCAGTTTTTCTTACATATCCCGTCGGCGAATAGCATGCAGTCATCGGAGACAGATAAAATACGGACCAATGAAATTTCATTTTCACCCCATTTTCATTAAGGATAAATTGGTTATCTCCAACAGCTACAGTCCAAAGCAAAGTGCACCTCTGAGAAAAAGTCACTCTTTATGTAAGTTGAAACTCAAAAGTCACCCATAGTGTAAATCACTCAGATTTCATCGGTTACACAGAATTGTATAAGGAAAGGTTGAGAGTAAATTATCAAATAAAGTAACCTCGTCTTCTCCTTTCTTTGCCAAAAGGACAACAGAAAGTAAGGGTCAAACATATGACACATCTTCCCTATTGATAGGCCATATAATTCTTATTGTTTCAAATTGCTTTTTATTTCCTTTTTTAATCTTCTGGATTTTGAATTTAATAAAACACATAGCCAAAATGTATTATATAAAAGCATCGTCAAATAGTGGAAAAAAAAAAGAAGTAATAGAAAAAATAAAACAAAACTTTTCACAACGAACATATATTTAGCATGTTCAAAGAAAAAGAAACGACTGAGAATCATCAAACCGATACTGTTACACACCGAAATGATTTATATGACTGGACCGGAAATGTATGCTCATCGAGACACTCAACCTGACCCCAAATCTCACGTCCACTGGATCTTGATTCTAAAGAAATCCTCGCATACTGAATCTTGTTTTCCTGCTCTTTACCAGACAATTTCCACAAAACTAAGAGTTTCCCACCATTGTAGTACTCCATGTAAAAGTCACTCCCAGTTCTTAAACCCTTCTCACGCAGTTCTCCCAAACCTTGAATCTCTCTCCATTCTCTAACCTCAGTCTTAGTGTCAGATTTAGACTCAGACCACATTAAAACTCCATCCCAAGTGCAACCGTATATTATATTATCTATGTTCATGGTACACCAAACCGCTAAGGAGTCGAATCGGAAACTCGAATCTTGTCTTACAAATTTCCATCTACCATATTTGGTAGGCGTACTCCTTTTCATCTACAACTATGTAAAGCTTTCCATCAAGCACATCGACTACATCGTAGTCATCATATTCACGTAAACGACTGCGTAACACGTCTTCATCAGCGCCAGGACCAGGAAGGGCTGTCCAAGACTGAGTCTTCATGTCAAACACCTCCATCCAATTGGCAAAGTCCTCGTCAATATCGCAGCCTCCCATCACATATATTTTATCATCGCAGAAGATCGCACACGCATCTTCCCGAGCCACGGTCATGCTAGGAGCGTCACGCCAAGTATGACTGCGACAGTCAAGGATCCGAACAGAGGAAGAGGGTTTCTTGTAGGGTCCACCGATTATGAAGATTTCCGAATCAATGTCTATGGTGGCCTGACTTGTTATGTGAGGAGAACGGAAAGGTGTCGGAACAACCGAATTTCCACTTGGATCCTTGTTAAACCCAGTCGTTGTCTCTTCTTGTTTGGTTAGGGTTTGATTAGGTTTCGCCCAAAGACTAAACCAGCTCGGATATGGTTGATTCCGCAACTTTAAGCAGACATAGAAACATGTTTCCTGGGCTCCGATTTGAGATCGGGTCGTATAGATTTGCATAGAAGAAAGGAGAGACCGGAATCTCTTTGAGACAAGAGAGAGCGATGGATAGTTACATCTCGAGACACGTGCAAGAATGTGCTCTGTGATTTTGTCAGGAAGTGAAGAAAACGATGATGGTAGCTGTGTTTCTCCGGAGATCATGATACGGCAAGCTTGCAGTAGATGCTCTGGAGAAGAATGAATTTAGGGTTAACTAAATACGACTAGGTTTTTGGAGAAAAACGACCTATTAAATGAAATTGAACAAGCTGAATAGCTTCAAGAGTATAAAGAACAACTCATCTTTATTGATTTAGAAACTCTCTCAAAACTAAACCTTTTTGTCTTGAATCTTATGGAACATCTCTCCATAGACCTTTTATATAGAAAATAGCTTCTCCTATTTCTATTAGGAACTATGACAAGAAAAGTATAACTTCTATTTCTAATATGATTCCTTTTTCATATGACTCATATTTTACATAGGCTTCCTATTTCATATATGACTCTTACTTTTCATAGAAATAGCTTATTTCCATTTTCTCATCAAGCTTCTTCTTCAAGCTTTGGAATTTCCAACATTATATACTGAAACACCCCCACTCAAAAAGGAATTATCACGATTTATATCTGACGATTTGAAATTCAACATATTTAATTATTTACAATTTTTCAAAAGTAATGATATTTTCTCTTGGTCAACAGCCTATGATTAATTCAAACCAATGGACCAGAGTTTACATAGTACATAGCTATCATATAGTTTGAAGTATACAATACTAACTTTTCTTGTAGTGGCTTTGATAAATACATTATATCGATTTTCTCTATATAGAAAAGTAAAATAATTTAACCCATGAACCTTTAGAGATTTCCCGAATGTCCAATGTTTTTTTCATATACAGTAAAAACTCTATCTTATTATATAAAAATGAATGTGCACAACGTGGTTACGACACCTAGAATTTTTATAATTTGCTGGATTGCAACATATGTCACTTATAGTTTTATGGCTGTTAAGATCGTGACATGTGTCCTTAAATATTTTTTTTTTTAAGTTAGAAAGGGGTAAAAAAAATTCCATTATAGTAAAAGATTTCTCATATTCCTAACAGAAAAAGATTTCTCATTCATCAAATTTATATTATCCAAATACCTATTAAATTCAAATAAAAAAATCCTATTAATACATAGAATAAGTAAACACATATTAAAGTCAATTAAACAAAATCTTATTAGTACATTGAATGTGTTACATTAACTAATCTATATTATAATGAGAGGATATCACTCTCCATATAAGTGACACCGGGCATCTTCTATATTAAAAAAAAAATTAAATACCATATTTTTAAAGAGAAGAAGAAATTGATTATGAAGAATTGGCTGTTTCGTCATTAGGAAGACGAAAGGTCGTACTGTTTTCTTCGCAAGGATGAACTTTTCGTTGACTGGGCATATCGAGAAGCGGATAGATGTTGACTGATGATGGATCTGAGTGGATGTAGGTGTTGTATAGATGTTCATAGATTACTACATCTGTCAAGGAGACACATTTGTTCTTCTCCAGCGGATGGCGAAAGCGCTCTCTGAGGAGAGATGGATGGCGACTCCGATCTTACGGCAAGCTCCGGCTGTGGGAGTTTGGATTGTGGTGGAGGAGGAGTGAGAGTGGTGGTGGTGGTGAGAGTGACAAGGGGAAGGATGGTGATGGATTTTGATGTTGGAAAGCTGAGGATGATCGGAATCTGGACTCATGATTTCCAGATTGTTCTTTAATCGCCGGAAAGTGAGAAACAAAATAAAGGGAAAGAGAGATTTTTCATAATAGAGGAAGACGAACCATGCTTTCTTTGTTATTATTAATTAAAGTAATAAAAAAAAATTCCAAATGCGCATATGCTTTTTACACAAAGAAATGGTATTTAATTATTATATTTTTTAATGACGTACAAAATTATGTGAAACTTTTTATTCTAAAGGAAGAGAAAAAAAGGAAAATCTATTAATTATGTGAATGGATTTCTTAGTGACATGAAATTACCAGTATGGCTACAGTAATAAGATTATAGCATTTACACATTAACACATAAATGCTAATGGGTTTAGTTTATTTTAGAGAAAAAAAATTAAGAATTTGATTAAATATTATTAAATCAGTTGGATTTAGAAAACCGAAAATAGTTATATGGTTTAATCAGATTTAACCGTGATCAAACCAAAATTGGACTCTAACCAAGAAAATCAAATTTTTCATTTTGTTTTTGGACAGAACAACGTTGTTTTAACATCCTGGACAGCTTATGTAACGGTCGAGTCATCTCCGTTATATTGCGGTACTAATGGGTAGTGTCTTTAGATTTAAGGTCTATTTATAAATTTCGGAAACTAATAATCCCGTTAAAGTAAATTAATGATTTGATTGTGTAGGTATAGGTCTGTTGGTATAACAATTTATTATGTACATGTACATGTATGTTTTATGAAAGCATAGCATTAACAATTCATATTTGTTCTTTCTTAAAATATTAAATTTTAAATACAGTGTTTAAATTGTTAAATTAAAAGGAACAATATAGAAATTTACATATTTGAAAAAAGAAAATTATACAAAATGGTTGCAAAGTATTTAGATATAAGTAACAAAACTTTGTAATAGTTAAAACCGGCGCTAGAACTATTTATTTGCAGGGCTGCATGGTTTTGGAATCCCTTAAACTTCAAAACTATTTAATTAAGGTTGGTTGTTGATTTGAGCTTTAGCATAGTTCTGTCAACTCTATGTATAATATTGGAATTGCAACCTAAATTATAAAAGAGAGGATGTGAATCACATAATAAAGTCGTCATCTCACATGAGTGGTGAAAAAAAATTGGATAAACAAAAGAGTTGGGTTACTAAATGGCCGTTATATATCCCGTCTAATAACTTCTGGTGTACAAACTGATAAATATTTCAAGCTCTCCTTTCAAACCCATGAAATGAGTCAGCCATTTCAATTTCAAGCTCTCCTTTCAAACTGATAAAGGCCGAAATTGTTGAATTTCCTTGCTCTATCTTGGCCATCAACTTGAACTCTATCTATACAATATGTTGTTTTTAGTGTGTTTTTTTCAGGAAAAAAAAAAAAAAAATCAAGTTGGCAAGTATGAGAGAGCGTAGTATAAAATCTTTAGTTGATTGAATGACTATTTATTTAATGTTACGTAATTGTTTTTGAAACAGCTTCAAACATTCTTGTCCGGCACTCTTCTCATAGAAAAGCTACATTAAAGTGTGACTGCAAGTTAGATCTTTAGCAATTTTGCATCCTATCATGTTGAGACAACATGTTGTTTAGAAACAGCATCGTTTAAGTGAAAATATGTAGTTTTCTTTGACAAAAACAAAACACATGTTTGGATCTAACTGTAATGGTATTTGAGAGCTGGGTTTTCGTTCTATCCATTTTTAGTTGAGGGATTTTTTCATTATATATTTTTTTTTTAATGATAAAAGGTTATTCAAACGAACCTTGAGTTTTAACATGTGCCGTTAGTCCGGCAACATCACGATTCACGACTGACCTTTTTCTATAAAATAACAAAGTATTAGAGAAAGACTAAAAAGAGTCTTTAAAAGATGAAGTCTTTTTTTTTTTTTTTTTTTTTTTTACGAAAGGAAATTAAAGTCTACAAAGTCAAATGGGTTAAACCGCCATCACGATCTGGGATGTTATTATTGTTATTGTTTTTTTACTAATAGAAAAGACTTAAATGTTAAATTGGGTAAAATAGATTTAAAGTCCACCTGCTAGGTTTCAGTTCTCATCACATAGCAGAACGTTACTATATAATCTGATACAGATATGATAACTAATATAACTGGAGCAAGCAGTATGTGTTTTTAGTGTTTTTGTAGTCTATTATTGAAAAGCTATTGTTTTAGTGATTTTAAGGTACTGGAAACGTTTTACCAAAAAGATTGCGAACTGTGTACATGCTTATTAATCACAAAAAAAAGCATGCGCTTATGCATGGGTATTCTAGTAGCATGAAAAATGAGAAAGCACACAAAGTCATGAAAAAGTTTATGTATCCCACAGTATAATTTCATTAATATGTGAATCTTAATCTATTTTATACACTCTCTCCAGTCGAATGTTATGTCATTTTCTAGAGAGAATGTCACATCTCCATGAATAAAAGCAATCGATATCATACGCGTTACTACGGTCGCTCTCTTCACATGATGATCACCATTATGAACGAAAATTACTATAGAAAGACTTCAAAGTCTTGAAAAAACAAAGACAGAGAAAAAAGTCCAGTGAGTTTTAGTCAGATCCCATCACGATCCGAAGAATATTATTATTATTGTTTAATCATTTTGTTAAGTGGTGCATTAGAGAAAGACTAAAAAGTCATATCTTAAAACCCAGAGCCTTGCTATAAAAGCCCACCTCCAATGCTTCACTTGTCACATCCTAGCTTCAACAATCATCATCCACAGAGCAGAACATTGCTTAATATGTCCCAATCTGTTATTGTCGACATGACCGGAGCTAGCAGTATGATCACATCAATGAACCTTGGCGACCAAGACGGTGATATGGTCGACAATGAAACCCAGCAGATCATAAGACCTACGGTTATCATCCCTTTCCCTGCTCCTAAAGTCATGGACTTACATATGGTACGCTCGAACAATATTTTTCTTACTTTTCTTTGTTTTGTAATTATCTTTCTTGTGGATTTTTTGAATTTGGGAGCTTCTTGTTCCAGTTTCAAGGTGACCAAAAGGAGAGCTTGTATTGGGGAACATATCGTCCTCAGACGTACTTTGGAGTTGGCGCTAGGTATTACTTGAGAAAGGCCTTAATTTGCTCCTTGACCTTACTATCTATATACACACTTTAATTATAAACACATTATCTAAAGTCTAAACAACTCCTTATCACTTTAACACTAAATTGTGTTCATTTCTTTTACTACAAGTTGCTAATTAGTTGTTGATGGCAATGCATGCATGCAGAGATCCTGATGAACCCCTTGTCGCTGGGTTGATGTGGCGTGTTACCAGAGAGGGGAAGCCAGTGATGAGGCATTTCTGTGAAAACAAGAACGATTTAAAGTCATTTGGCTGGAGAGAACACAATGGAATAGATTTTGGGCGGCAAGACCTGATTGAAAACGATTTGACATTGGAGACAAGTTTTGTCAAGACTAAGGAGGGCAGTCATGGTTATGGAGGGGATTGGGCAGTTCGGATTAATGTTGAAAATCTAGTTTGGTACGTGATTACTAGTAGGTCAACTATGTATGCTTTTCATATAATATCAAAATTAAGTGTGTGTGTGTGTGTGTGTGTGTGTGTGTGTGTTTTTTTTTTTTTGTTCTGAAAATAGGCTGGATGATGAAGAAAAGAGAGGTGCAAATCTCTTTTTCTATATAGCTGATGAAGGTCGCAACAAAGTTCTAAACTTAGGGCTCAAGGAGAGTTCTACCCTTGTTTCCGGTTCACATGCAAAAGTAGGAAACTGGCAGTTGCACTTAAAATCAACGGTAACTTTTCATTTTTTAGTGTTTTTTTAGAGATCATAGGATTCTTTTAATTCCTTTGCTTGAAAACTGTTCTATGACTGACTGATTGATGCTATGATGTGTGAGGGATTATTATTGTCCAACTCAAAACTAGACAAAATGTTAAATATATATATATATATATATATATATATATATATATATATACATGATTTTTGCGCAAAAAAAAAATATATATACATGATTACTATGGATTTCCAACTCAAACGTCATTGGTATTGAGTGGATTGGCTCATGTTCTTTATATATAACCTCACAAACCCTCCAAGACTCCATCTACCTATATATGTTGACCTTTCACAAACACAAAAAGGATTATCAACATGCCTTTTATATAAGATCGTATTGCTGACCTTTTTTTTTTCAGTTTCATATGTGAGATTCCTAACATGATTTTCATCTTGATATAACACTTTCTACTGCTCTTTATTTGCAGACTCCAGATCTCGAAACACATTACTGCGGTTTCAAGACTCCCAATTCTGTGGAACTGTCTAAACTTGTTCTGGATAATCTCAAGGTTAATTGGTTACATCAAGTTTGCATTTTTTTCAAACTGTATTTTCTTTCTTCTTTTAGTAAAGGCCACAGTTTTTACATGTCTCTCTCTGCTTGTATATTTTCAGGAAAGTAAGCCTGGACGCGTTGAGCTCTCTGACACAGCGCAAGATGATTCCAACGTTTATGTTTTTCAGGTAAAAACGGTTATTTATTTATTTATATTTAAAAATAAAACTAGCTTCTCTAATTTACTCATTTGGATACAACTGTAATTATGCAGATTTCCACGACGGCCCAGTTTTCTACTATAGATATTGTCTTCATCTCTGGGATAACAGAAGAAACTGCCAATGTGGAAAAGCGTGTAAAGGCACTTACAGGTTTCAAGCACTGATATTTTGACGACGATCTATTACATTTTCTTGAACACAATAACTTTTTTTTCATAATCATTTCCAACCAAAACATAAATAGTTTGAGCTAAGTTTCTGTCTTCCTTCCATGTAGGTCATGCACTCACTAGTCTACTTGAAGAGAAGTATGTAGCATTTGATTTAAAATTCAAGGAATGCTTCAAACTTCCTGGAGATGTATGATTCTCAATTCTTTAGTATTCTTAACTTTTTACCATTGAGAATGAAATAGTAAATTATTTGATAAATATATGAATCTTTCTGATCACATATATGTGACTAATCCAGATTGATTATAATACTTCGATGGTTGGTAAAACTGCAATTGCCAACATGCTTGGAGGCATTGGTTATTTCCATGGTCATTCAAAAGTACACGACCATAACTCTTCTGAGGAAACAAACCCTCTCGTGTGGCCTTATTGGCCAGCTGAGCTGTACACAGCAGTTCCATGTCGGCCCAAATTTCCATGGGGGTTTCTTTGGGATGAAGGTTTCCATCAAATGTTGATCTGGTTTGTTATTAATTAACTCATAGGCCAAAAATACTTTTTTTGATATGTCTCTTATAGGATTTTTTTTAATTTAAATTATTATTATCATATGTTCTTGATTCAGGCGCTGGGATTTCCGTATTACCTTGGAAATCGTTGGACACTGGTTAGACCTAATGAATGTAGAAGGATGGATTCCACGTGAACAACTTTTGGGCGCTGAAGCTCTGAGGTTGTTGTTATATATATATATATATATATATATATACACTCTAATTATTGATCATTAATGTTTGTTTGTTATCATTAAATCTAAGAGTTTCTAAATGTAGTAAGATTAACCCGGAGTACGTGGTTCAGGACCCGGATATTGCCAATCCACCTACACTACTTTTGGTGTTATGCGGTATGATTTTTTTTTTTTTTTTTTATTGATCGAGTTCACTAGAAAATGATAACAACGTTTTAAAAATTGAACCAACCTTCAATGTATGTTGACATTCCTTGTCTTTTTTTTTTTTTAATTCTCCTTTTCTTTTGGCAGAACTTATTATTGGGGTACAAAACAAGAAATTTAATGAGGCAGAAAGTGGCGATATTGTGTTATTCCTAGAGCGGGCTTTGGCACGGTTAGACGCATGGTTCAAATGGTTATATACTTCCCAGAAAGGTAACAACATGTTACATGGATGCTTTTTACAGTCTTTGTATACTGTGTGTTACGTGTTTCTATCATTTATATCAGCCACATTGAGATCTCTTGTGAGTTTGAATGTTAAATAATTAAGATGGTGTTTTTCATGAGCAGGGAAGAAGGAGGGAAGTTTCTATTGGCGCGGCAGAGACAGTAAAACAAATCTTGAACTAAACCCTCGGGTACATTTTCTTGATTTTTGTTTTTTCATCATATACTATTTCTTGATTTTTTGTAAACATGTTGTTTCAGGTCCTAGATGTTAGATTCCTATAACAAACGTTACATAAAGTTTTATTTTAGTGTTCACCTGATGCTTTAGCTTTCACATATATATTTCATGCAGACTCTTGCTTCGGGCCTGGATGATTATCCTCGGGCTTCACACCCAAGTGACGATGAGAGGCATGTTGACCTCAGATGTTGGATTTATATTGCTGCAGATTGCATGAAGTTCATCACAGAGTTTCTAACGAAAAAAGAGGTTAGAAGAAAATAGACTACATTCTCTAATTTGTATGACAATAGATTATCTAATTTATCCATCGTCACATATTTTCATTTTTTTTACCTTTTAATCCTGCAGGAGGAGAAATATTACACCTCAATTGTCAAGAAGCTTTCAAAATTCGATGATCTGAATGCGGTATGATTTCTTATACAATATTTTCTCAAACACAAATTGTGCTTAATTATCTTTTTTCCCCTCTAACTACCTTGTCTCCTTCACCTCTAAATTCTTTTACAGTTGCACTATGACCATGATCATGAGACTTACCTCGACTACGGTAATCATACAGAAAAGGTAAGGAAAATTTGAACGAATTACCCCATAGAGAAGCCTAGATATCAACTTTCGTGATAGAGGACTATATATGTGAATTTTTTTTCTTCTTTTTCTTTTTTGATTCACTAGGTTCGATTTGTCTTCGAACATGGGAAACTTGTAAGGGTGACAGATGAGGATCCAGTGCCAAGAAAGGTTCCTCAAGTCGGTTACGTCAGCTTCTTTCCCTTCATCTCTAAAATTATCCCACCTGTGAGTTAAATATTGGGCATTAATTAATATCTATGTAAATACTCCATTATCCATGGTCTTTAACTCTTTATGGAATATGATCTAAACTTAATTTTACTGTCTTTTGGCTTGCTGAAGAAATCTCAAATCCTCGAGCAACAGCTCGATCTCATTTCAAATAACAACATTGTATGGAGCGAGTACGGACTAGTTTCACTTGCCAAAACCAGGTGAGCCTTCATTGATAAGCTCCCTCATTACTTAAGCCACTTTGGTTTGGTGAACTGAGAAAATAGTTTTAACCAAGTTTTGTTAGTTCGATTGGGAAAATAATGTACCGGCATCGGCCCACAAACCTCATAGTAATTAAAAAAACAAAAAATTTAAGATAACAAAAGCAGTTTCATATAGCTTTTTTCTTATCATGGTCAATGCAGCTCCTTGTACATGCAATGGAACGCTCTGCACCAACTACCATATTGGAGAGGTCCCATATGGATGAATATTAACTACTTGATTCTTGCCTCCCTGGACCATTACTCTAAATGTATGTTTTTAGTCATTGACTTCACACCAGAAAAAAAAAAATATTCCTTTTATGTAATCAGTCAACATTTTCTGCAGTGGAAGGACCATACAGCAACAAGGCAAGAACTATTTACATGGAACTAAGGAGCAATCTGATAAGGTATGCATACTTGTAAGTGGTACTTTAAGACATAAACTTAAATATGTCTAAAGACCTATCCTATTTGTGTTTGGTGATGCAGTAATGTGGTTAGAAACTATGACCAGACGGATTACATTTGGGAGCATTATAATCAAATAGAAGGAACTGGAGAAGGTGGACGTAACTTCACTGGCTGGTCTGCACTCATCCTCTTAATCATGTCCGAAGAGTACCCTCGTCTTTAAAAGCCCTCTTGATTACTAAATCTTGGCTTTCATACCCGGCTCGTGTTTGAGAAACAAAATAAGTCATATGTTACTCTTCTCTTTTTATTTTTTCCTTCTAGAATTTCTACTACCTGATTTAAGAAATTCTATTGTATTTTATTTTCTTTTTCCAGTGTGTTTTGCTTTTATAAATAAGAATATGAGAGCTCGTTTGTGAGACTCATCCTAAAACGAGTGAGTATAAGGGTGAGAACTTAGTTCTCTTTTGGTGTGTTCTTGTAACTTTGATTCAGTTATTAATAAGAGAGTCTTGGGGTTTAATTCTAGTGTTCGTGGTTCTATATATTTGAAAAAATCAGGGCTCACCGAAAGTTTCATGCATAACATTTAAAAGAAAAAAAAGTACACTACAGTTTTAAGCAAACTATAGCATAGCATCTATTCATCACACAATCAAATTGTTTCGTCCCATTCAACTATTTTGAACTTTGGCTAAATTTTCCACAAATAGTACAATGAGAGTGAAAAGGACATAGCGCGTCAAGATCTTCACAATGACATATAATGCTACATATATTTCCACTGATAATCACATCACTAGTACATATCACACCGATTAGATTTTTCGTCCCATTCGACCATTGAACTTTGGCTAAAATTTTCCACAAATAGTACAATGAAAGTAAAAAAGGACATAGCGCGTCAAGATCATCACAATGATATACTAAGGCTACATATATTTCCACTGATGAACACATCGATGACTAGTAATATATCACACAATTAGATTGTTTCGTCCCATTCAACCATTTGGAACTTTCGGTACATAATTCTTCGAAATAAACACTACAATAAAACTAATAGGCACATTAGCGGTAGACATTATGATGACATATAAGATCACATATTTTCGTCCAGTAGCACCGACATATAAAGTTTATACATATCCCTAATATATTAAAAGAGAAAACACTAACTAAATAACCTTTGTCTAATGTGTTATTAACAAGAATGTCATTGCTTAGGTGTCATCACTAGGTTCACTCTTAGAGCAATTTCTAATTAAGACAAGCTTTACTAGACAAATTACAATATATGCCATTGCATATTATGCTTACAACCAAATAATGAAATTAAATTTATCATTCTCTTTCCTTAATTGGCAACTACGAAAATTAGTAAATAAGGAAGATATGAGATTCAATTTAATTCATCATAATAATTTCTTTTAAAATCAGTATACATCTTCTATCATCTTTGTTTAAATTTATTTAATAAAATAATTTGAATCACAATATAAAAAATCTATCAAAAAAAATCTAAAACTTTTTCTGTACATGTTATGATTTGAATTTTTAAAAACAAAATAATATAAATTGTTTCGTATATAACCTCATTTAGTAGGTATCCAAAGGTAATTTTTTTTTCATTTAATATGGTTTTTTAATTAAAATCTATAATTAAATCGAATAAAAAAAGTTCTTTTTATAAATATTTTATTTTGATTAAACTTTTGAATATTACTCTATCTGTTTCAACTTTCTATACAAAATTAATTATATTTTTGCTGTTTTGACAATTTGGATTCTGCATATTATTTTCTGATTGGTTGGATTGTTTTGAAATTATAATAAAGCATGTTTTAGTTTTGAAAGAAAGAAAAAAATTAGTTCTAATCCGTGTCCACACAGCTAAAACTTTTTATCTTATGAAATACATGATGTATAATTTTTCTAAAGAATAATGTTTTATTTTCAATTTTTTTTTTAAACTATCTTATTATATTATAGTTATTTGAGTTTTATGTATCTCGGTTAAATCTATCATATTTAATATGTGGTTACGATCAATGCTTTAATTTATTTCTTTTTTTAAAATGCCTAATTTCCATACTATAAACGAATAACAAAGGTTAAAAATCTCTCGCATAAAATGTCGAAATATTTAAATATTTTTAATAAAAATACAAATTCAGAAACTATCACCCGTGCAGGGCACGGGTCAAACCCTAGTATTTACTATAAGTCAATAACTGGTTATATGCAAAATGTTATTTTCATCACGACTTTGACCATAGTAAAAAAAGCCGGAGTCATAGTTGTAGACTTGTAGTTATTAGGAACATTAAGGGCATTTCTGTGAAGTCTCTTTATAAAATACGGAGAGGATATTTTCTCAATATCAAACGTCACAAGATCACTAAGAGAAATAATGGAGGAGAAGAGAGCTTTGTTGAAGTCACTAATCTTACTAATGATGATCTCCACTGTTACAATCGAACAGGCAGCTGCAGAAACCTACTGCCATGCGCAACGTCACGCGTTAATTGACGCGTGCAAGATGTTGTTGTTGAGGCTGTCTCCGAGTGTTGAATGTTGTCGTAGAATAAGGTGGACTCCAATCTGGTGCGTTTGTCCTTCTGTAACACCGCAGAGAGCGGCTCTTATCGATGTCAATTACGCTGTTGGGGTCATCCGTCAATGCGGTCGACCCATAGCTCGCGGTACCAAGTGTGGAAGTAAGTGTATATATCAGTTGATCACAAAACTAGTTTGTATATATCTCTTGGTATTTTGATTGTTTATTAGCATGTATATGTTTTTCTACATAAAATCACTATGTTTAGGATTCTAAATCATTATTTTTTGTTAATTGTAACTCATAAATGGAGAATATTTGTTTTCGTTTGTGCTTGATAATTGAGATTACATTTTGTAATAATTTGTTACGAGAAATACTAAAATATATTTTTCTTTTAAAAACGCGCGTGGAACTACTATTGAATCTGTTTCATGATTGAAATTGCTTTTTGGATGTGTAGGTGTTACGGTTCCATGAGGCTTTCTTGATGGTGAAGAGGAAAATATCGGTGTGTTTGAAAACTATAGTCTGTTCCGAGTTGGATCTATGCATTTGTGCACTGTCTTTTGCTTTATGTTCATGTCAATATAAAACAGTTGATGAAACTTCTATTTATATCGTCGAATAAGATATTCTTGGAGGAGATGGTTGATTATATATACACTCTAGTTCAAGTTTCTGATGAAAAATGAATACTTATTTCCAACTTCTTCGAATAGTAGTTTGTTTCTTTGATGAAATAGTTATAGATTTTCACAAAACAAGGAGAAAAAGGGTTTCATGGATCAAAACCGGTCCCGGTAGTAATCTGAGTGGCGATGTGAACCAGATGTTTTATTTTCTAGGCCAATGAGATTAATTTTTCTTAAACACTCGATAGTGTTAGAGTCAAAAGAAGTGGAGTCAACAATAAAGGGTTTAATCAGAGATTGTGGACCACTAAAGGGTTTAATCAAACTGTAGCATAGTACCTATTAAACTGTTTCATCCATTCATTTTGAACTTTGGCTAAAGTTGAAAATGAAAAGAACAAAGCGCGTAGACATCACAAATTCACAACAGATTTTTTTTGTTTTTGACATCACAATAACATATAATCAAGCTTTCACTGATGATTAAACGTCAAGCTTTCAGTAGGAACTACATAAAAAGTTTATAAGGTAAATAAGAAAAAAACCACGTAACAGTGTCGCAAGTAAAACATAGAGATCACAGAATCGGGTAGCACTTAGGATGAAAGCATGCATATAACATTTTTAATCTCGGATTTAGGGATATATGGCCATAGTTCTTCATCAAATTTAAAGTAACACATTTCTTTTCATTTTTCGTTTCATTTAATATCCCACACGCTAGCCATCTAATTATTATCTCGTTTCATTTTTCGTTTCCAAAAACTACTATAAAGTAAAACCTCTATAAAGTAATAACGTTGGAACCATAATATTTTATTACTTTAGCGAGATTATTAATTTATCGAGAGATAATTAGACTAAAAACTTACAGTAGAACCTCTATAAAGTAATATTCGGTAAAGTAATACTTCGATAAATGAATAGAATTTTCAAGTCCCAAATTTAGTTTTTGGTGTAATTATCTCTCGATAAATTAATAATCCTGATAAAGTAATAAAATATTATGGTCTCAACGTTATTACTTTATAGAGGTTTTACTGTACTTTGCGATTTGGAAATTTTATTCATTTATCGAGATATTATTTATCGAGTATTACTTTATAAAATGTTCCAGTATTTTATTTGTTATATGTTCACTAAAGCTTCAATCAAACTGTAGCACAGTAGTGCCTATTGTCGCCAAATAGATTGTTTCGTGCATTGAATTGATTCAACATTTTGGAACTTTTAGTGAATGGTGACGACATAGCACGTCAGATACCATGATGGCATACGCATCCGATACCATGATGACATATAAGACCTCATATTGTTAATTTTCGTCGACATAAAAAAAACAAATATTTTCCACCGGTTTATGTTATGCCAATGTTATCATCACGACTTTTCAAAATGAAACACAGTAAAAGATAAAGTCACAGCCGTACTAATTAGAAAAATCAAGTGCATCTTTTTAAGTTTGTTTTCAAATATAAGTAAGGAATGACATTTTCATAATACCAAACTTCAAAAGGTCACTAAGAAAAACAATGGAGGAGAAGAGAGCTATGTTTCAGTACTCACTGATCCTATTCATGGTGGTTTCCAGTTTCGCTCTCGAATCCGTGGCTGCAGAGAGCTACTGCCACGCGCAACGTCGTGTCTTGGTGAATGCATGCAAGAGGCTGATCTTGAGGCAGTCTCCAACCGCTGAATGTTGTCTTAGAATAAGGAACACTCCTATGTATTGCGTATGCTCTATTGTAACCCCGAAGCTCGCGGCTCTCGTCACTGCTGATGATGTTCGTTACGCTGTTGGGGTCATACGTCAATGCGGTCGACCTGTAGCCCGTGGTACCAAGTGTGGAAGTAAGTCTACAAAACCACTATTTATATATCTTTTATATTTTCTGAATTGAAAAGTTGTGTTATAATAATATTTTTTGTTTGCAGGTCTTACAGCTCCATGAGCCGGTCGTGACGTGTGTCGGAAAACTATGGTCTTATGTCAGTTCTGATCTTGTGGAATCCTTATATGTCCATGTTCAGTGAACTAGTTATTAATAGAATCTTATAGTTAACCAATATGAAATTATGAAATAAATGATACTTTGCTTGAGTGAAATTTTCGAGTGTTCTAAAGGAAAAGGAATAATCATCTTATTAGGTTTTTCTATCTTCTTGAATGATTTTCATTTTGTCAACCTCCAAAAGTTTCGTCAACTGTTTTTGTCTTGGCATAGCTAAACAAAATCTACAACCAATCACATATCACAAAGTGTTTGGATATGCAAAAACAAAAAGTATCTACTTTAACCAAAACGAGCAGAGCTCAATGTTGAAAGCGAATACAAAACTAAGAATATACTTCGGAAATACAAAGGGAGTCTCAAAGGAAAATTGTCAAGTTCTCTCTGTACAAACAATGTCAAAATGTGGTTTTTTTTGTCTCCTAATGTAACTATACAGTTTGTGTATGAAAGTTTGTTCCCAAAGATGGAATCTCCAAAGGGTTATAACCTGCTTTTGTCATCATCTAAACGTTGTTGTTAAGAAACCGGTGAAGCGAAAAGACTTCTCCTTGGCGATTGTACAGAGTCCGAAGTAGCAGAGAGCAAGTCGATAGCTGTCTGAGAAGTCTCTCCAGACGAGAAAGCAACTCATACTCGATGATGTTCTCATTTGTAGATAGAACCATTGCGTTCACTGCGTCTGCCACTACTTCCTTCTGAGTCTCTCCAAGTAAATACGCCACAGATGATTCCTCAGGGTTTTTGTACGCAAGCAGAGCAAAACAGTCCTGCAAATACATTTAAAAACCAAGACATTACAATCTCAATACCTCACACAAGTTAAAGTTTGAAAAAGCATAGGTACCTGTACGATGTCTGTCAATACATTCAAACCAATGAACTTGGCTAATTCCACTCTTCCATACTTCACAGCTTCTTCTAATTCTCCGATCTGCGTTTGTCACAATTTTCCAGACCATTTTAGTCTAATTACCATTGATCTTGATTAGTTAAACATGTATTAACCACAATGGATGGGAAGAGTATTTACCCTGACTAACTCAATGAACTTTTGACAGTGAAGGAGGAAGCAGACTTCTGATTTATCGTTCTGCAGATAACACAATTGATGGTTAAGAGTTCATATCTCAATCTGAAGCAGCTTTATGTTAACAATATAACTAACCTGTAGAAGTTCGGGATAGCAATCTTGGAGTTTAGCAATGGCAGCAACAATCTCACCCTTCATTATAAGCTTTTGACAAGCAACAAATGGATCAGTACAATGTTAACGAAAAAGAAGAAGTCTGCCTTTGACCAAATATTAATGTACCTCTCTAAGATGTTTCCTGTCTTGCAAGGAAAATGACGCGTCTTTCTCTTCTAAAGCGTTACGAGGAACAGAAGTTTCAGTAGCCATGTTGAAAGCCTTAAGAGTCTCTTCATACCCATAGTGAGACAAGTAGTTCCTTACAAGCCTGATCACCAAACCACAATGAAGCTTTAGCTATGCACAACCTCACAGTTACTGCAGAAAAAGAGTGGACTCACATATGACTTTGGCCTCGAGGTATGATTATCTTTTCAAATTCCATTTGTTGCTTCTTCCTCTCTGATGCTTCATAGTTCTAATACAAGAGAAAAAGATTAACTGTTTAGTACTCATACATAATCTAACCTTTATGCAAACACTTACTATATAAATGTTGAAGTTTCATCATAAAATTGCAGATATAGACGCAAGTTGTATCAGAAAAACATCTACTTGAGGATATTAATCTTACCTTAATATCAAAAGCAAACATTTCCGATCCAAAGTTTACAGTAACCCTGCCAAGATTCAGAACAAAAGCATAGGGCACGACTGTGGAGACTCGCATCGAAGCAGCTGAGACAGGAAATTCACGCTGGCATCTTGGAACAATAAAGAAAGAGAAGAACAAGAGCATACTCCTCGTTTTGGCTATGTACAGCTACTGTAGGAAACAGAGGACCCGTGAAGACCTTTGGGATTGTCCCTACCAAAGCTCCGTTTTTGCTAGCATGCAAAGAAGGTAACCAAAGATTTCAACAGGCACAACACACACAGTGATATGTCAAAAGAAAGTGGAAACTATTACTTACGTGAAAAAGATTTCTTCTGAAGCATAGTTTATACCACCACCAACTGTATCACTGGTTGTAAAAGTCTCACTGGTGATATTAGCATAGTTTATACCTCCACGGTATATGAATCCATCATCACCATGATAGCTACAACTATTCTCCTCCCATCTAAACATTATAAGAAAGAAAAATCTATTTGCATACAAAAACAGAATCAAAATCATTTGCATTCAAATCAAGAACTTGGTTCCTCTTTGGTTTCACACTAGATACTGAATCGAGCAGCTACATGATAGCTACATTCAAATCCAGATTTGCATAAAACAGAATCGTAATTATCAATTCCTTTGCATTCAAATACGGAGCCAATCGAAACAAATTCCTCTTTGGTTTCACCCTAATATCTCAGATACCGAATCGAACAGCGAATCACATATGACATCTTTTTTCCGGGAAACGAATCTAAACGGCAAGAAAGCGAAATTGGATACGAATTCGCAAAGGAAGAGTGAAGAAATTACCCAGTACGCGTCACAATCTCGGTGTCTTTCGCTATGAAACCAATCGCGATCTTTCCTTTATCCCCAGCATTATTGACATGAACCTCGAAGTAGTAAGCGAGACAGTTAGTCGGCGCCGGAACTTCAGACTGAGAAACGCCGGCGTCGTAATCGTGGAGGCTACGGCCACTGTACTTGACGGAAAGCTTATCGGCAGATATAACCGTGGAACCGCCGGAACTGCTGACTGTGGTCAGCTTCCTCGGCAATTGTTCTTCCTCGTGATCCGTCGCATTTCTCTTCGCGGAAAGCCGATATAGGTCGGAGAAGTAGGAATCCATTCAATCGGAGAGAAGGAAACCCTAAAATCGCGATGACTGAATTTGAAGAAACCGAATCGATGAAAGAAATCTGATTTTTTGTTTGTTTCGTTGATTCAGTTTCAAATGATCAACGAAAGGGAAACTGATGTTCATGTGTACCAAAAATTGAATACAACTAAACCGGAAATTGCAATCGAAAACAAACCGGTAGTGCTTTGGTCACATATATATACGACTATACGAGGGAGTGTGTTAAGAGCGAATACGAGAGTGTTCTCTAACTTTTAATACGCTTTGGTCATCCACGCTTTTAATACGAGAGTGTTCTTTTTTGGTTCTTTATTTAAAGTATTTATTATACTAGAGATTGTATCCCGCGCAAGCGGAGGTTTTTTTTTGCAGATTTTCATTTATATTCATCATTGATATGTGTTTCTATATTTTACTAAATATGCTCTTAATTCTTTTCCTTTTTGGGTTGTTCTGTATAATTTTGATGTTTTGTAGTTTATGAATTCATCTACTACTAAAACTTTACAAACAAAACAAAATTTAGCAAAACACATTCATATTAATATGTCAGAAATAATGATTTATTTTTATTATTTAAATTTAACTGTTAAGATTCCCATTTGAGAAATTTTATGAAATGTGCAAATTTCCAAAACTACACCTATAATGTGGAAATTTTCAAAAATACACATTTTCTTAATTTTAATACATATGTTTGGGTTTACTAAGGGTTTAGATTTTGGGGTTTAAGGTTTTAAAGTTATATTTTAGGGTTTTAGATTTATATTTTAGGGTTTAGAGTTCTTTTACTCAATGAAAAAAATGTAGTTTTGAAAATGGACACTATAGAGATGTATTTTTGAAAATTGGCACCTCAAGAGGTGTAGTTTTGAAATTTCCCCTTCACATTTTAACAGTTCAACAGTGTACATGAAATTTGTTACAGACACTATATTTTTACATAACATATGTTATTATAAAGCTTAAACATTTTACATTTCAGTACATTTTATTCTTTTTAAAAAAAAATCTCTTGCACCAACTGTTAAAAGATTAACTTTTTCTCTTTTAAGTTTTAAGTTAAACCAATCTTTATTTATTCCTTTATTTTATATTTTATCAACTATTTCGTTTTGTATATACATTTTTAAGTTTTGTGTAAATAATATGTCTTTTATTGATATTATAAAAGTATATGTATTAATTGCTATCATTAATTTTGATTTAATTGTTTTTTTTGCTGATATGGACACTATAAGAGAAGAGAAAACTCCCTAATTATATATAAGATAAGTATATTTTTCACTAAGATGTTACAAAAAAATGTATATATTCTGATTTTGAGACTACATTAATACTTTCGATTATTTATTCTGATTTTGTTAATTACAAGAGACTACATTTCTTTCTTTTTTTTGGTGGGTAATCTAATCAACCCGCGCATGTGATGAAAAGTGAAAACCAATCCCCAACTAATTTAAACCGGAATGAGTTCTTGATAATCTAAACCCATTTCAACCGCCTAGCTCCTCCTTTATAAAGGGTGACAAAAACATTTTTTAATATTATAACAAATATATAAGGAGAAAGACTGCGATTAAGATTGATAGTTGTTATCGGAGAAGAAGGCTTCGCCGGCGATTGAGAGTTCGTTATCGGAGAAGAAGGCTTCGCCGGCGATTGAGATTTCGCAGGCTCAGTCAGGTATCAGTTTCGCAACTTTTCCCCTCTATTTCCTGCTTGTTTTTCAATTCGATTGCCAATTTCTTCGGAAACGATTTCGCCGGCAATTTCTGAGATTGAGTTTTTTTTCGCACGCGATTGCTCTATTTCCTGATAAACTGTTCATCAATTTTATTGTGGTAGCGAAGAAGCCGATTTCTTCGGGAGCGAGTTTCTTGGTAAAATCCGTTGATATCGCGAAACCAAAATGTTCGGAACAGATGACGAAGAAGATATGGTGATAAATTCATTTCACCGATTGATTATTTTGTAGCTGTATTTTGTTTCATTGGACGTTTATTATTTTAATTTTTGATCTTTAGGAGAAAATTATCACGGCGGAAAAATGGGCACAGAAATGGAATAAGGCAGACATTGGCAAAGAAGATATGAATAATCTTGTGATGGATGTTCTGGTATTCGAAGGGTTTGTGGAAGCTGCAAGGCGTTTTCAGGAAGAGTCCAACACTATGCGTATCCTATGATTTTGTGATTGAACTTATTCTTTATAGGGCTGTTGTGGTCTGTCATGTGTGTTGATTTCTTAAAAAGAATCAGCGAAAATAGATCTCAATGATGCGACGATCACTGACCGGATCACTGACCGACTTGCGATTCTCGGTGCCATCAAATCCAGAGACCTGGCTGATGCTATAGCGAGAGTAAATGCTTTAATCCCTGAGGTACGAAGCTTTCTTTCTTGAGGTTACAGGTCTTTGTTAGAACATGTTTCGGGAATCAGAATTGGACTTATCTATATTGCTTGTGATGATTGTAGATACCGGAGGCTGAACTTCATCTGAAAACCCAAAAGTTTATTGAATTAATGCGTGAAGAGAAGATAGGCGATGCCGTGAAGTTTGCTCAGGATGAGATTGCCCCAATTGCGGAAAACCACGTAGGTCTTTTAACTGTTTGTCACATTGTGTCTATTATAGATAAGATGTCTCAGACTCATTTCATGTTACTCGGCAGGAGGCATTTGCAAAACAATTTGAGAAAATTTTTACTCTACTGACTGTCTATTTCCGTATCCCATCGACTAAAGAGCTTCTTGGCGACTCTCAGTGGTATCGTACATATAATGAAGTAAATGCAGCAATTACTGGTGAAAGAGGTAACTTCTAAGCCTATATCCATGTAGGAAAGGCTTAACTCTAAAACTATACGAATAACTCTAACTCTGTTCACAGGTCCTCAACTTCAACATTTGTTGAACTTACTTCAACAAAATGGATGCAAGTGGCTTCGAGTACCCACGTCTGCTACTTTCCACCGGCCACCCACTATGATTCTTCATCGCTTCTTTTCTTCCTCAGGAACATTAGTAGAGCGTATAGTTTGTTCTTTGTTATTCATTTAGGATTTCGGGATTTTCAATTCAGGGGAAAAGTATATTGAGGATAAATTGTTGAAAATATCGTCGTTATACAAGATAGTTTTCACAGTTAACCATATGAATTAATGGGTGACTGTCATGTTGGTTATTGACATATCGACAAGAATTTTGTAGCCGTATGGTATGTTTGTTTGTAAATCCATACGCATCAGCAAAAAATCTCTATATTGACTAAATAAAAATATCAAAATACGTTAAACAATTTTAATTCTTTTTGAAGCCTTATATAAAATAGTTTAATCTCACACCTATAATATAGGTTTCATTAAACTATCTAAAAAAAAAATTGAATATTTTATAGTTTAATCTCACACCTATAATATAGGTTTCATTAAACTATCTAAAAAAAATGAATATTTTATAGATAAATATGATGTTTATTATTTTAAAATGAAACAAAATCACATCTTAATCTTTGTATACTTTTGTTTTTTTAAATTAACTCATTTGAATTATTTAAAAACTTCAAACTATGATAATTTAGTCATATAATTTTATAAAAAGAGTAGTTTTGAAATAAATAAAAACTATAGCATTTTTCAAAATAACACAGTATTTTTCTAAATTTTCTTTTCAGATTATATGTTTAAGGTTTAGTCTTTAGGTTTTGAAAAGAAAAATGAATCAATTTTAGTCTATTTCCAGAATAAAACTTTTGAGTTCTTGGGGTCATTTTAAAGTTTATATGCCATTTTGGTCAATTGCATTAGAAATATAAAATAATAGATTTGAAATAAAAAATAATATTTATGGTTTTGTATTCCCACGTTGAAAATTGGTGTACCCGTATATAAATCACTAGTAGAGGACCCTTGTTGTGAAGAAAATCTAATACCTTAACAATGAAAACTTTAAATCTCACAATGTATAAGATTATGAAATCCTATCAGTAATTTTCATCTAATTAAATAATACATAAGTTAAGTCTTTCATAAATGTAAATAGAGTTTAGTGTAATGAGAAAAAGGTATGCTATTTTTTATTTTTAAAACAGACTAAAACATTTAGTCATTCCTATGCTAATAGATGGAGTGTTGTGAAAAAATCAATGATAATTAAATTAATACCAAAAACAAAATAGCATATTATTTTTTTAACCCTACAAATACATAGCAATGTAGAAGATTATAACAAATTCTGCTTCTAATTTCCATTATTATTGTAAAAATATACTCGAATTTTTATCACATATATAATATTATGGTTAGATTTAGACCTGCGAATTCTACCCGAAACCCAAGTCCGACCCAAAAACCTTAACAAAAAAAGTTAAAGCCAAACTTTTTAATATGTCTAAACCTAAAAACCCGAAAAACTTCTAAAAATGTGGAAAACACAGAAATACCCGAAAAAGTGGAAAACCTGAACTGAACCCGAAAAAATTCAAACCCAACCCGAATAATTTTTTTATCTCTAAATCCAAAAACCTGAAATCGGAGAACCTGACTCTAAACCCAACCAAAACCCGAAATCCTATGCTTCGTCTAGATTCATAGTTACTTTGTTTATTTTATTATTATGTGTAAAAAAATTGTAGACGTTAATTAGGCGGTCATTCGAGTCTAAAGCATAATCAATTAATCAGTGATTAAATGCGGACTAACAGGAATTAAAACCTTAGCATATTTTTTTTAAACACGCAAAAATCTTTTAAAAACCCAAAAACTCAAAACCCAAAGTCCCAAACCTACATAAAATTATATTAAAATTATTTTAGATAATATAAAATTTAAATACTAATAAATTGCAACCTCTTAATTCTAAATGGACTTGTCCACTTAAATTAAGTATTCTAAATAGCATCATGTGAATTAAAAACAAAAAACACGTAAATAATTGTTGGTTTAACGTGTGAATTACTTTGGCCAGAGACTTGAAAATCTTAATAATAGTTACGATTCCTTCAAGTCTCGGGTTCAAGTCTCAAAATGTTAATAATAGTTATTCTCTGTTTTTATTTAGTGAACTGCAAATGACCAAAGTATCCCCGTCTCTTTCTCCTTTCCTTCCGCCGATGTGTTTCTTTTTCCACGATTATTATCTGTTTTGCTTCATTTGAATGCAATTTCTTCTCTAATATGATAGATCTACATCTGAAAATTCTATTTAAATGATATGAAACCATTAAAAGTTCAAAAATTTGATGTATCCTATTTTTGGGCAATATCAAATCATTTCAACATTATCTCTTGTCTGTCAATATCATTTCAATTTTCAAATGTCTCTCGAGATGTGTTGGTGTACTGCTTTCATGAGTGTAAGATCTTTACTTGGATGTTCCAAGAAAACTTGAAAGGCTTACTGTTTCTCAATGGAGTAATTTCAAGATCTATTTTTTAGGTTTTAATTTATTGTAGTTAAAAAACTATGTGGAGATTTTCGTAATTGAATTTTTGATATGTAATTGACTGACGGTTTGGGCGATTGTTCTGGTTTATTTTAGGTGACTAAGATCCGCGTCCCAAAACTAAGAAACCTGGATGGGTTATTCCCGTGTCACTGAGTCAACTCAGCCGAACTGGTATTTTTCTGACACTATTGACCTCTGTTATCCCTGTTTCCAAACAATATTTCTCATAAAAGTAATGGCATTATTCGTAAATAGATGGGGTTTTTCGTCTTTTTGTTTAAACGTACAACTCGATTAATTATAAAGAGATCATTCCGAATCTTTTTCAGTAAAATCAGTTTCTTCTGTTGGAGGAAGAAATGGAGTTGTACCGAGCCTTCGAGGCTGATGAGAACGAAAAACTGCCGCGCGACATAGAATCAATCGACTTTTTCGATCCTCGTACGGTCATTTCTCCCGATAAACTCTCTGTAGAGTTCACCGGCGCTGCTAACGAGGACGATCACGAAGCCGGCATGGTTCAGCCTCAAATCCCGGTTCCGACGAAGTGCGACGTTTACTACTTCGAGGTTTATGTCAATAATGCTGGAGTTCGGGGGCAGATCGCGATTGGAATCTCGACGCAGCGATGGGGGCAGGAAGAAAGGTATCGTTATCTTCTCCCTTTGTGTTCCGTATCAAATTTGGCAGGTGAAACAGCTATTGCTTCTGTTTAATATCGCAAGATTAGGCGAACTGAAACTGATTCTTGGACGAGATCATGTGATTTGGTGCTCAATCCATCGTGCTTGCTCTTCTTCCTCGATTTTCTCTCGCATTTTGCCGTCTTACGATTCCTTCAAGTCTCTGGTTAGTTTCTCTTTTCGCATTTACCAGCGGCTGTTTGTGTTTCCGGGAATTTGATATTCGACGAAAGTAGAGTACGATTCTGGAATTAGGCTTAGGGATTTGATTGATTGATCTCATGAACTTGGGCTAATTTTGATCAAAATCGATTCTATGATGTGAAAGAGCGTAGAAAGATTCCAAATTTGATTCTATAACCAGCCTTGCTTCCTCTGGTGCTAGTAGTCGAATTTGATTTGACAGTGTCCTGCATGTGAGAACTTGTTTCGTGGACTCGTGTTTGCTCTTCGATTCAGTCTGGGATGTGAAAATGGATCTTCATTTTGCTTTCTAATTTAGCAAATTGTTTCTGAGAATGAATGCAAAGTGAATTGAGAAGTATTGATTTTGTTTTGTCAGTGGAAAGGCTATGCAAATTTTGTGTACATTCTTTGCTATTCTCATAATGTGATCGAACCTCATAATGATCATTCTTTCTTACATATAACTTTCGGCAGTGAATCAAGCCTAAGATGCTGCAGCTACCACGGAGAGAGCGGACGCATATACTCTCGGAAAGGAGAGGAGAAAACTGAAACTCCAACTAGCGATCCTTATACAACTGGTGATACAGTTGGTTGCGGTATAAACTACGTTTCGCAAGAGTTCTTTTTCACGTAAGTAGATACAATCTTTGCTATCCAATTCATTTCTGTATGTTTGTACCAGCTGACAGTTTTAATTACTTCTCTGATGACAGCAAAAACGGAGCTCTGGTAGGGAAAATCCCAAAGGTCTTCAGAGGTCATCTACTGTATCCAACAGTATCGCTCCAACTTTCAACTTGGCAAGTGAAACCTCTGTTCCTCGTACCGAAGAGCAAGAAGAGCAAGAAGTATCATTTGCGTTGCAAGCCAGAAAAAATCTTAGAGAGGTATTACTTTGATGATGCATATACAGAGTATTTGTTTTAATGTAGAGCTGATTCCATATATTGTTTTGTTACAGGTTATAAAGTCTGGACAGATTGATGCTGCTCTAGCTATCATCCAGGGTATAAATCCCAAACATCCACAAAATGATGGAGTCGACTTCCTCCATCTCTGCCAACACATGGTCCAGTTAGTACAGGTAATTTTCTGCGTTGGTTAAACTATTGTTGTTAAAGAGACGCAATCTCTGACTAATTCCACTGAAAATTGCAGAAGCGAGCAGGAGATGAAGATTTGGAGATTGGACCAGATGAATTACAGACGTTCGGACAATTATGTTCAAGTCCATTCGCAAAAATATATTACGTAAGATGCTTCATTAACCTTAAACGTGTTTGATAGATTGTTCAAAATATTCATTCACTCAGGATTCTAATTTCTTGTTTTCTTTATCAGCAATGCTATGGTATGTTGCGTCAGCGCGACATTACCGAGGAACAAATAGTGCAGAAAATGCTAGGAGACTCAGAAAAGGAAATAGTAGCAGACTTTTTGAATGAAGCGGTTCTGTTTTCAAATCCAGATAACAGCCCGTTCGAATCTCGTTTGGAGAAAATTCTCAGGCAGCTAAGGACTTGCGCCTGCTACTACTTTACGTGAACAAGCCATTCTCGCCGTTTTAACAAGACGAATATGTACAGAAGCAATTTGAGAGACTTAGGTGTTCTTACAAACTTTGTTTTTTTTTTTTTTTTTTTTTTTTTCTTGGCTAAGAAAGTCAATGAATTTGATTGATATCGTTTGTACAAAACCAATTTTACACTTCCTCCTTTGAGACTTTTAGTTGTATGGATTCTTATAAACTTTTTGACTAATATCGTTTGCATGAATCAATTTCAGACTTCTTCCTTTGAGACTTTTAGTCGTTTGTTTTCTTTGGAATCTTTTCAACTTAAGATTCAAGGGAAAAAGATTCAAAAGAAAACCTAATCTTTTCAACAAAACTGTTCATCTTGTAACCAAAGTGTTTTTGAAATCGGTTTTACTCTTCAAGAAGTCTAAACTGCAAAAATAAATCAATAAATCATCAAATTTTTTAAAAGTGTTTGTTTTGTGCTCCTAAATTCCATCCAATGCTAGTTACTGTCAATTAATCAAAACAGCGTTTTAATTTTGTTAACCGGATATGACGTGGCAAGAGAACGACGAAGTTAAGTTTTCTTTTTCCGTTTGAATCCGATGATTAATCCAATAGAAACCAATAAAAATTAACCCACCCGAATAGAACCAATGTGGTAGTTAAACCGGTGGTTTTTGTTCTTCCCTTATCTAACTTCGCTTTTCCCATGCACCAAAACGAGCCACATCTGCCTAACGATTAATAGCTTGGTTTTGGCAGCACTTCGTCCACCCTACCGCAACGAGTCCCCTCTATTTATAGAGTGTGAGGTCATGGTTTTTAGATTTAGAGGTTTTTAGTTAAAATACCACATAAATAAATATCCAATTTTTAAAAATACTATCAAAATAAGTTTTCGCTCGCCACTTGTTATATTTTTTTAATCATTACCATACAAACTGAATTTCTTCAAAAAAAAAAAAAAAAAAATACCAAAACACTACTTTAAATCCTCAAAAATAAATATAAACCCTCAAAGTTAAACCGTAAACCCAAATATATAAATTCCTAGATAAGGGTGTATATGTGGAATTTTTTTTTTTAAATTTAAACAATTTACGAAATGTATTTAATAAAATGTGGTTACCTATAAAAGTAAGTAAAATAATATTAAAAACCTGATAAAAAATCTTTGAATAACATAAGTTATAGCTTACTATATAGGGTTTAGTATAAGGTTTACTATATACATTCTTTTTTTTTATGTTAGAATATGGAACCTTCTTCTGTTTGAATATGTCATGCAAAAATACATTTTCCCTTTTCCGTTACAATATGGAACCTTCTTCTGTTTGAATATGGCATACAGAAATATTTTTTCCCCCTTTTCCGTTAGAATATGGAACATTCTTCTGTTAAATATGACATGCAAAAATGCTTTTTTCCGTTATAGAACCTTTTTCAGTTAAAATATGGATAATTGTTTTATGTTTTAGTTTTTGTTTAACATCTTTTTAATTAGTTTTTTTTCTTTTTCAATTAGACACATGTCAAGATATTAATCAATTTAAACTATAAAATAGTATAATCTCTCTTCATAGACTCTGACACCTCAACATTTTTGAGAACTGTGGAGACGACACGTGGCATGTATAAAATTTATTTTACCATTTTTTTATTTTCAGCATTTAAGTTAACTCTTCACATTCTCAAGTTTAAATAACAACTATAATAATAAAATGACTTCAATGTCAATAATTAATTATTGTAATATATTTATAATATTGAACTCAAGACTGTTTTATGTCTCTTATTATTTGAGTTAAGATAATTTTATAATTTATTTTATATTTAATAATAATCTGTATACATATTTTTAATGTATGGAAGATTCTAAAAGAAAAAGTTAGTGTTTGAAGATCCAAATAAAAATAATAATAACCAAATATTCATGAATTCTATTTAAAATTTTGTGTATACAATTTTGTTTGTTTTCTCATATATAAAAATATGCGAGGACAATATGTGTAAGTAATAGAATTATAGCGGGTAAAAATCGAGTAAATATTGTTTATGTATAGGAAAATAGTATTCAAAATTTACTTATAAATTTTAGGTGCAAATAATAGTGTAGATAAGAGGCAATAGTGAAGGCCAAAAAAAAAGAGGCAATAGTTAAAATCATTATTTTTATAAAAAAATCAGAATTAAAATCAGTATAAGAATAAATATTGTAGATAATTAGTATAATAATAATATTTTTAAAATTAAATAGAAATATTTATAGTTAAATTAAACAATAAAATTTAGAACTTGGTATAGTTCTAATCCTGCGCATCGCGCAGGTCAAATTTCTAGTAGGATTAAAATTAAAAAAATCACACATGATCCTATGAATTATGAATGTAAAATCCCACGTCATACACATCTATATAATAAACAATTCCTCAAATATATTTTTTAGATGATTTTTGTATTATCATATATTGGTAGTTTTAAAGATTAAAAATTAGTGACGAGATTTTTGGATTATATAAACTTGTTTAGTTGTTTTGCTGAAGGATTAATTAATTACTATTGTCGCCGGATCTCACGTGTATTATGTAACGGTTATTCTTTAGCCTAAAACATATATAGTTAATCACCTACACATACGTGTAGCAAGACGAAAGAACAAACTAGGGTTTATACTTATGGATCGAAAGAAGATGAGAAAAATCCAGAGATCAACACATGATGATGATGATGATGATACTGATAGATCTCATCAATCCCTAGATCATATTCCTCACGATCTAATCGCCGAGATACTCTCACGACTGCCCACGAAATCGATCCTGAGATCTCGCTCCGTCTCTAAGCTATGGTCTTCCATCACCACCACTCCAGATTTCATCAACTCGTTCGCAAGTCGGTCCTTGGCATCAGCACAGCCTTGTGTTCTGCTAATCTTTAGTAAACTCGACCAGCTGTTCGTTTTCTCGTCTCCGATACACCAGAATAATACTCATCCTCCTCCTCCTCCTGATCAAACGGAGAGTTATCAATTTACAATCCCTAATAATGGTCTCCTTCATCGTCATGGTTCCGTCCACGGTTTGATTTACTTTGACACCTCTACACAGCTCATGATTTGGAACCCTACCTTAAAACGCATCATCACTTTCCCTGAGCTCCAAGGCAGTGAAGGCAAATACAAAACAACGCTTTTGGGATATGATCCTGTTGACCGTAAATACAAAGCCCTTTGCATTTTTAGAGGCTACAAGAATGGTATTCTTACATTGGGAGCTCAAGAATCATGGAGAATGCTACCCAAAGATGATTTCCCTTTGCATTACTGCGTTAGCGAAGGTTGTGTGATATGCATTAATGGAGTTATTTACTATACAGTTATTTTGAATGTTTATGATTCTAATGATTTCTCTGAGGAGCATGGCGTTATGAGCTTTGATCTCCAATCTGAAAAGTTCAGGTTTATTAAATATCCCATGGAGAACCACAAAAGTTTATCTTTTGTATCCTATGAGAGAAGATTAGCTTTGATGATAGGTTCCAATGGGCGCTCTAGTACCGAATTATGGATTTTGGAGGATGCAGAGAATCACCAATGGGAATACAAACAGTTTCCTCCACCACAGCTTCCTTACATAATATGGATTTTAAGGGGATTGAGGTTGAAGGGTGTTACTGATGCTGGTGAGTTTATTTACGTTTCTACACCATATGATACAAATGATATTAGAAGCCCTAGTCACATTAATGATGAAGAAAGGAGTTCGTATGAACGCTTCGATATTTTGTATTTTGATCCCAAGAAAAACAGTTCAAGACAAGTTAAGCTTCGAGGAATCGGATTTGACGATTTTGAGCGACTTGAATTGTATGAATACGATTTTATGAAAGACTTAACCGTTGTACCAAGGCACATTGAGAGTCTCATGTCGCTGTAAAGAGCTTTCATTATTATTTTTACTTGCTTAGATTGACACTTTATGAAGTTTTATTTTCTTTATAATCACTGATTTTGTCATGATTTTAGTTATTCTTGATTCCATTATATATGTGATACTACTACCTCATATATCCTTTGCAACTTAATGCTCTGTGCTTCATCTAGAACAACTCTACGTCATGAAAGTTTTAGCAAGAACGGCAACACAGGGACACAATCCACATGTTTCCTCTTCTTTGTGCCCTTGATTTAAGAATGTGGCAGATCCTTTGTTTTCTTATCTTTGAACCAAACTTAATCTGACATTCAAATGGCATTGTTTTGTTCTGCCTCCATTCTCGTGAAATTTAAATTTTTATGTTAGAAGAATGACCACCGGTAAAGTAAATTTCCAGATCTTCTTTACTAAAACTGAAAGAATATTAACTTAACAATAAGAAAATCCCAATGAAACCACCAAAGCTTTCTCTCCCTCCAATGAAATCAGACAGAATGAATTTATTCTGTATACATCTGTTTTACATCTTTTTTCCTTTTTCCTTTTTATTTATAATGCCAAAAGAAAAAACTATATGACAATTTATATTTTCCTTTTTCTTAATGGCTAGGAAGCAGTTTATGACAATTTTCCCAATATACACCAAACGCTAGTTCTATCTTGATCATCTTATATCTTTTATATATATGTACACATGTATGCGATCGCATATGCTCACAAAGGTAATAAGCAGAAAACCTAAAAGATGGATCCACAAGCGAAGAAACAAAAGCTTAGAACATCAGAAATCGCAAGTCCCTCTCTCTCAAAGATGGAATTAGAGAACGAGCAGAAGAAGAAGCAAAACGACGTCGCCATGTTTCTTACGGAGAGGGTAATCTCCGCCGTAGCCACAAACTCAAACTTTGTCTTCTCTCCCGCATCAATCAACGCCGTACTCACCATGGTCGCTGCCACCACCGAAAACGAAACACTAAGATCCTTGATCTTCTCCTTCCTTAGATCTTCCTCAATGGATGAGCTCAACGCCGTTTTCCGCGAGGTGGCTACAATTGTCCTCGACGACGGAAGCGAGAGCGGTGGCTCTAAGGTAACGTCCGTCAACGGAGTGTGGGTGGAGCAAACCCTAACTATTAATCCCTCGTCGAAGGACCTCCTTGAGAATTTTTTCAAGGCTGCTTTCTCTCAAGTTGATTTCCTATTCAAGGCTGAAGAAGTTCGCAAGGAAGTAAATTCTTGGGCTGCACGTAACACCAGTGATCTCATCAAAGAAATTCTTCCTCCTAGATCCGTCTCAAGCTACACCACGTGGATTTATGGAAACGCATTGTACTTCAAAGGAGCATGGGAACACAAATTCGACAAGTCTTTGACGAGAGACAAAGAGTTTCAGCTTCTTAATGGCACATGTGTCTCTGTTCCCTTCATGAGCAGCTCTAGGAAAAGGCAATACGCAAGTGGTTACGACGGTTTCAAGGTCCTTAGGCTCCCTTTTGAACAAAGCGGCGATGCAAATCGCAAGTTGTCAATGTATTTCTATCTCCCGGATGCAAAAGATGGATTGGATGATCTTGTGAAGAGAATGGCATCTACTAGTGGGTTCTTGGACAGTTACGTTCCAAGTCAAGCCAGACTTGGCGAATTCAGAATCCCAAAGTTTAAGATCGAGTTCGGGTTTGAGGCTTCAAGGGCTTTCAATGAATTGGAACTGGAAGAGGCCAGATTGTTCCACAAAGCTTGTGTCGAGATGGATGAAGATGGTGCAGAAGCTGTGGCTGTAACTGCTAGAACATTAAAATGTGGAGCACGTCGTTTATCACGTGAGATAGATTTTGTGGCTGATCATCCATTTCTTTTCTTGATTAGAGAAGACCAAACCGGAACAGTTTTGTTCGTTGGTCAAATCTTTGATCCTTCCAAATCTCCTTCTGCTTAGGACCAACGGAGCCGAGCAGAGAAGTTTGTCTGATATTTTTTTCATTAATTACTCTGTTTTTTCTTTTTACCCTGAATGGTCCGTGTATGGTAAATTTACCTGTTTTTTCTTCAACCGGATTATAAAGAGTAAGAAGATGATATTATCAGATCCCAAAATTGTCAAAAAGAAATGCTTTACCTTATCACACAATGTACAGTCTGAAAGCATCACCAGCTTTACCTTATCACTAATGCAAGATTTCAAATTTTTCAATCATATCAGTTCAAATAAGTATCTATATGATGGACACAGCTACAACAACAGTAGATACCTTTTTCCATCAAGTTCTAATACAGCAACCTGGTTTTAAAGGACCGCCTTTGTGTAAATGAGAGCAAACCGAAGCACTGCTTCTACAAAATTTCAAGTACTCCAGAGTATCATATATATCAAGACTATAACCACTGAATCTGACGTCATTATAAACAGGTAAAAAGAATCAGTAGACAATGAAATGCCCTGCAACACTAAACCGACAAATGCTTTTTTGATCTCACTATTAACATCTCACACAATGTGTTACTGCATCGGTGATGGAGAAGCTACAAATAAAGAACCGTCCTTGTCCCGCTTACCATATATAGTAACTCGAGCCACAAAAGCTAGAAGCGAAGCTGTCACAAAGGATTCAAATCTCATGGTTTCAGGGCCAAAGCCGCAGCAGACAATAATCTGATACTTGTGCAGTTGTGCTACTATAGTGTAATGAGGAAATTGTTGGAACATAATTTAGTTTGTTCTATGTCTCTCTTAGTTAAAGGTCGTGACGTTTCGTAGTAGCATTAAAGAGACACAATTAGGAAGAGACACAACTCTTGTAATGTGTCGTGTCTACTCAATTCTTATATAAACAATTTTTTCCTTATGTAAAACATAACAAGTTGAGAGTAACCAAATGATATAAAAAGATATAAAAAAACAACACATAAACAGAAAAAAAAACCTAAAAAAGAGTAACCAAATGAGATTATTTGACTCCCCGAAGGAAGAAAAATATAAACAAAATGTTGTAATAATATGAAAAGATATATACTGAAGAAAGGATCAATCACTCTCGTTTAAAACTTGGTAAGAACCATCGTGCATTGGAGCATCGAACGGAGGAACAAACAAATTGGTGCGGTTTTTCCACCTTCTTTGTATCGAGACTGAATATTAAAACATCGTTTTCATCGTATTCATCTCCAAAATCACGACCATTGAAGTAGATAGAATTTCTCTTGACTCCTTCATTAATTTCCTTTGTGTCCACTGTGATACCTAACTCCAAAAGAATTGCCTCATCCCCCAAAGAATCAATGCCCTCCCATTTGTTCCCCTTCGATGAATCCATCTTGAAGATTTCAAAGTTCCATATCTTGGACATACACGGACGTGTGCTCGTAACAATCAAGACATCTCCACTTAATGTGACTACCACGTAATGCTTCATACGAGTCAAACTATAAGCTGGAGGCATTCTTCCAGGACATATCAACAATCTTTGTATGAACCCATGTACGCTGGTTTTGAAAACTTTCACCGGAATTTCTCCAGAAAAATCGAAAATCTTGAGTTTATAATAGTTGAGACAATAGAGCTTATGATCCTTATATACCATGTTAAAACCCTGCTCCATACATGACAATGACAACTCGGGCATTTGTTTCCACGAGGTATCTCCTTTCTTGAAAGAAACAGCATCTTCTTCATTAAACATACCCATAACAAGGTAATCTTTGGTTTTCTCGTCCATCCAAAATATTGGAGCGTTGAGCCCAAATTCTGATACCAAAGTTGGTAGATTGATTCTCTCGCGCGTCAAAAGATCTAATATATATAGGTTATATAGAGGATCTTGAGTTTTGGCTTCAAAAAAATTCAGATATTTAGGGTCCAGCATCAAAAGCCAGCTTCTACACGTTGCAACACAAAAGCTCTTTGCAAAGTCGTTACCAAGATCTTGAGTTTTGTAAAACTTGTCCTTTTCTTCAGGATTGAACAAGAGACCGTAATTGTTGTCCTTGGGGAATAGAATCATCCAAGGGATTTTATTGGTTGGCTTAGATTGTCTCGAAGCGGACAGCCAAGATGAACAAACGGATTTAGCTCGTTGGAAATCTGCAAATCCAAGGCGTTCAAAAACCATTTGCATGAGATCTTGAGGAAGCTTGGACCAGCAATGGACATATCTTTTTAGATCTTTTGAATTGTCAACGTCGATGCAGAATAGTCTTTTGATGTCCCACTCGGCCAAAAACCTTACAAATTGTTGCACCTTAATGATCATATGATAAGCTTACTTAGTTGCGACCAAACATCAACAAGATGAGCTGTTATAACAGTATAAGTAACTTCTGTGTTTGTAGTCAAAGACAGCCTCTGGTTGATATCCCCAATGCCAACAAACTAACATACATTACTGAACAAAATAATACAGAAACATGAAAATCCAACAATTATTACCAAATAAATATTCTTTCTAGAAGCCTCCTACAAAGAAAAATATTACCAAAATGTTGTAACAGTATTAAAAACATATACTGGAGATAAATCACTCTCGTTTAAAACTTGGTAAGAACCATCGCATATTGGAGCATGGAACGGAGGAACAAACAAATTGGTGCGGTTGTTCCACCTTCTTTGTATCGAGACTGAATATGAAGATATCGTTTTCATCGTATTCATCTCCAAAATCACGACCATTGAAGTAGATAGAATTTCTCTTGATTCCTTCACTCATTTCCTTGGTGTCCACTGTGAGACCTAACTCCAAAAGAATTGCCTCGTCTCCCAAAGAGACAATTTCCTCCCATTTGTTCCCCTTAGATGAATCTATCTTGTAGATTTCAAAGTTCCATATCTTTGATATACCCGGACGTGTGCTCGTAACAATTAAGACATCTCCACTTAATGTGACTACCACATTATGCTTCATACGAATCAAAGTGTTAGCTGGAGGCCTTCTTCCAGGACATCTCAACAATCTTGGTACGCACCCACGTACGCTGATTTTAAACACTTCCACCGGAACTTCTCCAGAAAAATCGAAAATCTTGAGTTCATCATAGTTGAGACAATAAAGCTTGTGATCCTTATATACCATGTTAAAACACTCGTCGATATCTGACAATGACAACTCGGGCATTTCTTTCCACGAGCTATCTCCTTTCTTGAAAAAAACCGCATCTTCTTCATTAAACATTCCGATAACAAGGTAATCTTTGGTTTTCTCGTCCATCCAAAATATTGGAGCGTTGAGAATTCCAAATTCTGATACCAAAGTTGGTAGATTGATCCTCTCACGCGTCAAAAGATCTAAAATAAATAGGTTATATAGAGGTTCATTGATTTTCCCTTCACAGAAATCCAGATATTTAGGGTCGAGCATCAAAAGCCAGCTTCTATACGTTGCAACACAATAGCTCTTTGCAAAATCGTTGCCAAGATCTTGAGTTTTGTAAAACTTGTCTTTCTCTTCAGGATTGAACAAGAGACCGTAATTGTTGTCCTTGGGGAATAGAATCATCCAAGGGGTTTTATTGTTTGGCTTAGATTGTCTTGAAGCGGACAGCCAAAATGAACAAACGGACTTAGCTCGTTGGAAATCTGCAAATCCAAGGCGTTCAAAAACCATTTGCATGAGATCTTGAGGAAGCTTGGACCAGCAATGGAGGTTTCTTTTTATATCCCGAACCGGGCGATCAGATGCATGGGATTCTGGAGAACGAAGATCACCAACATGGAGCCTCGGAGAGGCCATCTGATTGTATACTAGCTCTTAAAGCTTTGAACCAATTGGAAACCTATATCTCTTTAAGCATGAGAAGAAAAAAACTAGCATTTTGGACCTTTTTATAAAGAGTATGGTTTCCATAAACGTAATTATTTGGATATTTTATAAAGCATTCATATATAGTAATATATATATATATATATCTATCTTCATGTCACAATTTGGGGAAAAGAAAATAGACGCATGCCTATTTTTATGTTAAAAATTCCACATGTCAATAATATCTTATGAAATCATCCATGGTTGTGTTACAGCTGAGCCACAAAAAGCAACTTCATTCCATCTAATCCCTGGTATATATATATCTATCTTCATGTCACAATTTGGGGAAAAGAAAATAGACGCATGCCTATTTTTATGTTAAAAATTCCACATGTCAATAATATCTTATGAAATCATCCATGGTTGTGTTACAGCTTAGCCACAAAAAGCAACTTCATTCCATCTAATCCCCTGGTATACCACGCTTTTAGGTTACTATTTTTCCGATCAATTCTTTCTTTTATTTGTTTTCTGAATTTTACTTGTCTTGAAAATGTCTTTCAACTTTTGATATTGAATTAATCAATTTTATAACATTCTTAAAATGTAATACAATTGACTAGCCCTTAATTAACTCGGATTTTTTGTTAGTTCGAATTAAAAAATTCTACTGAAATTTTACGATACGGTTTGGTTAAATATTTTGGTTTTTTTGTTCAAATTCGGGTAAATTGGGATACATTTGTTTTTTTGAATTGGTATTATCAAAACTTGCAACTTGGGCTTGTTGTCAAACACTTCTGTTTTTGCTTTTTCCTTTTTTGTTAGATCATGGGGAACAGTAATTTGCTTACTTACCTCTTACTATTCCGGATATATTGTTGAACGAAAAATGTTCTAGTGGTAATGGTGGTGACATTCTTGCTCGGGAAACTGGTATGGTCGGAGGAAAAATTCTACTCGAGGGACAAAAATTGATAGAAGGAACTGAACCTGCATATTTTTATAACAAAAGGTGTTTGATGGCATTTTAGGACTGGGATTTTGGGAAAACATGGTGAACAAAACTTTAATTGGTAAGCATAGTTTTCTCTGTTTGGCTCAAGTCATACAATGGAGATGGAGAACATGACAACATACCAACCATTTGGATCTTCATGTTCTCCATCTCTACTGTAAGATTTAAGCCAAATAGAAAAAACATGCTTACCAAATAAATCTATGCACACCATGTTTTTCTAAAACTGTTCCCCTCAGAACAAGAGAGGGAAAATCTAATCCTAAAATGCCATCAAACGCCATTTTGTTAAAAAAAAATATACATCACCCTTGGAATTTTTAATTGTAAACAACTTCTCCTGTTGAATCATCACCAAAACTGATTTTAGAAAATAACTATAGAGATTGCATCAAAAGAGCAAAAAAAAAAAATCTAAACTAATGTTGCATCTTTGTTGTGAGAAGCTCGATATTTATAGGCCACTACTAAAAAATAAAAGCATAAATTTGCGCGCACATACAAGATGTGTGTATGAATTTACGTGATAACACATTAGGTTACACATACAAGTTGTATGTTTTTACGTGATAACACATTAGTTTACACATACAAGTTGTGTGTGTTTGTACACCGGCATAGAAAAGAAGTAAGGAGAACCAAGACTTGCTTCACATTTTTTGATTTTTTGATAAAGGGTCTAAGACTTGCTTCACATTGATTTGAGTTTACTTCACATGTTTTCTCTTGAAGAACAAAAATAAATAAATATATATATCCATTTAGTCAACCATGTCAAACATGCACATGTTTTATAAGTGAACTCGTTATTGAACTCCTTTAACATTATTGGATGGAAACAAGTAATAACAATAACTTTAGCAATGCAATAACGAAGTTGGACTAGAAAGAAACTAGTAAGAAAAACTATGAGTGCTAAAAACCTAATACTGTAGTAAAATATGTTAAGAACAAATTAAAACAAACAAATTTTATTTCAACTAATCTATTTCAACTTGCCTACTTAATCTTCCAGTTTCATCATCTGACCGTCTGATTTGGTAACCGGAAAAAACAGCTCAAACCTAACCACCACCACCACCGGTCCACCACCCACACTAGGCCAAGCAGTCAATAAGAACCTTACTAAAATTGTTGCACCTTAAAGATCATATACGTTCTTTAATCATATGATAAGCTTCCTTAGTTGCGACCAAGCATCAAGAAGATGAGCTGTTATAACAGTATAAGTAGCTTTTGTATCTGTAGTCAAAGACAGCCTCTGGTTGCTATCCCCAATGCCAACAAACTAATATACATGTCTGAACAAACTAATACAGAAACATGAAAATCCAACAATTATTATACCAAATAAATATTCTTTCTAGAAATCCTACAAAGAAAAATATTACCAAAATATTGTAATAGTACTAGAAACATATACTGAAGACAAATCATTCTCGTTTAAAACTTGGTAAGAACCATCGTGCATTGGAACATGGTACGGAGGAACAAACAAACTGGTGCGGTTGTTCCACCTTCTTTGCATCGAGACTGAATATCAAGATATCATTTTCATCGTATTTATCTCCAAAATCACGACCATTGAAGTAGATCGAATTTCTCTTGATTCCTCCATTAATTTCCTTGGCGTACACTGTGATACCCAAATCCAAAAGAATTACCTCATCTCCCAAAGAAATAATCTCTTCCCATTTGTTCCCCTTTGATGAATCCATCTTGTAGATTTCAAAGTTCCATATTTTGGACATACTCGGACGTGTGCTTGTAACAATTAAAACATCTCCACTTAATGTGACTACCACATTATTTTTCTTACGATTCAAAGGAAAATTTCCAGGCATTCTTATACGAAGTCCGGATAATCTTCTTATGCACCCTCGTACGCTTATTTTGAAAACTTGCACCGGAATTTCTCCAGAAAAATCGAAAATCTTGAGTTTATAATAGTTGAGACAATAAAGCTTGTGATCCTTATATACCATGTTAAAACATTCGTCGATACCTGACAATGCCAACTGGGGAATTTGTTTCCACGAGGTATCTCCTTTCTTGAAAGAAACAGCATCTTCTTCATTAAACATACCCATAACAAGGTAATCTTTGGTTTTCTCGTCCATCCAAAATATTGGAGCGGTGAGCCCAAATTCGGATTCCAAAGTTGGTAGATAAATCCTCTCACGCGTCAAAATATTTAAAATATATAGGTTATATAGAGGATCTTCAGTTTTCGCTTGACGATAATCCATATATTGAGGGTCGAGCATCAAAAGCCAGCTTCTATAAGTGGCCACACAAAAACTCTTTGAAAAGTCGTTGCCAAGATCTTGAGTTTTGTAAAACTTGTCTTTCTCTTCAGGATTGAACAAGAGACCGTAGTTGTTGTCCTTAGGGAATAGAACCATCCAAGGGATTTTATTGCTTGGCTTAGATTGTCTCGAAGCGGACAGCCAAGATGAACAAACGGATTTAGCTCGTTCGAAATCTGCAAATCCAAGGCGCTCAAAAACCATATGCATGAGATCTTGAGGAAGCTTGGACCAGCAATGGAGGAGATTTCTTTTTAGATCTCGAACCGGGGAATCAGATCCATTAGAATCACCGATATGGAGCCGGGGAGAGGAGGCCATTTGATTGAATGTTAGGTCCCGAGAGTATACTAGCCGCCTTAAAGCTTTGAAGTTAGAACCATGTAAAACTCTTATCTCTTAAGCATGAGAGAAAAATAGCCTTTTCGACCTATTTAAAGAAATATGATTTGCACAAACCAAACTTTTTATGTGAAAAATGGCCCCACATGTACATGAGTCATCATGTGACATGCCGATATCTTAGAGTACATGCAGCGGAGAGACTATATAAATCTCTTTAAATATTTTTTTTTAATAAAAAAAAATTGATTTTCAAGAAAAAACGATTTAATTTTAAAAAAAAAAAAAACATAACCTAATCAAGTTACGCCAAGTGGCGAGCTTTATCAGAGAGAAACGGTCTTCAGATCTTTCTCCAGGAAGAGACTTCTCTCACCAGTCTCTCACCATAAAGCTTGCCACATAGATATATATTGCCTTTTTTCTTTTTGCTAAAGAAATTCTTGCAGATCTCTCCCTTACATGTGCTCTTATAAAATCCATCCCTCGTTCTGTTACAGTTTAGCCAAAAGAAAACTTCTTTCTAACTAATTCCACGCTTATAGATAACTTATTCTTCGATTAACCGATTCAAGATATGATCACATCCCTAAAGTTACTCACTCTTATGATTATTCTTATTATAGAATATCAAGTTTCTCTTATTATTCTCATAAGTCTTGTATATATATATAAAAAGGTCTGTTGTGATGAACGTCGATTTATTTATTTTGAATTAGTGAGAATTAATCACACTTTTAATCAGTTAAAGCCTTAAAGGGATCTCCTTACAACACACGTAAATTTTAACCATGCGAATTTATATATATAAAAAAAAAGTATATTAACTAATATATTTATTTTACACAAAAACTCCAAAAACAGCAAGCACACTCTTTAAACCATTCTATATGTATTCTTTTACTTTATCCCGTAAAAACAGCAAGCACACTTTATGCATGCGTGTGAGATTCATGGTGAAGGTGAATTAGGTGATGTGTGATCCACGTGTCATCGGTAGACAACCAACGTATGAATTAGCTGATTTTAGTGTTAACTGATAAATAAAATAAAAATTTAAAAGGATAGGAGAGTTAAGATGTTATTGATGTATTCTGAAATGCAACGTTATATGACTTTTATGTGATTTATACAACATCTCAAAATTGAGCTGTTAGCCTGTTACAAGGTATATACTAAATTTCTACATGCAGGTTCACTTCTCCCATAGTCTTAAGAAGTGCAAGTTTATTTTTTCTGTGTTATGCTATAGTTCTGGGTATTACGGGTTTTGAAATGAGAATTGACGGGTTGAGGATGGAAATGGAAAATTTGGAAAACCAAATTTGATTCCCGAAACATTTCCTTATTACAACGGGAAGGGAAATCACGGGAATAGGAAGGGAATGGGAAATTTGGGAATCAAAATATAATACCTGAAGTCTTAATAAATTGGGAAAATTGAAGATAATATGGGAAATTACGAAAAATACGGGAAAATATGGGAAAATACGGGATATTATGGGAAAATTTGGGAAATTAAGGGAAAATTTGGGATATTTAAGAAAAAATGTCTAATTTTCAACTTTTTATTTTTTTAAACGGGAAAATCGAGAAATCCCTTACCCTTCCCGAACCCTTTCCTTACCCGTTTGAATAAAATAAATGTTCCCAAACAAGAAATTGCAAATTCCCATTTCCGAAAAGTTTGGGAAATTTTAAACGGATAAAGGTAGGAACGGAATTCCCATCCCAAAATGCCCAGAGCTAATATGCTGTACTTTCACCTATGATTACAAAGTTGGTTTACCAATTTGGACACTTTTAGTTGCGCATATCTTTTTTTAAGTTGTTTCACCCATAAATGGATCCCACCATCAAATAGATCAAAGTTTGCAAATTATGCAATTAAATTTATGGATTGAAAATCTATTTATACAATTAATTGGAAATTGATTTTAAAAATCTAAAGGTTATAAGTAATATTTTGGAAATTTTGTTCCATGAGTTAAAAAATTTAAAATCCATGTCCCAGTAACAAAGATTTTAATGGATTATTTAAATCATTAAAATACAAACTTTTTGAATAACAATAGATTTTGGGTGGACTTTTAAAATCACCAAACCAATAACAATAGATTTTAATAAGATTGTTAGAATTTATAAACCAATAACAAAAGTTTCTGAAAATTTTGAGAACTATTACAAATTCATCTCCCAATAATCATTCTCAAGAAAATAATAACACTAATACCCTTAATGTGATAAATCTATCTTTCTAGACTTTTTGTTTATAGCGAAGCCGATTCTTGGTTTCTTAATATCTTTGTAACCAAACACCGTGTGGTATGGCCGCATGAAAGCTTCCTGTTGTGGTTATGTGATTCAGTTTTCAGGTTTGGTGTAAACCGGAGGAATTGAATTAGAGTACAACCGGTTTGGGATTGTTGATTTGAACCGGAGATTGAAGAAGAAGACCTAGACGGTTTTTCTCTAGTCGCGAATAGAGACACCGCCGTAAATGCAAAAGTGTTTAGGTGTTTAAATACTTAAAGTTCTTGTCTTCTTCTTCCTTAAGCTGTTGTAACAATCAATTGGAGTTCCTTAACCTCCATTGATTCTCTTGCTCTGTTATTGAGCTATACTCTTTGAAAGTGCATGGGGGTACCGATACAAACTGTGAATGATACAGAAAGTAGTACGAGCATAAATAGTAGTAAAGACACATAGAGTTTGTTAACGGGGTTCGTTTCCTACATCCCCGGGACCTCGTCCAGAATCCACTAGAACAAGATTGCAATTACAGTTGCTATGGTATCCAGCACTACAATGCCTACCATTCTCTCCTAGATGGATACATTCAAACAATGCCCTTAACCCTTTGTTTGGTCTTCCTACTAGAACCCCAAAACCTTATGCTAAGGCATCTTCGAATGTAATGGGTTGAGCACATCCAATGCTCTCCACGTCCTATTTATCCACAATAGGTACGCTTTGAAACCCTTCAAGATTTCTCCCTTGGTGATCACTCCAAATCTCCAAGAGAATATTTCTTTCCTTATTTTTCTCTAGGAAAAGGAAATATTCCTAGTTGCTTGATAGCTTCGAATCTCTTCGTCCAACTTAGCTCTTGACTCTTCTAGAATCTTCTAGACTCGCCTCCTCAGCTACAAGCATATGTCCAGCCCATCAGATCGATTCCTTAAGCCCATCTGCTGAACACGACTCTCTGTACTACTTCTTGACTGATACATGAAGTCCTTCATTCAACTGTATCTTCACCTGTTATGACATGTTCTAAAACTCGGTCAGCACTGCATCAACAATCTCTCCCTTGATGATTGAGTTTTAGAATCATGGCATAACCCTTCACGAGTATGATGATCTTCTAACTCTCCCTTAATTGTACACCATCGTCATGGCATAACCAATCCAAGCATGATGATCTTCTAGCTCTCCCTTAATTGTACACCATCGATTTTCTTGATTCCTCCAACACTCTCTCCCTCTTTGACCATGGTTGTGAACTCAGCAATTATAGCTCCATAATAATTCTCCCCCTGCTTGAGTTCATAACTGATCAAAGTTAATTGCTGAAGCATCTCCGCTCTTGAGGTTGATGGTCCTTCTTGAAGCGCCATGATGTACTGGGAATTCGCTCTTGGTAACCCTCCATCTTCTCCGCAGGAATCTCCCTTGTTTGCAGCTTTGCAATATGCACAAGAGCCCGCTCTGATACCAATTGAAAGTGCATGGGGGTACCGATACAGACTGTGAATGATACAGAAAGTAGTACGAGCATAAATAGTAGTAAAGACACATAGAGTTTGTTAACGGGGTTCGTTTCCTACATCCCCGGGACCTCGTCCAGAATCCACTAGAACAAGATTGCAATTACAATTGCTATGGTATCCAGCACTACAATGCCTACCATTCTCTCCTAGATGGATACATTCAAACAATGCCCTTAACCCTTTGTTTGGTCTTCCTACTAGAACCCCAAAACCTTATGCTAAGGCATCTTCGAATGTAATGGGTTGAGCACATCCAATGCTCTCCACGTCCTATTTATCCACAATAGGTACGCTTTGAAACCCTTCAAGATTTCTCCCTTGGTGATCACTCCAAATCTCCAAGAGAATATTTCTTTCCTTATTTTTCTCTAGGAAAAGGAAATATTCCTAGTTGCTTGATAGCTTCGAATCTCTTCGTCCAACTTAGCTCTTGACTCTTCTAGAATCTTCTAGACTCGCCTCCTCAGCTACAAGCATATGTCCAGCCCATCAGATCGATTCCTTAAGCCCATCTGCTGAACACGACTCTCTGTACTACTTCTTGACTGATACATGAAGTCCTTCATTCAACTGTATCTTCACCTGTTATGACATGTACTTCTAAAATCGGTCAGCACTGCATCAACACTCTTCTTTTGATTAGTGGATTGCCGGATTGAATCGGCTCCAGACGCAGGCTTAGTCACATCGACTAGGTTGAACTGGGTGAACAAACTCTTTGTGTTCTTTATCTCTTTTGCTTGCTCTGTTTTCTGTGCTTGCTCTGTTTTCTGGTTCTTGTGTGAGAGAGAGAGGTGTTTCGTGAGCTTGTGTGTGATTGAGATTTGCAGGTTTACAAGGGCAAATCGTAACAGATTGGTATCAGAGCTCATGGTTGGGAAGGATCCACCAAACTCACGGATTGATGTCGACAAGTTCGACGGGAACGGAGACTTCTCTCTTTGGAAGATCAGAATCTTGTCACACCTTCGGGTTATTGGATTGAAAGATATCTTGACTGATGACAAGCTGGAAAAGACGGTGGTAACATCTGGTGGAGCTGGTGATGCGGCGTGGACGACATCGGAGGTAGTTTCTGATCCTGACAAGATAGATAAATCAGAAAGAGCTATGGGGGTTATCATAGCTAACGTTGGAGACCATGTATTGAGGAAGATTAAGAACACTCAATTTGCAGCTGAGATGTGGTCTTTGTTAGATCGTCTGTATACTGAAACTTCGTTGCCAAATAGAATTCATATGCAATTGAAATTCTATACTTACAGGATGGTAGAGTCTAAGAATATTGATGAGAATGTCGATGACTTCTTGAAGATAGTTGCTGAACTTAGTAGTCTCAACGTTGAGGTCTCGGACGAAGTTCAAGCTATCTTGTTGCTTACTTCTTTGACTCCTAGCTTTGATCAGTTGAAGCATACTCTGAAGTATGGAAGAGAGTCTTTATCCCTAGAAGAAGTAGTTTCTGCAGCAAGGTCTAGGGAAAGAGAATTATCAGAAGATCACAGGTCTGATAAGAATCAAGCAGCAAGTTTGTATACTGGTGAAAGAGGAAGGCAACCTTACAAAGGTGCTAAGGGAAAGAATGATCGCAGCAGAAGCAGGTCTAGTTCAAATACAAGGCTTACTTGTTGGTTTTGCAAGAAGGAGGGACATATCAAGAAAGACTGTTATGCAAGAAAGAAGAAGTATGGAATTAAACCTCAAGGGGAAGCATGAGTGATTACAGAGAAGCTGGTGTATACTGAAGCTTTGAGTGTAAACGGTCAAGAGTCAAAGGAACAATGGATTATTGACTCAGGTTGCACGTATCACATGACGTCCCGAAGAGATTGGTTCTCGGATTTCAATGAGAACACAAGTACGACAATTCTTCTTGGTGATGATCACACTGTCGAAGCAAAAGGGTCTGGATCTATAAAGATGAAGACAAATGGAGGATCCATCAAAGTTTTGAGGAATGTGAGGTATGTTCCAAATCTGAGAAGAAACTTGATCTCTACTGGAGTTTGGAGTTCTGTAACTCAAGGTTCAATGATTACTGCAAGAAGTTTGGCATTGAGCGTCACAGAACGTGTACGTATACGCCGCAACAGAACGGCGTTGCAGAGCGCATGAACAGGACCATAATGGAGAAGGTGAGATGTCTGTTAGATGAATCGGGTCTTGGTGAACCGTTTTGGGCTGAAGCAGCTGCAACAGCAGCTTATTTGGTGAATCGATCTCCTTGTTCTGCCATTGATCACAATGTTCCAGAACAGTTATGGCTGACCAGAAAACCAGGCTACAATCATTTGAGAAGGTTTGGATCAGTTGCTTATGTGCATCAGGATCAGGGAAAGCTGAAGCCAAGGGCTTTAAAAGGTGTGTTTCTGGGTTATCCTCCAGGAACCAAAGGTTACAAAATCTGGTTGTTGAATGAAGAAAAATGTGTGATCAGCAGGAACGTGGTGTTTCATGAGAATGTGGTCTTCAAAGATTTGAAGTCTGAAGAGAATCAAGCTTCAGCTTCTAAGGCTCTGCCGGCACCAACGGTCTCTACAGAGACGTTTATCAGGATAGAGGATGAGGACGATGTTGGTGCTCAAAATGAGCATGTTACAGAAAGTGTTGATGCAGGTGGAGAAACTCAAGAAAACGCAAGCAGCTCTGAATCCGATGAAGCAGAGACAGAAGACGTTTCTGCTGATGCTGTTGATCTGACAAACTATCAACTAGCAAGAGATCGAGGTAGAAGACAACCTAAGCCACCAGCTAAGTTTTCGGATTACTCTGAAGTTGCATTTGCTCTCCTCACAGCTGAATTTGTAACTTCAGAAGAACCAAGCTGTTATCATGAAGCAAGAAGAAGCAAAGATTGGGTGAAATGGAACGGTGGTATGACAGAAGAAATGGAGTCGCTATGGAAGAATGGAACATGGATCATTGTTGATAGACCTAAAGACAAAAAGGTCATTGGTAGCAGATGGTTATACAGGTTAAAATCTGGTATTCCTGGTGTAGAATCAGAAAGGCATAAAGCAAGAGTTGTTGCTAGAGGTTTTACGCAGAAAGAGGGAATTGATTATCAAGAAGTGTTTGCACCAGTAGTTAAACATCTCTCCATACGAATTCTGATGTCATTGGTGGTTAAAGAAGACTTAGAGCTGGAACAGATGGATGTGAAAACAGCATTTCTGCATGGTGAGCTTGAAGAAGAACTTTACATGGAACAGCCAGAAGGTTTTGTGGTTGATCCAAAGAAAGATCAAGTGTGTTTGCTGAAGAAGTCTCTCTATGGGTTAAAGCAAGCTCCACGGCAATGGAATAAGAAGTTCAATGCATTTATGATGAGCCAAAATTCACTCGCAGTGGACATGACCCATGTGTCTACGTGAAGGAGGTAGGCGATCATTACAAGAAATCACGCTTTTAACGTCACTTAAATAACGTCACTTGTTAAACCGACGTAAAATTATTAAAAAGGAAGGGATTTGGAGTCATTTACTAAACCGACGTACCAAACCGATGCTAAATAAAACAAAAAATTAAATTTATTAAATTGTATTAATCAATTAGAACAGTTTACTATTCTCCCGTCTTCTTCCTCGCCTAAACTCTAACATCCAAATTCAAAAATCAAAACCCAGTTTCATCCAAATCATGAGGGTTTTCGTTTTTCTGAATCCCTAATTTGATTTCGTTAATTCCGCAGTCGTCGCCAGTGTCAATAATCACAAGGTTGCTCGAGTTTATAGAAATCCGATTTCGATCCTTTCTCCAGAAGCTCAGGCGAACAATCCGATTTCGGGTCAAGCTCAGGTTCGTAAGTTTGAATTTCCTAAAAATTGAGCTGTGTTTATGATGAAATAGCTTGAATCTAACAATACTTATGAATTTCGTTCAAGGATTTGTGAAGAAATTTAAGAGGATTTTCAGAGCTCGCGAATCTCAAATTTCTCTGCAAATTTAAGGTAAACTTTCGATCCTTTTAAATTTGCAAAGGTCAAAATCAAGTTGTTTGAAGCTATATTAGTTTTGCATCCGATCTATTAGTTTTGAGCATATGAATTTCTCATGATCTTAGAATATGAATTTTTCATGATCTTAGAATAAGAATTTCTCTTCATGGTTCCATGGGAGAAAGCCACTAGTGAAATAGTGGCAACAAATTTGGTTTTGTTGAGTCTGATTGTGAAATTTCATGATCCATTTTCTCATAAAGCATTGTCTTACGAGAAATCTAGTTTAGCTTCTTTCATGATATTATTGATATTGGCTTAGCTTCTTTCATGATCTGGGAATTGAACTTCTGAAAGCTTTAATTGACTGTGAATGAATCTCTTGAATATTTGAACTTGTTTTGTGAACTTTGGTCTTCTCAAGTCTCATATTTGATTTTGTCTACTGATTTTTATGAATGGTATTGTGTTCGTTTAGTAGCTAAACATACTTATTCTTGGATGAACTTTTATGTAGAACAATGGACAAGTCTTGGATAGTAAAACATCATTTGTCTCAAGACTATATAAATGGAGTAAAAGGGTTTTTGGATTTTGCCTTTGCAAATATCAATTCAGAAATGATAAAATGCCCGTGTAAGCGTTGTTGTCTTGTTAAATACAAGGTTAGAGCTGAAGTGAGGGTGATTTGATTTGTCATGGTTTTCTACACACCTATACAAACTGGTATTTGCATGGTGAAGAATTAGACTTAGAGGAGCAGACAGTTAGTTTAGATAATGCGTCTAACCTAGATTTCGTTGAAGACCCAACTATGACTCTGCTTGAAGATGCTTTTCCGAATATGGATAACAGTTTTAGTGAGTCTGCTAGTCCTAGAGAGGAGGATCATTCGAAGCAGAAGGAGGCACTTGATGATTTGTTATCAGATTGTAATCAAGCTCTCTATGAAGGATGTCAGTCTTTTAGCAAGTTGTCTTTCATGCTTAAGTTGTATCACATCAAGTGCATGTCTAGAATCAGTGACAAAGGAATGTCAATGATAATTGAGCTCTTGAAAGAAGCATTTGAGCACGCAAAGCTACCAGATTCTTTCAACGATATGAAGAAGATTATTCGAAAGTTAGGATTCACATATGAGACCATTCATGTGTGTCCTAATGATTGCATGTTGTATTGGGGAGAAGATGCATCTAGACACACTTGTAAAGTCTGTGAAAGTTCAAGATGGAAGACACCTAAGCCAGTTGCTGAGAAGAAGAAGAAAAAGAAGCAAGAGGCGGCCAAAGTACTTAGATACTTTCCACTGAAACCGCGCCTGCAACGTTTCTTTATGTCATCCAAAACTGCAGAGTATATGAGGTGGCATGATAGTTCTAAGAATACAGATGGTAGGCTTAGGCATCCTAGAGATGGAATGGCTTGGAAATCATTTAACCAACAGTTTCCAGAGTTTGCATCAGACCCGAGGAATGTCAGATTAGGATTGGCAACTGATGGTTTTAATCCTTTTGGTTCTATGAGCACAAACTATAGTGTATGGCCTGTGCTATTGTTCCCTTACAACTTTCCTCCTTGGATGTCAATGAAACAAACCTCGATGATACTTTCAATGATAATCCCTGGAAGGAACATGCCGGGAAATGATATTGATGTCTATCTTCAGCCTCTTATCAAGGAACTAAAAGAGCTATGGTATGATGGAGTTTCTACATTCGATGCATCTTTGAAAGAAACATTTTGTATGCGTGCGGTTCTGTTATGGACTATAAGTGATTTTCCAGGGCTAGGGAATTTATCTGGGTGGAATGTATACAAAGGATTAGCATCTCCTTCTTGTAACTACGATGCTACAGAGCTCCGTCTACACTATGGCAAGAAAAACTGTTTTATGGGACATAGGCGTTTCCTTCCTGAAGATCATAGTTTTAGAAAAGATAAGCAACGCTTTGATGGTTTTATTGAGACAAGGGTTTCTCCTACTACACCATCAGGAAGTGTTATTCTCCAACAGATTGGAAATGTTGATGTTACATTGGGGAAGAGAGTAGATGCTGTTGGTAAGAAGAGACGCCGTTTGGAAATTGGGGATAATCAGTGGAGAAAGAGGAGTATATTTTTTGAATTGCCTTATTGGAAATATCTTCTCTTGAGACACAATCTAGATTTGATGCACATTGAGAAGAATGGAAGATAAGCTTGAGATCTTGGCTAATGCTCTTTGTAAGCTTGTTGGAGAAAAATATCCCAACCTGGTAATTTCTTTGAGATCTTGGAGTCATTTGAATCATTTTCAAGTTCATAATTTCTTATTGATAACACAAAATTATCTTTTACAGGTGACTGCAAAAGAAGAAAGTTCAGGGAAATGAGCAGGTTAGGATTCAAATTTATGTTAAGAATTCTAATGGTTATGGTGTGTTGTTTTAGTTAAGAGCTAAGTTATCGAGAACCATACTTTCTGTTTGAGTAGTCTCATATGTGAATGGTCTTGATTAGGATACAAATTCTGTTTTAATGGTGGCTAGCTAAGTTATAGAGAACCATACTTTCTGTTTGAGTAGTCTCATATGTGAATGGTCTTGATTAGGATACAAATTCTGTTTTAATGGTGGCTAGCTAAGTTATAGAGAACCATACTTTCTGTTTGAGTAGTCTCATATGTGAATGGACTCTGGTTTTAGAAGAAACAGACTGTTTTAGAAGAAACAGAGATTCTGGTTTCGTTGAAATGTATTAAAGGTCTTGCTTTCATTTTACTTTTGGTTACTGAAATGATTAGAAATCATGATTACTGATGTTACTTTTGTTTTTGCAGGTGAGATATGTTCAGGTGATATATAGGATTCGTTCGGAAAGTTGGAAACAAAACATTGTATTTTCTATTTGATATTACATTCATACGCTCCTGTCAATCTTTCATTTATACATGAATAAAACATTGTATTTTCTACTTGATATTATATAAAAGATTTGATTTTACTATGAGTTTATTGTCATCTAATGTCATCTAATGATTTTACTATTGAGTTTATTGATTTTACTATGAGTTGTATTAGTGACGTTAGTCTTTTAACAATTACGTTCGTTTTAAAAATGATATAGACATAAGTGTTGGAGTCGTTTGTGAATTGACCCTAAACACACAAAATAATGACGCTAAATATATGACGTAATGCCTAGCGTCGGTTTTTTAACTGAAGCAGCAATTGACGTATGGTTAACGTCGGTGTTTTAAGTGAAGCAACAATGGTCTGCGTCATTGAATGACACGTCGGTTTATAAACTGACTTCAAGTTTTTAGCGTCATTCTTTTACCGACGTGAACCCCATATATAACCGACGTTAAACTCCGTCTTTCTTGTAGTGGATGAAAGAGTTCATCTATTTGCTGTTGTATGTAGATGATATGCTCTTGGCTGCAAAGAGTATAACAGAAGTGAACAAGCTAAAGGCAGAGTTAAGTAGAGAATTTGAGATGAAAGACTTGGGAGCAGCTAGTAGAATCTTGGGCATTGACATTACAAGGAACAGAAAAGAAGGTACATTGTGCTTATCTCAGTCTGGTTACTTGAAGAAAGTGATTCAAAGGTTTAATATGGGTGAAGCTAAGGTTGTAAGCACGCCCATTGGTGCACACTTCAAGCTGTATTCAGTTCAAGATGATAGTGAGTGTGTTGATACAGAGTTGGTACCATACAATAGCGCAGTTGGCAGCATTATGTATGCAATGATTGGGACACGTCCAGACATTGCTTATGCTATTGGTCTTGTTAGCAGGTTTATGAGCAAGCCAGGAGACATACATTGGGAGGCTGTGAAATGGTTATTGAGGTATCTTAAAGGCTCGGTTGGGATGAATTTGGTGTATACAAAGGGAAAAGAATTCAGTGTGCAAGGTTTTAGTGACTCAGAATATGCAGGAGATCTTGACAGAAGAAGGTCTATCAGTGGTTATGTGTTCACGGTTGGTGGAAATACAGTGAGCTGGAAATCAAGCTTGCAGAAGGCAACTACTTTGTCAACTACAGAGGCTGAATTCGTTGCTCTAACAGAGGCTGTCAAGGAAGCCATGTGGATTCGTGGCTTGTTGGATGACATGGGGTTGAAACCAGCTAAAGCTTTGATATGGTGTGATTCTGAGTCTGCTATTTGTTTGTCAAAGAATAACACATTTCATGAGAGGACAAAGCATGTTGCTACCAAGTTTAACTTCATCAGAGATGTTATTGAAGAAGGTGAAGTTGCAGTGAGTAAGATTCATACATCAAAGAATCCTGCGGATATGCTTACAAAAAGCATTCCAGTTCGTAAGTTTGAGGAAGCCTTAGATTTTCTAAGGTTACTCAAGTGAAGATGAAGTATCTTCGTGCCGAGGTTAAATCCAAGTAGTGCAATTCACTAAGAGAAGGAAAACTTGAATCAAGGTGGAGTGTTGTGGTTATGTGATTCAGTTTTCAGGTTTGGTGTAAACCGGAGGAATTGAATTAGAGTAAAACCGGTTTGGGATTGTTGATTTAGCTTTGATATGGTGTGATTCTGAGTCTGCTATTTGTTTGTCAAAGAATAACACATTTCATGAGAGGACAAAGCATGTTGCTACCAAGTTTAACTTCATCAGAGATGTTATTGAAGAAGGTGAAGTTGCAGTGAGTAAGATTCATACATCAAAGAATCCTGCGGATATGCTTACAAAAAGCATTCCAGTTCGTAAGTTTGAGGAAGCCTTAGATTTTCTAAGGTTACTCAAGTGAAGATGAAGTATCTTCGTGCCGAGGTTAAATCCAAGTAGTGCAATTCACTAAGAGAAGGAAAACTTGAATCAAGGTGGAGTGTTGTGGTTATGTGATTCAGTTTTCAGGTTTGGTGTAAACCGGAGGAATTGAATTAGAGTAAAACCGGTTTGGGATTGTTGATTTGAACCGGAGATTGAAGAAGAAGACCTAGACGGTTTCTCTCTAGTCGCGAATAGAGACGCCGCCGTAAATGCAAAAGTGTTTAAATACTTAAAGTTCTTGTCTTCTTCTTCCTTAAGCTGTTGTAACAATCAATTGGAGTTCCTTAACCTCCATTGATTCTCTTGCTCTGTTATTGAGCTGTACTCTTCTTTTGATTAGTGGATTGCCGGATTGAATCGGCTCCAGACGTAGGCTTAGTCACATCGACTAGGTTGAACTGGGTGAACAAACTCTTTGTGTTCTTTATCTCTTTTGTTTGCTCTGTTTTCTGTGTTTGCTCTGTTTTCTGGTTCTTGTGTGAGAGAGAGAGGTGTTTCGTGAGCTTGTGTGTGATTGAGATTTGCAGGTTTACAAGGGCAAATCGTAACACTTCCCCCAAAAACCTACATTCCAAAGACAATGAGTATAATTTGACTTGTGAAACACACAAATTTTTGAGTGCAGCAAATTCATAACTTACCAGCGTCCTGTTGGACCCACGACGAAACGACTTAAGCAGACGACTCTAGCTCCATCACGCTCCTGGGACAAATACAACACATCTAGAAAAACGGGAGAAAAAGGAACCCACTCAAAAGATATACTAAGAAACTTGATCGTACATCGCTAGGGGTGAGGGGAAATGGTTTGTCTCCAATTGTGAAGGAAATAGTGGGCAGTTTTTGAACACTGTCGCACTCAACTGGTTTACAAGTACAAGTTGTGTGTGTATGTTTTTACGGGATAAAACATTAGTGTTTACACATACAAGTTGTGTGCGTATGTTTTTACGTAATAAAACATCATTAGTTCTTTTTTTACACCGGCATAAAAAAAGAACTATATAAGTGTAAAGAGAAGTCTACATCCAGAGCCCAATGTGATTTAAACATGTGTTTAGGGTTTTTCTCTCTGGTATAAATATGAGTTTATGTTTATTGCAATGTAACTTTTGTTGTTGATAGAACAGGTACCCTTAACACTTTTATGATATTTATCTTAAACCATTTGTGTTCTTAAAGCTTTCCTCTTTCTTCTCTGTTACATTTGAATAAAGTTCTATGTGCTAATTCTAGTTTATCTTCTTATTTCATCTATCTTAATAAGCTTTAAGAGCATCAATCTATCATCACTTTGCATTTCCTTACAAGAAGGAGAACAAGACGTACATCTCATCTAATATGAAAATTAATCTTTAAACGATGTAGCCAATAAAATGTCATATTTCTTACAAGTGAACTCGTTGTTGAACTCCTTTAACATTATTGGATAGAAACAAGTAATAACAATAAATTTAGCAATGCAATAACGAAGTTGGACTAGAAAGAAAACTAGTAAGAAAAACTATGATTGCTAAAAACTAAATAGTAAAATTAGTTTAAAATTTTAAAAAAACAAACAAATTTTATTTCAACTAATCTATTTCAACCTGCCTACTTCATCTGCCAGTTTCATCTGACCGTCTGATTTGGTAACCGAAAAAACCGGCTCAAACCTAACCACCACCACCACCCAAAGCTCTAAGCAGTTTTCTTTATCCTCTTGCAACTGTTGTTCTTAAGAAGCCGTTTAAGCAAGAATGTCTCTCCCTGACCGTCATTCAATGACCGCAGTTCCATACGGCAAGCCATTAGCTGCCGGAGAAGCGTATCAAGATGAGAATGCAACCGATCTTTCCCGTATTCATTCGTGGACAGAATCGCCGCATTCACCGCGTCCGCCACTACTTCCCTCTGCGACTCTTCTAGGAAATGGCTGATTCATCAGGACATCAGGACGTTCGTATACAAGCAGAGCAAAGCAGTCCTGTAAAATAGATACCAAATAAATCAAATGTTGGCCATTTGGTAATAAATTAAGGTTGCAGTTACCTCTACAATGTCTTTGAATACAGTTAAACCAACGAATTTGGCTAATTCCGCTCTCCCATAGTTCACAGCTTCTTCTAATGCTCCAATCTAAGTATATGTCACATTGTTACCAAAAGCATTTACTTAGAGAAAGACAGCCTAACCGCCATGGATTTGATGTGTTGAAAAAGAGCATTACCCGGACTAACTCAATGAACTTTTGACAGTGAAGGAGGAAGCAAACTTCTGATTTATCGTTCTGTAGATAACACAGCTCGGTAAGAGTTTTCATATCTCAACATGAAGAAGCAGAGCTTAATATAACAATCCACACCTTTACAAGTTGTGGATAACAATCCCGGAGTTTAGCAAGAGCAGCATCAATCTCACCCTTCCCTATAAGCTTTACCAACCAAAAATACGAATCAGTTAAACAAATAACAAAGGAGTTGTTCTCATGTTAGTAGTAATGAAATTTTCAAGATACCTGTCTAAGAATCTTCCTCTCATGTAATGCATATGATGTATCTTTAACATCAATACCATCTTCTTGAGCAAGGGAGATAGGAGGAACTGTACTGTTAGTAGCCAGGTCGAAAGCATGAAGAGTCTCTTCATACCCGTAATGAAGCAAGAAGTTCTTTACAAGCCTGATGACACACACAAAACAAAAACTAAGCTTTTAGCTATGCAGAAAGTTTATCACTAATCCAATAACAGATGAACCTCAGTGGCTACAGAAAATAAGAGTGAACTCACCTATGATTTATGTTTGGAGGTATGGATAACTTTTCAATTGCTATTTGTTTCTTATTCCTCTCCGATGCTTCATATCCCTAAAGAAACAGAAACAGCTAAGTCATACATAATCGCTACCGAAACCTCATCCTCCAACAAACACATAGCTAAGACAGAGAATGTAGCTAAGTCATACATAATAGCTCTGAAACTTTACCCTCGAACAAACACATAACTAACACAGAGAGGAAAGAGTCTAAGAGGTGAGTTTTGATCACAATGGAACAGCAAAACATGCTCGTAACATACAATTACGAATGCAATTTGTATCAGGAAAACCTCTGCCATATGGAAAAGATGCTATCTAACAACTTTCATATGCACACAAAAACTGAGGAACTTACCTTAAAATCAAAAGCAAACTTCTCCTGCCCAAAGTTGACAGTAACCCTGACAGAGAAAACAACTGTGGAACTCAAAATACAAGCAGCTAAGATATCATAATCCACCGCAGAAATCGTTATTAACAAGCAAAGAGAAATGTCACAAGATCGTACTCTTCGTTTTGGCTATGTACAGCTACAGTAGGGAATAAAGGACCCTTGATGTACTTGGAGACTGTCCCTACGAGAGTTCCATTTACTCTGTAACATCAAAGACGTAAGTAAACAGAGGATATATCAGAAGTGTGACACGAATCTTAATCGCCATTTGGATCACTTACGTGAAGAAAAACTCCTGTGAATCGTAATTTATACCACCACCAACTATATCACCAGTTGTATAAGTTGGACCAAAGGCTTCACCTTGTCGTTTCCCAAGATATATAAGTCCATCTTCACCATGATAGCCACAAGTATTGAGTTCCCATCTAACCATTACACACAACAAATATAAGAAAAAAAGACTGAAATTTTTGAATGCTTCACAACAATGATTAAGATCAGAGCTTCTTGCACAATTTCCCTTTTCTCACAAAAACTAAGTCTATATTTCAGATTTTTCCTGAATCTAATCAAACCTAACACTCACAATTCTCAACATCAGACTATAATTGAACAGCGAAACGCGAATCTAAAACACAAAATTAGAAACGAAGAATCAACAATACCCAGGATGCCTCCCAATTCTGAAGCTATTGGTAGTGAAGCCAATCGAGATTTGTCCTTTGGCTCCAGCGTTTTTGACATAAATCTCGAAGTAGTAACCGTAACGCTTGAACGGAGCCGGTTTATTGGCCTGAACCGCGCCGACGTCGTGGCTGTGTTGGCCGGCGCCGGTATACTTGACGGAAAGTTTATCGGGAGAGACGATTACAAAAGCGCCAGAGCTGTTGATCGTGTTTAGCTCCGTCGGCGATTCTTCATCCTCCTCCATCGCCTCTCGCTTAGCAGAGTGATGGAATTTGTCGATGAAGTAGGAGTTCATTGCAGCGTGCAAGAAGAAAATGAAATCCCTAGAAATCTGATAATAGAAACTGAATCGTTGAAATGAACAAAATTTAATTTTTGTTTTCTTTCGTTTGATTCAAATGATTTCTACAAATGATGTTCATTTCATCTTACACAATAATAGACGAACGGCTTCTGGAAACTAACCAGAAACAAAATAAGTAAACCGGTAAAGTACAAATAAACCATGATTATTTACATTAAACCGAAAAATACACCATCCACAAATGAGTTTTGTAAAGTTTTTAAATGATTCTTTTTTCTTAAAATCTCCAAGAAATGATGAGTAAAGTTCAAATAGTTTGGGTGCTACACATAACATAACAATCAAAAAAATGTTGGATCCAAAGAAATACTCAAAACAGAGTAAAGTATACATCACAATACATGTTCTTGAAAGTTCCCACAAGTCCATTTTGTGAATTTGACCATGAAATCTACATTTTCTAGACCACAAGCAAAAGCAATGTGCAACAACTCCACAAACAAATTATGTAGCTACATATATATAACAGAACCACTACTATTCAATTCAGATAACGTTTTTTGGTTTTAGATAATGTTATAACCTATAATTGTATAATCTTCAAATATACAGTATTTGTATAATCTTCACCTATACAATATCCATGAATTTATTCTTCCTTTTGCATATAGCTCCTTACCTAGTAAGAGGGATCTTTAAAGACAGTCACATAAACTATACAACCAAGGGCAAACAGTAGAACAAAAACATCGAACGTGAGAGCAGTCATTGCTTGAGCACTAAGCTCCATGTTCCTACCACCTAACCGATCAACCATATCCGGTATAGACTCGTAGTTCCGAAACTCTTGCTCTTTCGGATCCTCAAGCTTCATTCTCATCTTCTCAGCTTGACGACTCGCAACCTCTTGAGCCAGTGTCCAGTCATAGAATCTCCTGCTCTCTCCATCGCTCAAAACATCGTAGACTTCCCTCAGTTTCATGAACTTATCTGAAGCAGTTTTAAGCGGTAATGAAGTTGTGTCTGGATGATACTCTTTAGATAGTCTTCGGTACGCAGATTTTATCTCTTCTAGATCAGCATCCGTTGAAACACCTAAGAATCTATAATGACACAATTACAAATCATAATCCATTTTGAAAAAGAATAAAAAATATCTTGAGGTCTTTCTTACTGGTAATGAGAATCAAAAGAGTCTTTGATTAGTTCTGCAAAGTTGTCGTCACTTAAGAGATTGTCCCGGTCGGGTTTGACCGGGTCGGATCCTCCACCTATCCAGCCTTCGTCCGGGTTTTCCCAGTGGATTCTTGTGTCGAATCCTGGCGATGGTTTTGGCGGTTTTGTTGGGCCTTGTGACGAGTGAATATGCATCACTCTTCTTGCCTTCTTCGTACTATATGCTCTAATCTTGTCCCTGAAGTGCGTGCTGTTTTGGATTTTGGGAAGGAAAATACAGGACGTTTGAGCATATGTGGAAGCTGAAGAAGCCATGGCTTACTGTTTGAAGATGGTTTGTTGGTTCTTCTCTTTTTTCCTTCATGTTTTTTGTCGTAGAAGCTTGTCCCACGGCCTCAGGATATGTGTGGTCTGGATTTTTTATATCTTTATTGTCCTATCTAATATATGTCATATATACTTACAATTTTTTTTTTTAATATCTAAATTGCTCTTCCTATCTAAGGGCATGCACAACGCTAGGTCTTATGCTTAATTAAGCAGTGTGAAGGATCAATGCTGATAACGTGTCAAGCCATTCACTCTTCTATCTCCCTTTCTCTTTTTTTTTTTTTTTTTTTTAATTACCCCAAATAAAATAACTCAACTTTAATAATAAGACATGTTAAGCATCTCTATTAAGTATTTTGCATTGCACATGCCCTCACAATCTAGAAATGGATTTTAAATTTCTCTGTTTGATAGTTTAACTATTTTTCAAATCACTTTGTAATTAGCATTTTGGAACTTAAAGGTTCAAATAGTAGTTCTAACTTCTAAGTTTTAGGTCACAGTAAATCATAATCCATGATTTCATTTTGAACCTTAGTACCAAATTTCTAAAATATGCTATATATACTCTGTAGCGGATTTGTAGAGAATAATTCTATGAAGATAAAAATCTATGATACATAAGCGAATTTGAATATTTATGAATATTTAAAAGCGAATTTGTGTGTTTATTGGATTCAAACACATTTTTCTTTTCTTTTTTTCTTTCGTAACTTGAGATATGTTAGATCCAACAACACTTTTTTATTAAAATTTTAAGCTTTCAATTAATTTGTAGTGGCTTTTGAGTGAAACTTCTACGAAATTTCAAATCTTAATTTCATCATTTCCTCTCCAAAGTAAAGATCTGACTCTCTATCCTCTATTTTCTCGTACAACAAAATTTGAGACATTTCTGAGAAGATTTTGCAGAACTAATCAAAGTCAAAATCAATTTTGCAGAACTAATCAAAGACTTTTTGATTCTCACTACTACCAGTAAGAAATATTTCAAGATTCTCATTCATTGTATTTTTTTTTCCCTTATTTTTAATTCATTCATTGTATTTTTTTTTCCCTTATTTTTAAAAATGGATTATGATTTGTAATTGTGTCTTTATCAGATTCTTAAGTGTTTCAACGGATGCTATCTAGAAGAGATAAAATAGATTATTGCTGTATTATCCAGTAGAGGCTGAATCTTCAAAGCGAAGATCTTTGAGTGCTGTTTGATTTGACAGGTTTTGATAGTAAATTTATGTATTGTCTTTCTGCAACATACAAGTATATCATAATTGTTCTCTTTACCATATCACAATCAAATTCAAAAACGTTGAAAGATCACAACTTTATCAAGATCACAACCAGTGGGAGAGATAAACCCGAAAATGGGAAGAAACCAATACAAACCCTCCATATCCGTACACACACAAAAGAATCAGAAAATGCTACAAAAACAAACAACGAAACACACTTCTTCATCACAATGAAACCTTTTACCTCTTCTCCATGTTCTTCAGCAAGATTTCAAATAATTGCTGACGAACGATGACGAACGATTCTTCCCTGTGAAAACTTGTTTCCAGCTCAATGAAACAACCTGAAAACAATACAAATATGCAATTACGTTTAGCAAACTCACTATTCCACATGATACGGTTTTTAAATTTTTGGAGTATTAGTAATGAGTCATCTAAACCGTTGGATTAACTTAAGATTAACTCACTATTTCGGAATAGATATTTCCAAGAGAGACGTTAGATTCAAAATGAGTCATCTAAACCGTTGGATTAAAAAGGAGTTATCGTAACCGTTAGATTAAGTTTCACTTTTCTTTTCTTCTTCCCTAACTTAAGAGAGACGTTAGATTCAAAATGAGTCATCTAAACTGTTGGATTAAAAAGGAGTTATCTTAACCGTTAGATTAAGTTTCCCTTTTCTTTTCTTCTTCCCTTTAAAACTCTGCTGGACTTCATTATCGCGAAAAAATTAAAACGCTAATTATTTCTCTTTCCAGTGCCGCCGACGCTTTCTTCGTTGGGGGAGATCACAAGATAAAGTGATTAACAGTTCACCGATCTCTCCACGAGAATTGGAATCAGAACTATTCTCTAGGGTTTCCGGCCATACTGATCGAACCAACGACAAGAGCTTTCATCCGTCCATCGAGTTTAAAGGTAATTAAACGACTCGGAACAAGCGTGATATTTGATATCTCTTTCGTTTTCCGATTTAGTTCCGCATGAAACCTATTTTAACAATTGGAAAATTTCGTTTCATTCTTAGATTGGTGGTTTTCTATTTCTCTTAGATCACGAATTCAACTTTTTGTTTTAGGGTTCGATCTTTGTTTAGGGTTTTCGTTTTTGATCGGTTCGATTCCGATTCTTTATAGGATTCGATCGTTTCTCTAGCATCGCAACCCTTTTTCATGGAGATTCATCCTTATATCCATCACTGACTTGTTTTTTTCTTAGAATATAGCGAAAGACACCATTATAACTTTGTCATATGCAGTAAAATCGAACCTTTGCATCATTGATGATAATATTAGCAAGATTTGTATACCAATGCATAAGGTTGTTAGTTGCATTGCGTTTCTCTAGATTTTAGCGGATGAGGGTTTCCTAAGTGTTTTCTAATGATGGAATTGGGAAATTTTCCTTGTCAGGTGCGAGATTGCAAGGCATTGGAAATGGAAACCGAAGAGTGTGAGCACAAGTTGGAGAATTAGCGGCTCCTTTGCTGCTTCTGTGTGGGTGATGCTAATTTCTGACCTCAAGTCACAGGACAAGTATTTACGGTCATTGACAAGGTAATTAAGGCTGGTCATCCTCTAGCCCCCCCAACAAATCATAGGCAGACACTAATCTAATAGTGTTTTTGTCAGATTCTTGTTGGGGAACATTGTCCCGTTTGCTCAGTCGTATTGGTTGGTAGTGCATGCATAATCAAAGGAAGTTAGAGAATGGATCACATGCAGACACTTCCTCTGATGTTTCTGTTTTCCCTTTAGCCCCAACAGATCATATGCATACACTAATCTAATAGTGATGTGTAGATTGTTGTTGGGGACATTGTCCCGTTGGTTGGTAGTGCATGTCAAAGCAAAGGAAAGTCATGGTTGGTAGTGCATGTCAAAGCAAAGGAAAGCCAGGGGAAGGAAACTAAAACACACGGCTTGGAAGTCTTTTAGAGAAAGACTATGGGTTTGTTGCGTTGGATGGATAAAACGATGGCATTAAAGTCTTTAGACTTGTTGGAAGGGATTCATGAACGAGGGCTTAAAGTCTAAGGACTATAAAATGGTGGATTACATGGCAGATGGCGTAAAGTCTAAGGACTATAAAATGGTGGATTACATGGCCGATGGCTGAAAGTCTAAGGACTATAAAATGGTGGATTACATGGCCGATGGCTGAAAGTCTAAGGACTATAAAATGGTGGATTACATGGCCGATGGCTTAAAGTCTAAGGACTATAAAATGGTGGATAACATGGCCGATGGCTTAAAGTCTAAGGACTATAAAATGGTGAAACCGTTACATACCCACGGCTTGAGAAAAGTAGTGAATGTGTTACTCTACCCACGGCTTATAAAAGTCTTTAGACAAAAGACTGAACGGATTCACTACTTTACTACTACCCACGGCTTATCAAAAGTCTTTAAGACTATAAATAGGCAGATTCTTGTCTGGGGACAATGACCCGTTTGATTGGTTGGTAGTGCATGCGCAAAAGATGTTAAGGAATGGAAATTGGAAAATGAAACTATGGGTTGGTTGGTAGTGCATGCTTAAATGTCTTTAGCAAAAGACTATGAGTTGGCTTATAAAATAAGCAAAGACTAATGAATCAGAAACCCACGGCTTGGGAAAAGTAGTGAATCCGTTACTTTACCCACGGCTTATAGAAGTCTTTTAGACAAAGACTGAACAGATTCACTACTTTACTACACCCACGGCTTATAAAAGTCTTAAGACTATAAAAAGTGAGAATGTCCGGTTTGATTGGTTGGTAGTGCATGCGCAAAGGATGTTAAAGAATGGAAAATAAACTATGGGTTGGTTGGTAGTGCATGCCTAATCAAAGGAAGTTAAAGAATGGATCATATGCAGACACTTCCTTTGATATTTCTGTTTTCCCTTTAGCCCCAACATATCAGATGACATACACTAATCTAATACTGTTGTGTCAGATTGTTGTTGGGGACATTGTCCCATTGGTTGGTAGTGCATGTCGAAGCAAAGGAAAGTCATGGTTGGTAGTGCATGTCGAATCAAAGGAAAGGCAGGGGATGGAAACTAAAACACACGGCTTGAAATTCTTTTAGAGAAAGAAAGTCTTCTAGAGAAAGACTATAAACGGTCTTAAAGTCTTTAAACTTGTTGGAAGGGAAACATGACCGATGGCTGAAAGTCTAAGGACTATAAAATGGTGAAACTGTCACATACCCATGGCTTAAAAGTCTTTAGACAAAAGACTTAACAAATTCACTACTTTACTATAATACTACCCACGGCTTATCAAAAGTCTAAAGACTATAAACGGTCAGATTCTTGTTGGGAGACAATGTCCCGTTTGATTGGTTGGTAGTGCATGCTTAAAGAAGTCTTAAAAACAAAGACGATGACCCATAAACACAAGGCTGAAGCTCTTAGACAACTAACGATCAAAGGCTGGGAATTTCTCAAAGACAGACATGGGATTCATATTCTCAGTTTGTTGGATGGAAGAAAGCACCAAATGCTTAAAAAAGTCTTAAGCTAGTGCCCACGGCTTTGAGTAAGCAGTGAAACCATTGCTTCACTTGTACCCACGGCTTGAAAAAAGGTTTAAGACAAAGACCAGAAACTGGAGAAAATGACCCGCGACTTAAAAGTCTCTTGAGGCAGAGACTTGTTACTTGTTCCCACGACTTAAAAGTCTTTAGAAAAAGACTGTCCCGTTTTTGATTCTCTGGATTGAAAATACAACTCACGTCTTGAAAGACTATGAGTAAAAAAAACGGATTCATGATCTGTACATTGGAAGTGATGAAACTGACAAGGTAAATACGAGATATTTAACTTGAGTTAAAGACTAACTATTGTAATTCTGATTTCTTCAGGTACATGATTCAGAAGGTGTTCAATTTGCTAGAGACTCTGAGGAGATTTCAAGTGTAGAAGAACTCTTTAGCAGGTATTTGCTTTTCGAACTTGTTAGTAGTTTAGTTGATTCAATTCTTAAAATCTTGTTCGTTCAGGTTTGTCCTTCTCAAATTTTTTTTTTTGCAATAATTATAAAAATACAAAACTGGAGACTAACTGAGTTGTTCAGGTTAGTTTTTCAGGTATATGCTACAAAGGTTCATATTCTCTTGGAAGCCAAAGAGATTTCTCATAGTAGCGAGATTATGTGATCAGGTATAAACTTTTCTGGACTTTCCTGTATTACATACGAGAATCACAAACTAATTTAAGTTGGAAATAATGATCTAAGCGCCATTTATTGTTAGAAATATTTCTTGCATAGCTTAACATCGTTACATATGAAAATCACAAGCTAAGTTGGGTGATTTGTATGTAAAGTTAGAATTAATGATCAAAGCGTCATTATAGTTAGAAATATTTCTTAAATAGCTTAAATAGCTCTCTTGATCTAGTTTTTCTCAGATTCGATAAACTTATTGCTATCCATTGGTAAAAAGCTATATTTTACTTTTGGTATTGAACATTAGGTTGTGTGTGAGCAGTCTCTATCTTGCTTTTAGAAGGATGCATTGTTAAATTTCTGTTTTGGAACTTGTATTTATCACAACATCTCAGTTTTTTGAAGTATATATATCTTGAATGCATGTAAGACACATGTATATTATGGTAGTAGTTTCTTTGAATCTACTTGGTACTTAAATGTTTTGCATTACGCTATTAACCTTTGGTGACTAAATCATTGCAATTCTAACATCTGTTGCAGATGATCTTCATCATAGACTGGTCACTAATGGACAAGAAAAGCCCGTTTATTGTTGATTAATTGTTTAGTGGAAATGATTTCCACAATTTGAATTTCCATGTTAGTTTTGTTGGTGTGTTAGATTAATAAGATCTGTCTGGTGAAGACATTTCTTTTACGCTGGTTGTCTGGTTGTTTGTTCTTCGTTAATACCGATTGTGATCTTTACTTCCCTTGATTTCTCTTATGTTGTTGTTGTTTTGATAACACTTTTCTGTGATTGATGTCAACACCAATAAAATTCCAGTAATCTGATTGTCTCTGCTTCAGGTCAGTATTTTGTGAACCTTAATTTGTTACACTTGGATGTTTTGGCAAAATATTGCTTCCTGTTTGATACTAGGGAAAGTAGCGCATTGATATTGAACATTTTAAGATTTTCTCGTTGCATTTTGATGTTAGTTTTGTTGAATAGTGAGCTTTGTTAGCTTTCTATTAGACTAGATGGTGAACACATTTCTTTCATTTTTGTTAGGTTGTGATGTTGGCTTTCGTATTAGTCTGATGGCTTTTTCTTCTTGATATTACAGACAGTTAGTGTGGTGAATTGACTGAACCTTCTTGAAAATATATTTATTTATTCTTGTATGATAATCCAATTAGAATTCATCAATGTCACAGAATGTCTGTGATTGGTATCCATATTCACCAATACTATTTAATCCAATTACAGTTCATCAAAGTTTTGTTTGAACCTCATGTGATCTCTTGTTCATTAAATAGTATTACTTGGCCTCTTAGTCTTTGAAAGTATTTATTTACAATGTGCAATTGGTAATTGGTATTACTTGATTTCCCTTGCATGTTTTTGTCTTTTTTACAACACTTTTCTGTGATTGATGTCAACATCAATAAAATTCCAGCAATATGATTGTCTCTGCTTTAGATCAATACTCTGTGAACTTTGATTTGTTACACTTGGATGTTTTGGCAAAATATTGCTTTCTGTTTGATACTTAGGGAAAGTAGCGCATATTGATATTGAACATTTTTAGATTATCTCTTTGCATGTTGATGTTAGTTTTGTTGATTAACGATATTAGCTATATTAGCTTTCTGTTAGACTAGATGGTGAACACAGTTCTTTCAATTTTTGTTTGGTTGTCCGATACTCTATATTCATTCTTTGTTAAGACTAATTGTGATATCGGCTTTCGTATTATGAATCTGATGACTTTTGCTTCTTGATATTACGAACATTTAGTATGGTGAATTGACTGAACTTTCTTGAATTTGTTTTTGTTTGTTTATTCTTGTAAGTTAATTCAATTAGAGGTCATCAATGCTTGTGATTGATATCCATATGGACGATCATATTCATATGGACGTACAAGTTTTGTTTGAACCCACTTGATCTCTTGGTATGAAACGCAATTTCTGCGTTTTTTGCGTTTTTGTTTCTTTATACTGGTAAATAGAAGTTTGAGAAGATAATCACTTTTGAATCCTTCTTAGACCATCACATTCTGGACCAAACAACATTGGTTTCAAATCTTTCAAACATGATTTCTGCATTGCATCTAAATTTATGTGAAAAGAAATTCAAATTTTATATGTAAATAATATTTTGAGTTTTTCAAACTAGTTCTTTCAAGGTAAAAAAATATTTTAACTCTTAGAGCATCTCCATTTGTGAGATACCATATATTTCACTCATTTCTTCTTAACCTTTTTTACTTTTTTTTTCTCCATTGGTGAGATACTACTCATTGAGATTCGCAACAAATATTTTTTTTTTAATATTATTTAGTTTTTAAACTTTATGCTAAATTTTTTTTTATCTTTAATTTTTAAATCTTTCATTAATCTTTCAAAATAGCAAAACACATATTGAAATATACTTAGTTATGTTAATTAGATATATTTATACTGCAAGATAATTTGTAAATTTTCTTTAAATATACTTTTGATTAACATAATTAAACATAAAAGTTTTTTTTTTTTTTTTTTTTTTTTGATAACCGTGGGTGATCCAAAGGCTTTCTAGGCCCAAGACTAATCCCACGATGCCCACGGCAGTCCACATTTTCTTACCATTTAAGGCAGCCCGGGTGGCCGGGGACTCGAACTCGTGATGGCGGGCACCTCAGCTGAGGCTCCATTACCACCAGACTACGAGGACCCGGTTTAAACATAAAAGTTATATAAAGTAAAATTAAAATACAGAAACTCATATTTTCTGATATTAATGTTATTGTATTAACTTAAATCAATTAATTGTAATATTAATGTATTCATTATAATTAGTATCATTAATATATAATTTAAACTTATTCACAATGGAACTTAATAGAAAGATAAATTTATTTTATGATTTATAAAAATAAAATAAAAAATAAAAAAATAACAATATATAAGTCTGTAATTAATTTTCTAAACTATTGATTATTTAATTTGTTACAAAATATTTGAACCAATAATGAGATACATGTGTCCTAAATCCTAATTGAGGAGTTCTCAAGATAACTTATGAGAATTGACCAAAAATCAAGATTAGTGCGAGATTATCTGAACCAAATGGAAGTAAATATGGTTCTAATATGGTAGCAATTTTTATCAGCGGAAAAACCGAAAAATAAAAACCAACCCGATATTTGGATTGAACACACCTAGTTCTCAACAGTTCTCTCCAATTTGTTTTTCTCTTTTTTTATTTAATTTTATGTTGAGATACCTCAAAGGGATGCTCTTATAAGCTGGTAGTATTAGAGTTGGTGGCTGTTATGTCAAATTCGCAAAGAAAGCAATATGGAAAAACCGGCTAATAAGGGAGCCACACAACACACCAGTGTGAAACTCATAATCATAATCACTTCAAAAAAAAATCAGAGCAGACGATGGTACATGTTAAGGAGAAATTAGCACATTTCCCTGAGCCCGCCACCATTAATAAAATCACAAAAACCCAATCCAACTTTAGTCCTAACCTTACTCAACGAAATGGCAAGACTTGAGGAGAAAGGCACGACTCATGAAAAAATGTAAACAAACCCTCATGCCGACTCGAAAAATGGAAAGAAATCTAGAGCAAGAGGAAGTTTTCCATATCGCTAAAGAGGAAGTTTTCCATCTCGCCGGAAGGAGAATATTCACCAAAGAGCCAACCTATCAACACTATATAATGAAAACCCCCCACTCGTGGAAAAGACATCCATAATCATCTAGAACTACTCACAAAAAAATTAGGCTTAGCATCTTCTTTACTTTCCTCTTGTTCATCATAGTTCATCTCGTCAAGCCTGTTGGCGAGATAGCATCTTTTGTAATCTTCTTGATATTTTTCGAGTTAAATCAAGCCTCTAGTTTTCTAAACTCACATCTTTGGTATCCCGTCTTAACGGGTGTTATCTCAGATCTAACAATACATGCTATCTTTCAGTGCGAGGGTTTATTTTTGTGCACCACCAAAGACAAAAGAATCGTGGTTTGGAACCCTTGTACTGGTCAAACCAGGTGGATCCGGATCCAACCCAGTAATGATCACTTAACTTACGATTCGTATGCTCTAGGTTACGGAAACAACAAGAACAAATATTCTTGCGATAGCTTCAAAATCTTGAGGTGTAGAAAGCATTACGATAGCGTCCGGGTTATGGAGTGTGAGTTGTATGATTTAAACACTGATTCATGGAGACTTCTTGCTGAAGACGCTCAAAGCAATTTAACAGTTTCCTTGGGCTGGAGGATAACTAGTTGTGGCGTGTCTTTGAAAGGAAATACTTATTGGGTTGCTTGTGGTCGACACAAATACCACGATAGTCAATTCTTGCTCAGGTTTGATTTCAAAGGAGAGAGATTTGAACGTTTTTCTCTTCCGTATGGTGGTTACATAGGTACAATGTATCTCTCAGTGGTTAGAGAAGAGAAACTTGCTGTGTTACTTGATAGGCCCAATTTTGATTCGTCAAGAGAGATGAAGATATGGGTGACCGATACTAAGATCATAGTCTGCTCAAGACTCAAGAGCATAATCTCTCTCACATTGTTGGAGATATGAGCAGAAGACTATGCTCTTGATTCGTAGACTTCTCTCAGTTTCATGAACTTGTCGGAAGCAGTTTTAAGTGGTAATGAAGTTGTGTCTGGATGATACTCTTTAGATAGTCTTCGGTACGAAGATCTTATCTCTTCTAGATCAGCATCCGTTGAAACACCTAAGAATCTGATAAAGACACAATTACAAATCATAATCCAATTTTTAAAATAAGGAAAAAAATACAATGAATGAGAATCTTGAAGTCTTTCTTACTGCTAGTGGGAATCAAAAGAGTCTTTGATTAGTTCTGCAAAGTTGTCGTCACTAAAGAGATTGTCCCGGTCGGGTTTGACCGGGTTGGATCCTCCACCTATCCAGCCTTCGTCCGGGCTTTCCCAGTGGATTCTTGTGTGGAATCCCGGCGATGGTTTTGGCGGTTTTGTTGGGCCTTGTGACGAGTGGATATGCATCACTCTTCTTGCCTTCTTCCTACTATATGCTCCAATCTTGTCCCTGAAGTGCGTGCTGTTTTGGATTTTGGGAAGGAACATGCAGGACGTTTGAGCATATGTGGAAGCTGCAGAGCCATGGCTTACTGTGTTTGAAGATGGTTTGTTGGTTCTTCTCTTTTTTTCCTTCATGTTTTTGGTCGTAGAAGCTTGTCCCACGGCCTCATGATATGTGTGGTCTGGATTTTTTACATATCCTTATTGTCCTATCTAATGTCATATACTCATATATATACTTACAAATATATTTTTTTTATCGTTATTGTCCTTCCTATCTAATTGATAGTTAAGTATTGTTCAAATCACTATGTAATTATAAATTTGGAACTTAAATGTTCAAATTATGTGTTATGAAAGGTCACAGTAAATCATAATCCATGATTTCATTTTGGACCTTAGTACCAAATTTCTAAAATATGTTTTACTCTCTAGCATCTAGATTACTAGGAGCTCTGCAGCGGACTTATAGAAACATTCAAACACTTCTTTTTTATCATAACTTGAGATATGTTAGATCCAACAACACTTTTTGATTTAAAGCTTTCAATTAATTTGTAGTGACTTTTGAGTGAAATTAACTTCTACGAAATTTCAAATCTTTCATCATTTTCTCTCAAACGTCAAGGTATGACTCTCTATCCTCTATTTTCTCATACATCAAAATTTGAGTCACATCTAATTCTCTTGATTCATGAGTTGTTTTTTTGCTAGAAATTGATAGCAAGAATCATGGATATGTTTAGGTAGCAAGAATTATGGATTGATGGAGTTTGGTTTTTGACAGTTTAGAATTTTGAAATTTCTAGATTCAGTCAGTTTATGCAAATTTGTTAGAAGTAGACTTGTAAACTGCTATTCTAGAAGTCTTTTTTTCAGTGCCTCCAATTTGCGTATCAATCTTCAAAAATCTGTCAACTTTCTAGAAGGAAATAAAGGGCAAATAATCATTTCTATTCAAATAAAAACTCATAAATATTTATGCTTTTGTATCTTGTCTCAACACCCAACTAAAAATCAGAAGAAAAGAGAAAAACAAAAAGCAAAATCTAAGGAGAAAAAGTAGGAAGAAAAAAAAGAAAAGAAAAAGGGTTACTTACCTACCAAACCCCCACACAAAACACAGCAAATCACAGCTTCTCTGTCTCACACAATCACATGTAT